TCGTCGCGACGATCGCCCCTTGTGAACTCCCCTCTGGGATCCTGCTCCAGAATCGCCGCTGCAGCTTCGTCCTCAGGTGAAGCGTAGCTGTGGCCCTCGTTGGCGTAGACGCGGTTTGCGTTCGTCTGCTCGTCCTCACGGAATTGTTGCAAAAACAGCCGCTCGTAGAAGATAACGTCGCGCGCATTTTTGATTTTTTGGCTTAGGAGATCCAGGATGATCCATGCCTTGTGTTCGTGACTGATGCCGAGGTGGATTCCCCAGCGCGCCCGGCTCTTGAACTTCCCGATGGTTGACGTTGGCAGTCGGTATTGAACCATGCACCCCCAGACGCGGAGCATGGAGGTGTCTCCCTTTCTTCCCGTCCATTTCACATGCGGCGAGGAGTTCCCGGTGATTGCGGTGGTTGACAGCAGGTTGTGCACCCGCACAGCGTGGTGCATCGCGTAGGTCCAGTTGATCGGCGGGAGCTTCGCCTGCCTCATTAGCGCCCGCACCTTCGTCATGAGGGTGCGATTCGTGCGTTCTGCTACGCCCTGCTGCTGATGCGCGTAGGGGAGAGAGATGTGGTGCTCGATCCCCTTTTGCGCGAGGAAATCCTGCAGCTCCTTGCTCCTGAACTCCGCTGCGCCATCGGACTGCCAGATCTTCAATTTCTCCCCAGATTGCCGCTGCGCGTGTGCCAGCCACAGGCGGAATGCTTCGTAGGCTCTGCTGCTGCGGGGTCTTCGAAGGTGCCGACGCCGACGCCGCGGAGCATGCCTTGGAGATGCTGAGATGCGGGTCCGGGGAGAGGGTGTTCCGGTGTGCCGAAGACAACCCGCGTGGCTGTCTCAAGCTCGAGTTGGGAGAGGCCCTCCTCAGGCGGTGCGTCGCGCTCTGCTTCGCGAATGGCAGCAAGGCCATGTCCGGCGATCGCGCTCGTCGAGGTCGTCGGTGTGTGGCAGTCCCTGCAGACGCCGTCAGGATCGGGGTCGTGTAGCGCCAGCTCGCGCGGGTGTGGGTGGTGCGGCACCCAGGGGCGCCCATCGGGGTGCTTCCAATCGCGGCGAAGGATGTGTTCGAAGCGTAGGGGGACGAGGTCGATTAGCTCCTGCGAGTCGCCGCTGCAGTCGGGAATGTCGAAATCGAGAACTTATACGCCGTTCTCGGCGTGCGCCCGTCCGATCTGCTTGCGCGTTTTGTTTGGCATCGTGAAGTGGAGCAGGATGTCGCGCGTCTCGGGGTCGGTGCTGAGAAGGACTCCGCAATCCAGGAGTTGCGCCGCCGAAAGTAGATTAAAGCGTAGGTTCTGCACAATCAACACGTCGTTAAGTGTGATGTGCGTTCGGCTCCCTCGTGCCTTGAGCACCACGATGCCTTGTGCGCTTGCGCGCAGCCGCGTGTTGTTCGCCACTGTGACGTAAGTGACTTCGGGGGTGGCGACGGCGTTGGATATGTAACGCTCGGAGCCCACCATGTGCTGCCCACAGCAGCTGTCCAGGTACCACTTGTTGTAGCGCCTGTTGTCGTTTCGCGCGAGCAGCGCCAGTCGCGGAGTGACGATGTGCGGGGTGTCGACCCTCAGAAATTGTTCACGCGCGATCCAATCGATCGGTGCCGGCCGCATATCAGGTACGTGCGGAGGGCTCTCAAGCAGCGGGACTGGCAAATTCCAGTCCTGGTTGTCGTCGTCGCTGTAGTCGTGACGCGTGCTGAACGGATTGTTGTTCGGGGACGCCTCGATTGGGTCAGGCGCCGTCTCCGGTGACAGCGAGCGCGCGCGCGGGCGACGAGAGCCGCTCGTCATGGTCATGTTCCCCATGACATTGCGAACGGGGGCAGTTTGTGATGGCTGCTGCTGCTGCTGAGATGTTGGATTCAAGTTGCGCGGTGGGGGTTGATACTCCTGGGCGGGACGCGTGTCGTTCCTCGCGTCTTGTCGGCCGGACCAGTTGCTCGGGTTGGTCTGGCGGGGACGAGATCGATGCTTGCATCGATCCGCCAAGTGCCCGAAATTTCTGCAGATTTTGCAGTAGAGGCGCCGCGGCCGTCGCTCTTCTGTGTTGTCGGCGAAGAATGCGAGGCGCTCCCTTTCTCGTCGCGGCGCTGGTCGCTGCTGGTCCATATCCCTTTGTTCGACGAGAAGGGCGGCGCAAAGGGCGGCCTCCGAGATGACCCCCTGCTGTCGAAGGAGCGCCTTGCAGGGCCGCCACTCTGGGCCTAGCCCTTGGAGCACGATGTTGACGAAGATTTCTTCAGAAATCGTGCTCCCCAATTTCGCGATTTGATCGCGTAAGCTTCGACAGCGATTCAGGTAGCTGTTGGCCTTCTCTCCCGGTGCCATCTTTGTCTCCAGTAGCTGCTGGAGCAGGCGGCTCGACGACACGGAGTCCTTGGGTTGGTACACACCGTTTAGGTGGCGCCAGGCGTTGAGGGCGGGAGCAGGAGAAGTCTTGTATGAGCGAATGCTCAATTGCTCCGTCGGCGACATATTCCGCAGGAGAACCCCATACGCCATCAGGGACTCGTTGTAGTACTTGGTCTTTGCGTCGTCAGTGTCCTCCGTAGGGCCCGAGTAGCTCCCGTCGAAGTAATGATAAATCTGCGCGTTTTGCAGCAGCAGCTCCAGCTCGAAGCTCCAAGTATAGAAGTCTCTGCCGTCAAAGCACACACTTGTCTTTATTTTTGATATGCTCAAAAACCTTGATTGCGCAGATAGAATTGCTTCATCGCTGGGACAGGGAGTCTTGGGTGTTGAGCCATTTGTGTCAAAAGTGAAGCCTTGTGGGGCGGAGTTCTGGCCGTTTGACGCCGGTTGAGTGGGTTGGGAGGAAGTTCCCGCGTCGCCGTTCCGCAATGTCTGGAGTCCTTGCTCCAGGCTCGTGAGTCGCTGAAGCAGTTGTGCGAGGACGACGGAAGGGATCGTCGTCGTTTCCTCGCTTGTCGCAGCCGGGTTGGGCTGCGCTTCAGCCGTCAGATTCGTCTGACCTCCAGATCCTCCGGCCATTCTTACACGTGATCGTGTGCCAGACGCCACTTTCCGAATGTTGCAGATTTCGGAGATGGCGGTGCGAACGATTCCTGAGTCGCTCTCATACCATGCTGCGATCAGAAGTTGATCGTAACCAGGATCTCCTCAGGAAGGTTCGCACACTTCTAATCTAGTGGTGGTGGGCCCTTGACCTCAATAGCAGAGTGAATGTAAATGCTTGAGATAATAAAAAAATGCAGTACAAGGAATATAAATAAGAGTACAGGGGAATGCGAAACGACCTAGCTAGCCATGTACTCTAAGGGGTACATTCCCTTATTACAGCGAAATCCAACCGTGCGACTCCGGGTGGTTACGGAACTGTTCGGGCAGAATCCTCGCCACTGCTGCTGCCTGATGCTGTCTGCCCGACGGTCAAGATGCTCCTCGTAACCGTCTGTCCCTTCGCATTACTTCTGCCCTTTCGTCTTTACTCTCGATACTGCGTGCTTCGGCTTCGCTACGGTGAGAAGTGATCAATAGTGTTTTCACTAACCACTATTAGTGATTTTACCCTGCCACAGACAGACTAAATGATTATCTATTCTGAATTTGTCCGGGTATTTTGTTTTTTACCCTAGCAGTCAGGGTAGGCCCGGTTCGGACCCTGATTTTCCAGGGTGGCCAAAAACCAATTTTGGGCCCTGGTGCTGGCGCGCTCGCCATGGGCAGAGCGTTACGGGTGGGCTGCGGGCAGAGCGCGACGGAAACAATGCCGGGCACGACATGGCTGACAATCTGTTTAGAGCCGAGCTCACATGCGACGATTTTACAGCAGAACCATAATTAACTGCTGTTACTGTTGCCGCTTGCCACACTACACGCAATTTTCCGCGCTTGCAGAGAAATAAGTGAAGTAAAATGTCGCCTTACAGCGACATGCGAGTGTTAGATGCGAGACTGATTACTACAGGTTGGCTTGATAGCGGGCCGTAGGAACACGCTCTTAGTAGGAGATAGTATCATTTTGAGAAAGAGCATGGAGAGGGAATTGGAGAATGGAGAGGATTCACTATAGTCGACAGGGTAAGCTAAGTTGAACATCTATTTGTTGGATTCACTCTGGAATCATTGATAACTCGATGCATTTGTATCTGGCCTACAAATACGCGGATATGTAACCATTGAGTTACCATGCAGATGGAGCATCCCTTTTCTTGGTTTCTCCGTCACCTCACCTCGAACCGCTCCTGTCGTCATTGCTTGTTCCTCGCTTAGCTCGGTCCGCCATAGGTAGCTAGTGAGTCTCGTCTCCTTGACCTCGAATGTGTCAACTGAATCGTTTCTCATTTGCTCCAATTCCTTCGCTGCTTTCGATGGCTTTCGCGTCCTTCAATCCGCTGGGCAAATCCCGTGCGCGAGGACAAGGGGGATCGTCGAAACATGCGATTCCACGTCAAGCTTCCACCGTTGGATCTCGTCGTCCCGTCCATCTCGATCGTCCACCTGATCCGGTCGCAATCGCGCCATCGTTATGGGAAGACGCGATCGAGCGAGTTTTGTTGTTACAGCGAGCGCCTTGGTTTTTCTTCCTTATGCTGTGCCGGTCGCAATGCGTCTCAGGCTGCCCGAGAATCTGAGGAACTCTCGAGTAGGCCTTCCTTGTATGGTGCCGGAGCAGTTGTTTATCCGTTTTTAGGAGCGAGTGAGAGCCCACAGAAACTGGAGCCGGACAGTTGAGCACCACCTTTCTCCGTGAAGCCAGATGGAGCCTCGCGAATGGTAGAGCTGCACGAGCGTGAGCAGTACGCGACTGTGTCGCACTGACGCTGTGCCGTGCTGTGCGATCCAGGCGACGACTGCAGCACCCACCCCATTGCGAGCCATTTGTAGCAGCAGCACGAGAAGCAGGAGCTCATCGCAGTATCAGCAGGACGAGCAGCAGCAGCAACACTAGCAAGAGCAGCAGCATCGTCAGCAGCAGCCGCAGCAGCAGCATCGTCAGCAGCAGCAGTCGCAGCAGCATCAGCAGCAGCATCAGGCGGCGATGGAGAACGTGATGGTGGCGGGGAGTCGCATGCGCAAGGAGCTCTCAGTGGCCGCCTCCATCGTCATCGATGACGTACGCTCTCCGTGCCGTTCGTGCCTGCATCTGTTGTTTCTGACTGATGCAATCTCAACATCCATTGTCGCTCGTGCCATGCCGTCTCAACATCCCTTGCAGCTGCCATGCGCCATCTGCCAGCAGGCCATCGGTGTGGAACGCAGAGGGCTCTGAGGTCGTAGCATGCCTTGAGATACGTCTCATCAGCAACCCCTTCCCCCTCCCCATCCAACCCTGACTACAGGACGTCTCGGGCCCATCCGAGTCACACGGGCAGCTGCCGTGCGCCATCTGTCAGCAGGCTATCGGGGTGGACGCGGAGGGGCGCGAGTTCGTGCCGTGCGAGTGCGCCTACCGCATCTGCCGCCCCTGCTACAAGTACATCCGCGCACACGAGGGCAACCGCTGCCCGCAGTGCCTCTCCAAGTACCACCGCCTCGCAGGTGAGCCCCCCCCCTTCCCGTCCTCCTCCCTCCTGTTACTCTCCGTACTCATGATTCGTTCCACTAATTTTCAGAGTGAAGCACGTTACTCGTGCCTCTCCACCTTGCTCCTTCCCTTCCCCTCCCCTCCTGCTCGCGTCGCTGCTTGCACTGCTGAATCCGGACCTTTCAGCCACGAATGTTCCCTCATTGTTTCTCGCTCCCATGCCATCCCACCGTATGTCATGTCCCCGTGCTGCTGTCTGCCGTGTCATGCATCTTGTCCGAGCAGGCAGTCCGCCAGTGGACGATGATCCACCAGAGGAGGTCATCCGCCATCTTGAGGAGTCCATTCCCGACGCCCCTGCGCCTGCCCCCCCCGCCATTGCCGCCCCTGCTCCCCCTCTCCCCAGTCCCTCTGCCCTCCCCGCACCCCACACCCTCACTTCCTCCCCTCTCCCACCGTCGTCCGTGCCTCTCGCCTCGCCGCTCTCCTCCTCCGCCCCTCACCTGGCACTGGAAGCCTCGTCGTCCTCCCCTTCATCTGCATCCCACGCGTCCGCATCACCAGCAGCAGGGCTTGTTGGTGGTGGTGCTGGTGGTGGTGGCGTCACTGGTGGTGGCGTAGGTGTTGGTGTTGCTGGCGCTAGTGCGGGCATTGGTGGTGGTGCGGCCAGTCCGGGCGGAGGGGGGGACGAGAGCCCCTCATCAGGCAGTGCGGGCAGCCCCTCCAGCTACGGCTATGGCAGCATTGTCTGGTTCACCCCCCGCCGCCAGTGGTCCGCCTTGGCTCCTAGTGGGGAGGCTGCTTCTGCTGCAGGTGTTTCTGCTGCAAGTGTTGCTGGTGCTGCTGTGGGTGCTGCTGCTGCTGGTGCTGGTGGTGTGGCTGAGAGCGGCCCCTCCACGGCCATTATCCCGGTGCATGATGCGGACGCCTCTGCAGGCGGGGTGGGAGGTGGCGGCGGTGGGATGGGTGTGATCCCCAATGATGGTGCTTCTGCTGACGGTTCGCCATTCATGTGCGGACGCCACGTTTCCCACCCCTGTGTTACGCTCTTGTCCATCCCTCTCCCTCCTCTCCTCTTCTAAACCCTCCATTTATGTCCGCTCGCACTGCTCCCCCTTATTCTTTGATGATGTTTCCACATGTTATTGCCCAGTTCTACCTGCTCTGCGCCACTCCTCCATCTGCATCTGCTGCTAACTTACTTACTCACACCTTATTGCCGCTTCGCCGCCGTCGCAGAGTGGACGACACACGCCGCCCCTTGTCGCGCAAGGTGCCAGTGCCGTCCAGCATGCTCAACCCCTACAGGTGGGTAGCATCACATCACAACAGTGCACGGACCTCGCCCTGTAGCCCTCAAACATCCCTTGCTCCCTCGTGCGCAACCTTGTCGACGCTTCCTTGTGTCTCTTTTCTTGCTCCTTGTGGCTTTGCATTGATTTTCAATGTTTGTTCCCCCCTGCCACCTTCGCCCCATGTGTGTGTGCGTGCTGTTTGTGTGGCATGTGTATGCGGCACACGGGAGCAGGTTCGCGGTGGTGGTGCGCTTTGTGGTGATGATTCTCTTCTTCAAGTTCCGAGTCACCAACCCCAACAACTCCGCCTTCCTGCTCTGGCTCGCCTCCGTCGTCTGCGAGATCTGGTCAGTCACACCCCTCAATTATCGCCTGCGAATTTTGGTCAGACCGACCTGCCGTGCCATCGGTCCCCGGTCCTTCATATCTTCTTTGTTCATTGCATCCGCTTTGAACCTTTCTCTGTGCTCCCTTAACCCTTACCCCTGGCTTCGTTTTCTCTCCTCTGTTGTTTTCACCTGGCGCCAGGTTTGGAATCTCCTGGATATTTGACCAGCTGCCCAAGTGGTCGCCCATCACCCGAGAGACCTTCCTCAACCGCCTCTCCCTCAGGTGCCTCCTCATTTTGTGTTTGGGGTTTCGGTCATTGTTCTCGTCAAAGCTGCAACCGGCCCTTGTACTAATGCTATCATTGCTCATTGCATCGCCTTCTTTCATATGATACCTGAACGCTGTCCTGAGTTACGAGTAAAAAGAATGTTCCACAAGATGCCTCAAGAGGCATGTTTTGTCAGCACCTCCTGATCACCTAACCTGGTCAGAGAGCCCACCTTTTCCTGTGAAGACGACCCGTGGGGTTCTAGACAATTCCGCAACCGCTCGTCTGTGCCCCATCCCCTCTCTCTTGTGCTCAGGTACGAGCAGGAGGGGCGGCCGTGCGAGCTGCCCCAGGTGGACGTGTTTGTGTCGACGGTCGACCCCTTCAAGGAGCCACCCCTCGTGACAATCCACCCACCCATGCGCTCTTACATGCTGCCACGCCCCTGCCGCTGTCCCTCACATCCCCCTCACTCCCACACAGGTACGAGCAGGAGGGGCGGCCGTGCGAGCTGCCACAAGTGGACGTGTTTGTGTCGACGGCCGACCCCTTCAAGGAGCCGCCTCTCGTGACGGCCAACGTGATCCTCTCCGTGCTCGCTGCTGACTACCCCGTTGACAAGTAAGCTGCCGCCACGCGGACCCGTAGAGTGCGCATGTGGGTGGTAGGACTGCTGGCAAGTGGATGAGGATGAGAGTGAGGTTCTCGTGAGGTGGCAGGCGGAATCTGAGAATCACGCGGAGAGTCATGCGACCTTTATGGATATCTGTCGGATGATGGTGCGTCTGTGCCGATAATCGAGTCTCTGCTAATCATTGCTCCCCGCCTCCCCCCTCTTCTGCCACCCTTCTCCCCATCCTGTATGCCCGCTCCCATCCCCAGGGTGGCGTGCTATCTATCAGACGATGGAGCGTCCATGCTGACATTCGAGGCGCTCATGGAAACGGCCAACTTCAGCCGCCTCTGGGTGCCGTTCTGTCGCAAGCACGCCATTGAGCCGCGCGCCCCCGAGATGTACTTCGCTGGCGGGGTGGACTACCTGCTGGGGAAGGTCAACGCTGACTTTGTCAAGGAGCGAAGGAGGATGAAGGTGAGAGGGCGGGGAAGGAAGGGAGGAGAGAGAGGGGGGAGAAAAGGGTTAGATGGGTGGAGAATGAAGCGCGGGGGTGTGGGGGGGAGAAGGGGCTTCGGCTGGGGTGGTGGTGGCGGCAGAAAGGGTGCCGTTTGGCCAGTGAGCCGTGCATGAATGTGCTGGTAGTAATTTGATTGATATACACCTTAAATAAAGACCAAATTTTTCTAACCCCAAACAACCCCCGCTCCTTTCCCACACTTCCTCCCTCCCCCCCTCTCCTCAGCGAGAGTATGACGAGTTCAAGGTGCGCGTGGACGCGCTGGGGTTTCAAATGCACCTCAAAGCCCCATTTTCCTATCCCCACCCCCCCGCACACACACCCTCCCCCCCCCCTCTCTCCTCAGCGTGAGTACGACGAGCTCAAGGTGCGCATGAACGCACTGGTGGTGAAGGCACAGGACAGCCCTCGAGACGGGTGGGGTGGACCATGCCTCATGCTTTTGATGCTTCTCCCCCCCTCCCCTCCCCCCCCCCCTCCAGCGCGAGTACGATGAGTTCAAGGTGCGCATGAACGCGCTGGTGGTGAAGGCACAGGACAGCCCTCGAGACGGGTGGACCATGCCAGATGGCACCGCGTGGCCCGGCAACGACCGCTCCGACCACGTCGGCATGATCCAGGTGTGCAGCACGCACGCATGGTTCTAGTGGGGAGTGAGTGGTGGTGCGTGCGGGTAAATACGAACGCAGATGAGACAAGGCCTGTGTGATATTGGGCTGCTGCAGTCTTGCCGTTCTGCTTGTCTCTCTCTTTCCATCCCTACCTTACCCCACTCTCCTGCATTCTCCCTGACTCCTACCTGTCAGGTTTTTCTGCAGCCCAACGGAGAGACCAAGGATGTCAATGGCGACCCACTTCCCTACCTGGTAAGCACACTCGTTCCCTACCTTCTCCCCTTGTCTCCTGTTTACCTGCTCGTTTCTCCGCTGGCCTCATGACTCTCTGCTCGTCCCATTAACATCGGGCCTTGCCACGCTCCTCTCCCTCTCCCTTCCGGCTCCCTATGCACGGCACGGCAGGTGTATGTGTCGCGGGAGAAGCGCCCAAACTACGACCACAACAAGAAGGCCGGAGCCATGAATGCCATGGTGAGTTCGTGTGGTGTGTGGGTGCATGCAATGTGTGAGTGCGGTCTGGAAGTGCGGTGTGGGAATGAAGCTTAAGAAGTTTGGTGCGTGCATGAGTGGGACAGGGATAGTGGATCCTCTTGCAAGGCAAGTCAGTCAGGCACCCCACCAGCACTCATTCCCTCCATGCCTTGCCTTGTGCCACCACTTCCCACCGTCTCCCCCCATCCCTTCCCGTTCCCAATCTCACAACATTTTCACCCCACCCAACCATCCACCCATCCGCTCACCCACCCACCTCTCCCCGACCGTCGTCCCCATCCCCACCCCCGTGGGCACCCCTGCCCAACCACATGGCGGTGTGCACATCAGATGAGGGCATCAGCGCTGCTGACCAACGCGCCCTTCATCCTCAACCTAGACTGCGACCACTACGTTAACAACTCCGCCGCCATCCGCGAGGTGAGCGCCTTGCCTCCTTGACACGTCCTGAAAGTTGCACTCCTGTTGTATCCGTAAGGTGGGCCGGGTGGGATGTTTACCCTGTGCCTCCGAGCCGCTGTCCCAACGCGCCCTTCATCCTCAACCTCGACTGCGGCCACTACGTCAACTCATGCGCCATCCGCGAGATGGGGTGCCGTCCATAAGCTGCAGCCCCATGTGCGATGCAATGGACCAGGTCAGCCACTGTGCTTGCCCGAGCTCGAGGCTCAGTTGATTCCCAGTCGTATAATGCGTGCTCCAATCACGATGCCATCTCAGCGCAGCGCACATATCTGCCTGCGTAACTCTTCTTTTGAAACGAGGTGCTCTTTGAGTCCGCCTAAAAGTTCCCTCCCCTCACCCTCCGCTCCCCAGGCCATCTGCTTCCTGGCAGACCCCCTGAACGGCGGGCGTGTGCTTTGTGCAGTTCCCTAAAAACGAGGTGCCCTTGGAGTCGATCCAAGTCCCCCCTTCCCCTCCCACCCACCTCCCTCCCCTCGCCCTCCGCTCCCCAGGCCATCTGCTTCCTAGCGGACCCGCTGAAGGGCGGGCGGGTGTGCTTTGTGCAGTTCCCGCAGCGCTTTGATGGCGTGGATAAGAGCGACCGCTACGCCAACCACAACACCGTCTTCTACGATGTGAGCCGCACCCACGTGCTTGTACGATATGGTCTGTGCTGCTGTTCGACTTGTCGGGATGCGTGCTGTGAGGCATGCTGTAAAGTTAGCCGCTTACAGCGCAAGGATTGCGCACCACATGCGTGTCACCACCACAAGCCAAACTTTCCATGAGCACATTTATAGTTGCAACTAGCGACACACTCTAACACCACTGGAGCGATCTCCTATCAACACCACTAAGGAGACTTGTCTCGACGCGCTTGTCATTATCCCGCCTAATGTGGCATGCAGGTGAACATGAAGGGGCTGGACGGGCAGCAGGGCCCCATGTATGTGGGCACGGGGTGTGTCTTCCGACGCCAGGTGAGACTTGACTTGACGGGTCACACAACTGACATGCCAGGTGAGACGATTGGCGTGCCAGGCGTGTGTTCAGGTGCCAAATCAGTTGTCATCATGAGTGCCTGGATTCCGTGTCCAGGCACAAATCAGTTTTTATTTGCCGCCAATTTCAGCGAGTAACTTTGATTTTGTTCCTCCCATCCATGCACCACACCGATCCCCACTTCTGCGCATCCTCCTCTATCCTCCCCTCCCTTCCCCATCGCCTCCACCCCAGGCGCTCTACGGCTTTGACCCATCCCCAGAACCATGTTCAAGCGCCCCACCTGCTGCTCCCTCTGCACTCCTGCTGATCGTCATCCTGTATCCCCCCCTCCTCTCCCCCTCGCCCTCTCCATTCTCCTCCCCCCTCCACCTCTTATTCCCCTCAGGCGCTCTATGGCTTCGACCCGCCCCCCAAGACCCCCACCAAGCGCCGCACGTGCTGCTCCCTCTGCCCCTCGTGGCTCTCCGGCCGCCCCTCCCCCGTGCGCCTGCCCTCCCATCTCGCTGCCGGCAGAGCTGCTGTTGGGGGAACACAGCAGGTTGGGCTGGGGGAAGACGGGGCAGGCGCGTTCACGTATGGCGGGAGGGTGAAGCGCCGGTGGTTTGGGCGCAGAGGGGGGAGGCGGGGGGAGGGGGAGCAAGGGGGGTTGTCGATGGGGGGGATGGAGGAGGGGAGAGGGGAGCGGATGGGGGAGCATGGGGGGGAGGGGAGCGGGGGGGAGAGGGGGAGGGAGGAGGGGGAGGAGGCGGCGTTGCTGCCGACTCGGTGGCATGTGAAGCGGTTTGGGCTGTGCCATAACTTCATCATGACCGTCTTTGATGGCGTGGGGGGGGGCATGGTGCGTACCATGCCATCTTGCTCCATCCATACTATCCTGCCTTCCTTGTTCCATTCTTTCTCCGGTGTGTTCTGCCATGCGCTGTAGTGTGGACAGTCTGCTGGCAGCACACTGCCGTACTGCAGAGATGTGCTGCCCTGCCCTACCACGCTCATATGTCTGCCCCCTCCTCTGTCATTCACCTTCCTGCCATGCCATGTTATGCATGTGCCATGCATGTGGAAAACCAGGCCACAGAGGACCCGCATGAGGTGCTGAGTGACGTCATCCTGGTGATATCATGTGGGTATGAGGACAACACCGAGTGGGGCACCAGTGTAAGTCGCAATGTGCAAGTCTCCGCATTCAAGGCTCTGCATGGAGTGCCACTGTATGTGTGGTGTGCAGGGAACTGCTCTATGTGCACAGCACATATGCACTCTACTCCACTCTCTTCTGCCACCCCAAACTTCCTCGCTCATCCCAAACCGTTATCCTCGTATTGATGTGTTCTTCTTATACTTCGTCGGCTCTGCCCTCCCAACTGCCATGATATTCCCCCCCACCCGTTGGGTTGGGCAGTGCGGCTGGGTGTACGGCAGTGTAACAGAGGACATAGTAACGGGGTACAAGATGCACACACGTGGCTGGCGCTCTGTCTACTGCATGCCGCCCCGCCCCGCCTTCAAGGTCAGCCATGAATTGAGCCCCCTCTGTAGCTCTCTCCTCGCGCCATATGTGCATTCAGGCTTCCATCCCAGTAAACACGATGGATCGACTTATGATCCCATCATTTTCCCCTTCTCCTCTCTCCTCCTCTGATCGGCCCCCATCTCTCCTCTGCAACTCCCTCTCCACCAGGGCTCAGCACCCATCAACATGACGGACCGGCTGGCGCAGGTGCTGCGGTGGGCGACGGGGTCGGTGGAGATATTCTTCTCGCAGCACAACCCCGTGTGGGCCGACTGCTGCTCCCACCTCAAACCCATCCAGCGCATCGCGTGAGCCTCCCCACGCCCTCCATGCCTCCCCACGCCCTCCATGCCTCCCCACGCCCTCCATGCCTCCCCACGCCCTCCATGCCTCCCCACGCCCTCCATGCCTCCCCACGCCCTCCATGCCTCCCCACGCCCTCCATGCCTCCCCACGCCCTCCATGCCTCCCCACGCCCTCCATGCCTCCCCACGCCCTCCATGCCTCCCCACGCCCTCCATGCCTCCCCACGCCCTCCATGCCTCCCTCGTCCGTTCCCCTCGCCTTCTTCCCTTCCTTTCCCCCTTGTACCGATCGCGTCACCCCTCCTCCCCTCCCCGTCGCTGCGTCAAGCCTCTTGTCCTATCTCAGCAGGATCATTGTGCGTTTTCACAATCCCTGGTGACCAACCTCTGTTGCAACATGCCCCCTCCTCCCCTCCCCTCCCCTCTCTTCCTCCATCGCAGCTACATGAACACGGCGCTGTACCCGTTCACGTCCATCGCGCTCACAGTCTACTGCTTCCTGCCCGCCATCAGCCTCTTCTCCGGCCAGTTCATCGTGCCCAATGTCAGTGTGCTGCCACTGCGTGTTGCGCTCAGTGATTGGGCACTGCATAGTCCACTCATGTTTTTCACACTCTGAGTGTGATACGATGGCTTGCATTCCTGCACCTGCAAATCCCCTGCCTATGCTCTCCCCCGGCGCATGCACGATCACCCCTCGGCGTGGTGGCAGATTGACAATTGGCCGGTGCTCTACTTCCTGGCGCTCTTCCTCTCCATCTTTGCCACTGCTCTGCTTGATCTTCCCTGTGCCCGTCCATGTGCGCCCCCCTGTCCGCCCTTGTTTGTGCCCCCTGCGGGACCTCGTGGTTCCCCGTGTGTATGCACACAGATTGACAACTGGGCAGTGCTCTACTTCCTCGCACTCTTCCTCTCCATCTTCGCCACGGCTCTGCTTGAGATTCGCTGGAGCGGTGAGCGCACAAATGTTCCCGCCATGCACTTCTCTGCCACTCAGAGTGCTGCAAATCATTTATCTTAGCTGTTTCTTGTTTCCCTAGTCACGTGTGAGGCCACCAGTCAACCCTGTTGTGCTGCTAAACTCTATTTGCCGTTGAAATGGGCAGGGGTGTCGTTGGAGGAGTGGTGGCGCAACGAGCAGTTCTGGGTGATTGGAGGCACCTCTGCACACTTTGCTGCCGTCATGCAGGCAATGCGGTGCAGTGGATTGTGTTGCGGTCATACAGCCTGTTAGACGCGTTGTAGCATGGTGATGTGGTGCACTCAAAACATCAGCCAAGTTTTGCTACCATCTCTTGAACTATATGCTGGAATAATTGCTGTGCTACAACATTCTCCTTCTTCGCTACATGTGCTAGCCATGCGCGCGTGAAATTATGTGTGTATTGCTGTTAAAGATTGTATGCTGCATTTGTGCTCCCTTCTTCCCTGCCAATCCCCCGCCATGGATCCTCTCTCTGCCTGTCAAGATTGCCAAGCTTCTTCAGGTAACCCTCCCCAATCCCCATCTCGTTCAGCATCTGAAGCCCCTCCCTCCCCTCTGCTCACATCCCTCCCACCCCCGCCGCCATGACTCTCTCACCATGGCAGGGGCTGCTGAAGGTGGTGGCGGGAGTGGAGGTGCATTTCACGCTCACCTCTAAGGCCTCGCAGGACATGGAAGATGAGCTAGCTGAGCTCTACACCGTCAGGGTAGGTTCTCAGCTCTAAGCCACATGCCGTAAGCTGTATAACTGTTAGTGCTGCAGCAGGCTTTCATTGCGCGCCTTGTTTTCACGTTTTTTGTCATTGTTCTTGAGCAACTCTTAACTCACTACTCCTCCCCTTTCCTCTCTTTCCCATTCCCCTCCTGTTGCCCCACTCCGTGTGCAGTGGACGTGGCTGTTCCTCATCCCGCTCACCATCATCATTGTGAATGCATTTGCCATACTGGCGGGAGTGGCGCACGCCATCAACAACTGGCAGTCCACCGACTCCACCATCAGCGGATACGGCCACCCCATCAAGGCGCCCACCTCCAATGCCGACCAGATCGGTACGCTTGACCTGTCCGTCCAGGCGGTTGCAGCCCCTGCATGTGCCGCTTTGGCTCCGTTGCTAGTGCTTTGCTGTGCCTCTCATGTGTAATATTGTTTCTGGCGTGCAGGTCAACTTGTCGGCCAAGTGTTCTTCTCTGTGTGGGTTCTTCTGCATCTGTACCCTTTTACTAAGGTGAGGTCATGAACTAGTTTTATATGGTATGTGCTAGTTTTTGCCAACTGTCGCTGATTGAGGAATTTTATCTGTGGCTGGCAGGGTTTGATGGGTCGGAGCAGCCGCATGCCGACGCTTGTCATTGTCTGGGCTATGCTTCTGGCGATTGTACTGTCCCTGCTCTGGGCTCGTATTTCAATGACTTAGGTTGCATTCGAACCAAAAGCATGAGTGGTACATGTACATGGTTCTAAATTAGAGTGTACAAAATCTCTTTGGCACGCAATGGTGCAGCTATCAGCGAGTCAATCGCCGAGAGCGACCGTTTGTGCGTCGCGAAGAATAACGGAAACTCTCCTCTCAGTTCGACGAAAGTCGCTCGTCGCCAGTTGGTCGCCCAGTGTGCAGTCGTCGAAATCCACCAATCACAGGCCTCGGTTAATCGACCTTTTCGCGGTTTCCTCCTTCCCTCCGGACCGCATTTTTCCTTCCACCTCCAAACAACGAACCGCACGCGCTCAATTTTCAAATTCCACTCACACAGCAAATTGCCCTCCTCTCCTCCCCCATATGAGTTCTGCGAGTCAGCGCCCTCTCAAGTACCACCGACTTGTTCTTTCACTGCTTTTTCCATTTCTTGCCCTTCACTCCATTCACCGAAACACACGGCCCACATTTCAGCTGAACGACACTGTTGCAACAGATTACAGACGTCCTTAGGGTGAATGTGGCGAAAAGCGAAGCATTAGCTCCGTCTCAAGCAATTGTGTAGCAATCACCAGACGCGATCGTTTTCACTTCGCCTTTAGAGGTAGCGGAGCAAGCATCAGCAACGGCAGACAACCCAGAACTCTTATCGACGCTTGTTGGCTCGACGCAGAAGTCACATAATAGTAGTATAGAAAGTATCCTCTCCATAGCATCGGCGTCTCTGCCAGCCCGCCATGGACGCGCGTCGCGTATGCACGAACGTGGCGGCGTTGGCGCTGGTGCTGCTTGTCGCGACACCCGAGATAATCTCCGACTCAGGCTTCCAGACCACCAGCGCCGTCCCCTACCGCCGCGAGGTACCAACCTAGCTGTAGTAAATTTTGGCATGACTTGTAGGTTCGGAGAACCGTAAGAAATCGTACTTTTCGTCTTCCTTCAAACGGAAGCTAATCCCACTTCTCCCAATGCGCTCCTCCCGCTCCGCACGCGCAGAAAGCCTCAAGGACCGCTGCAATACAACGTGCAGGAGACCATGCAGCTGCTGCAGGAATCAGCCTCACTCGTCAACCGCGCCGCGCACCTGCTGCACGCCGATGCCTCCCCCCTCGCCTCCTCCTTTTGGCTCCGGCCAGCCGCCGTCGCTGCGGGCAGCCCGGCCGGGGGGGATGCGCGCGCGGGGGAGGCGGGGGGGCGCAAGTACTACGTGAATCTAGTGCAAACGGCGCGCGCACTGCAGAACGCGGTGGTGCTGCTGCGGCAGAAGCAGCGGCTGCTGGTAATGGGGCAGATCAACAACGCCATGGCCGCGATTGACGGCGTGAAAGTCGTGCTGGTGCCGCGCGAAGACCGCCAGGTGTTGGAGCATCTCAACGTCGCACGGCGATTCGCAGAGCATGCGAAGCTGTCGTTCATGGGGCAAGAACAGCGCGATTGAGTCGCAGAACCGTCGCACGCCTGATTCGTGTGTGCATAGCACGGAATGAAAGAGAGAGCAGCAGCAGAGAAGACTATCTCAGAGGCCCTTTACAAGAGACAGGGACACGCTTTGTGTCTAAACCGATGGTGTTTATCAGCCCTCGCCTGGCTTATCCAGGCACAATATATACTAGAACCCATCATTGTTGTAGCCATTTTTAGCTTGACATTCGAAATAGCCGACTGCCTAACACTGAAACGGGGACTTTACAGGGATTTATTGTGGCGCTTGGCGCTAGAGAGCTAATCTTGGCTTGTCAGCTCCTGAAATCGATACAAGTGGCGGATTCTCACGGCAGCTCGTGTGAGCGACGGACGTTGCAGAAACTGAATCCACCACCACGTACCCACGTCGCTAAGGCGTTTTTCCACGCCCACGTGACCTGACTCTCCCTGTGAAACCACCAGTCTGCCTGTGAGTGAAGCCGTCATTTACACTTCTCCATACCGCCGCACGATACTGCCACACTACACCTTTATCTCCTCCTGCTGCTCCGCATGGTGGCGAGGCGAGTAAGCCGTCTCTTATGGTCCTGCTGCTGCACCTCCTGCACCACCTCCACATCAGTGGGCGCCAGATACCGCGTGATGCTGGCTGCTGCAAAGCCAGGCAGCAGGGTCGCCACTGTGGCCAGCAGCACTATGAGGTAGTAGGCGGGGCGCGGCAGCAGCATGGGCGCCATGCCGTAGAAAGAGGCTGAGAGCGTGGAGGGTAGATAGCTTACGACGGGGAGGAAGATGAACCAGAGGGCGATGGAGCCCCATACCGCCATGTGGTGCATTATTGTCCAGTACTGTTGGGGGTGGGAAGGGGTGGTGAGAGGGGAGGAGGGTGCTGAATGAGTTTCACACAAGCCACCAGAGGAACCAGAGGGCAATGGAGCCCCATATGGCCATGTGGTGTATGAGCGTCCAGTACTGGTGGGGGTGGGAAGGGGTGGTGGAGGGATAGTGATTTGGCGGGTGCCGAATGTGGGCAGTGAGTGACTGGGAGAGGAGGCGGGGAAGCGGGGTACACAGGCGCTGGGCTTGCAGGTACGACAAGTGGCGTGAGGCACTGGGTGTGGGTGGGGAGTGGAGAAGCGGCTGGTGCCATGCTGCAGGTGGCGTGAATGGTGTGGCGAGGTGACTTGTTCTACGTGGACAATTGAGTCGAGGGGAAAAAGGGGCTGACCTGGATGGTGATGGCGAGCTCGAGGTTGACAGCCAGCACGAGGGCAGTGAAGAGAATGGAGCCCTGCGCTGTGAGGTCCAGCACGCGCCCGTCGGCCCCGGAGGAGGAGAGCAGCAGCGGCAGGAAGGAGACCGCAAAGAGAATGGCCGCCTGCACCATGCCCTTGCCCATCGCCATGCCGATCGCCCCCACGGTAAACAGACGGTTGCGCTGGCTCTGGTGGTGGGGCAGGGGGGTGTGTGGGGGGGTCAAGGTGATTAGTTTGTGGGGAGTTTAGCAGCAGGAAGAGGGGTGCGAGGAGAATAGTCGCCTGCACCATGCCCTTGCCCATCGCCATGCCGATCTCCCCCACCGTGAAGAGCCAGTTGCGCTGGCTCTGGTGGTGGGGAAAGTGAAAGTGGGGTGGTCAGGGGAGATCAGTTGGCGTTTGAGAGTTGGCACAAGTCAGAAGAGTGGTAAGAGGGAGGGGTGAAAGGGAGCAGGTGGGAGACAAAAGGGCTGGCTTGGAGTGCTCGAGGGTTGAGGGAGACGGGAAAAGGGAGAAGGGAGAGGAGAGAAGGGAGAAGGGAGAAGAGAGAGGAGAGAGAAGAGAGGGGGAAGAGTAAGTGGAGACGCGTGCTCACCTGGGCGTAGAGGCGCTCACCTGGGCGTAGAGGCGCTCACCTGGGCGTAGAGGCGCTCACCTGGGCGTAGAGGCGCTCACCTGGGCGTAGAGGCGCTCACCTGGGCGTAGAGGCGCTCACCTGGGCGTAGAGGCGCGGGTATCTGAGGTGGTAGATTGCCTTCACGTCTTGATCGAACGCTCCCACCGCTGCCACGGGCAGCGATGAAAACAGCACTTGGAACAGCACGAGCAGCCAATCAACGTACACCGCGCTGCCCGAAAACAGCGCGAGCCCGTTGAAGAAAAAGATGGTGAAGGCGAATGTGTGACACTTGTATAAGAAATATTTTATCATGTATGTAATTCGGGTGTAGCTCCACGCGCCGTGCACCAGCAGCAACCGCTCTACAAACCGAAACTGCCCGATTGCGAAGTCAGCAGCCATTACCGCCTGCTGCCCCTCCTCCCCCGCAATCCCCACGCCAATATGCGCCTTCTGAATCATCCCCACGTCGTTCGCGCCATCGCCGATTCCTAGGGTTATCATCCCGCCTTCCGAGCCTACGAGCTCCGTGACTTGCGCCTTCTGCTTGGGCGACACGCGGCAGCAGATGACGGACGCGCACGCGAGCGCGGCGCGGAGGAAGTCGCTGCGCAGGGCGGCGTCCGCCAGCACGTGGGCGAGCGCCTTGCCGTCGATGATGAGCGCGTGCGGCGCGGCGTGCGAGGCGCCCGGCGCCATGGCGGCGGACTTGGCGGAGAGGATCTGCGCGCGGATGGCGCTGGCTGCGAACTGGAAAAGGGGAAGGAGGTTAGGGGAAGGAGGAGAAGATTGGGGGGGGAAGGTGTTGGTAAAGCTCAGCCGCTAAGCATTAGCAGCAGAGGTTAGGCCTGAGGTGCTTCTGCATGTGTGAGGCTAGGCCGTTGCTGGGCGAGTGACAAATGCAGCAAGCAGCACGCAGCAAGCAGCACGCAGCAAGCAGCAAACAGCAAGCAGCAAGCAGCAAGCAGCATGCCACGCCCCCCGTCCCAGGCCCCAGCACCCCACAGCACCCCACAGCATCTCACCTCTGTGGGATCGGCTCCAGCAGCAGCAGCATCAGCGGCCAGCCTGTCATTGTCTTGGAGGAACACCACGTGCTGCTGCATGCCTGAGACACACACCCCATCCCCCCCACAGTGCCTCACCTCTGCAGGGTCGGCATCAGCAGCTGCGGCATCAGCAGCCAGCCTGTCATTATCCTCGAGAAAGGCAACGAGCTGCTGCATGCCGGGTCGCAGTTCCATCTTCAAAGGGGCAAATGCAGCATTCAGCAAGGCAACACCACTCTCACCTCTGCAGGGTCCGCGCCAGCAGCGGCCGCATCAGCAGTCAGCCTGTCATTATCCTCGAGGAACACCACGTGTTGCTGCATGCCGGGGCGCAGCAGGCGGCATGCGAAGCCGATGTTGACGGCCGTCTCGAGCTTGTCCCCTGTCAGCACCCACAGCCGGATGCCCGCTGCTGCCATGGCCTCGATGGCCTGTGGTACCCCCACCTGTCATGGGGAGAGGGTGGTAGAGGGTAAGAGATTTTACTGCTTCTGCTCACCTGACACCCAAGCACTTGACACACACACACCACCCACCTATGCACCCCAAGCGCGCACCTGCAGCTTGTCTTCGATCGCGGTGCCCCCCAGCAGGACGAGCCCCCGCTCCATCTCGTCCGCCAGCGCCTCCAGCTCCGCTGCCTGCGCCTGACATCAAGCAACCACCTCACACGCACACCACGCACACCCGCATCCTCGCTCACACCTGCAGCTTGTCTTCGATAGCCGTGGCCCCCAGCGGGATGAGTCACCTCTCACACCTAACATGCAAGCACCTGACACACACACCAAGCGCGCACCTGCAGCTTGTCCTCGATGGCTGTGGCGCCCAGCAGGATGAGCCCCCTCTCCATCTCGTCCGCCAGGCCCTCCAGCTCCGCTGCCTGCGCTGCCACGTCCGCCACGTTGCCCTTGGCGCGCTCCCACCGCGCCTGCCATGCCATGGAACGCAGCGGGATGTGAGATGGTGCAACCACGTGTCATATGTCACATGGCATGTGTGTGGCATGTCATGTGCAAGCCATGCTTCATTTGCATGCTTTATCATGTCACGTGTGAGAGGCGAATGAGGCACATGCACGCACTTGTGCACCCCGTTCCTCTCTCCCCTCCGCCCGCCCAATCCGCATCTGCCAGCTGGCATACTCCTCCTCGCCAATCTCCTTCCACGCGATCGCCAGCGTGCGCAGCCCCGCTTCTGCGTACGTGCGCATGTGCTGCTCCGTGATTGGCCGGTGCCGCTGCGCCTCGACACTGCCGCCCAGGCGGTCCATGATGATGTTGTCCGCGCCCTTGCACAAAAGGACAAGATTGCCCTCTGGCGTGCGCACGATCACGCTCATGCGCTTCCTGTATGGGGAGGGTGATTGGAAAGGGGGGAACATGCGGGTATGGTGAGGACGGTGCAGGTGCGACGGCAAGGGGGATGACGGAGCCTGCGCAAACAGCGCACCCTGCGCCTAGCACACGCGCCATACCCGTGCCTTACACACGCACGCGCGCGCCCTACCTGTGGCTGGTGAATTCGATGGTGTGCAGCAGCGTGTAGCGCCGCTCGTCCTTTAGCACCCACCCCTCCGCGAACTCCTGCACACGCACCTCGCGCCCCTGCCGCCCCGCGAACACCATCCCCATGCGCTTCCCCGCCACCACGAACGCCGCCTCGTCGGGGGACTCCGCCAGGTACCGCACCGCGTCGGGATCCGCGCCCACCGATCCTACCCCCGAGACTTCCCCCGCGCCTCCCCCGGTCATGTCGTGATCGCTCCCCGGCTCCGCCCTCATTGCCCCTTGCCTGGCGCCTTCGGATGAACCCAGGGAGTGGAACGAGTCTTGCGCGCTGCGCGCGTCGGCCGTGTGGTAGCTCGACATGCTGCCGCCCAGGCTGCGCATGCTGCCGCCCACGCTCACCATGCCGCCGTCGTCGCGCCACATGGCGGCCTCGTATTCGTCGTCGTCGTCGCTGCTGCTTTCACCGTCGCCTACGTGCCCCGCTGCGCCCGCCTCCCACCCCTCCGCCGCACCACCTCCAGCGCCACCCCCCGCGCCTGCCCCGCCACCACCGGCGCCGCCCTCCTTCCCCGCACCTCCCGCCGCATCCGCCGCGTCGCCCGTGTCTGCGATCACGGTGTGGCACACCGACATTACCTCGAGGAACCTCCTAATCTCCTCGGCTGTCGGCTGCGTCCGCCATTTCAGATCGTCCAGCCGGGGGTCCTTCATGTTGTACCCCTTTTCCAAGGGCTTTAGCGGGGTGTATACCCCCTCCTCCCCCTCCGTCTCCTCATCCTCGTCCGGGATTGGCTGGCCCATTCTCTCTGCCGCCGCTTTCTCTACCTCCGTCACTCCCGTGCCGTACGCTATCCCCGCTATAGAGCACTTGAAGAAATCCATCTGGTTGCGAGTTAACGTGCCCGTTTTATCCGACAAAACGGTGTGCACCATACCGAGCTCCTCGTTAAGGTTAGAGGTGCGCGCTGTAGTGGGGATATCCTTCTCCTCGTAATACATATGCAGGTCGAGCGCGATCGTCGCAGCCTGCACTAGCTTCACCAACTCCATAGTCACATACAGCGATATAGGCACAAAATACCCGTATAGCACGAGCGCCGTGAAAAACTGCATGAATCCCGCCAAAGCCGGCTGCTGCCAGTTATACATCGCCTTAGCCACGCCCGTCACGCCGGTGTAATCCTCGGGCCGCAGGTACCATTGCTGCGGCATGTAGTTGCCGAGATACACGCCGTACATCACGGAGGAGAACGTCGCCAGCCCCACCAGCACCACCAGCTCGAACATGATCACGAAATCCAGTCGCTTTTCCACGAAGCTTCGTTTGGACGGCGGGTCGGTGGAGTTCATCATGATCTTGGTCTCGCGGCCGGTGTATACGACAATCCCCACCGCCCACTTGGTGTTGCGCAGCCGCGAACCGCGCAGGAGAATATTCGCCGGAGTGATGAAAATCGGCGCCGCGTCACCAGACTGGCTGCCTTCGGAAGACTCGATGTCCGCGCTACTATCACTCCTCCCGCTAATAGCACCCTCGGTACTCGTTCTAAGCAGCATTTTCCCCGCGAACGTGTAGATGGACGCGTTCGGATGCTCGCATTCGACGCGCCCGCGCACCCGCGCGAGTTCCGCCGCGCTCATCGCGTGCGTCTCGAAGACCGCGCTGCGCATCTTGAGGTTCGTCTCGCCGTCCAGATTCATTGTTTCCACGTAGCACGCGCCGCCGTCGTCGCTCGTCGCGACGCAGATGATGTCGGCGGGCAGGAAGGCGTCGTGCGGCACGCGGATCAGCTCCCCCACGCGCAGATCGCGCCATCGCCGCGTCGCCTCCGTGCCGTCCGGCCGTATGACCGTTGCTTTCCGCTTATTCGTCTCGTAATCGGAGCTCCCGCGTTTAATATCCTCCCATAGCTCCTTAGCCATGGCGAGACCGACAACGAACACGAGCGGCGGGACCGTCGCCATGGGGCTGATGGAAGAGAGCGGCGTGAGCGACACGCACGCGTGGAAGAGAAAATACAAGTTGGCGACGCGGCGGAATTGCTCGAAGAGGCCGCGGGGGAGAAAGGTGTACCAGGTGTACTTGGTGGTGTAGATGCGGTTGCTGCTGAACCCGAACTCGTCGTTCCCCTCGGCGTCATTCACGAATAAAATGCGACTGGGACCCGGGTCTTTCTTTCTGAAAAGAGAGAGCAACCAGTCTCTAAACTGCCCCATTTTACGATACGGTCGATGCTGGGGCTAATTTGCTGCAGGCGCTTGTTTCGCTGGACGATGAAGGCAGGGGAATGTCTGCGAGAAGCAACTCGAGGCCAAGGCAATTCTTGGAAGCAGGACCACACAGCAGTTGCGAGGTTCTCGTCGATTGCAGCCTAGTATATAACAAGGAATAGGGAAGATCTGATGAGAAGACTGCGGTGTGTTGTTAGACCCTCAGGTTCAACAATCTTGCATCAGCGAAGGGATTAGGGCGTATCCCTGGGGTGGTGGCAGGGCAACTGTAGATGGCAGCCTGCCACCAACACATAGGACGTCAGGTTGGTGTCAGGAAACTGGTGCCCAAATACAGGTTCGTGATTGGGCAATGTCCCCAAAATGTCACCAAATTCGTGTGGCGCGCGCCTCGGAGAAAATGTTGGTGGCATGCGGTTTTCCCGCATGCCACCAACAGTGCCTGCTACAGTGGCCCTGCCACCACCCAGGGATACGCCCTTATACCAGTTTGTGTCCGAGTATCAAGGGAACAAGGGCAGAGGCAGGTGGGGGAAGACTGCCGTGTTTTGTAAGACATCCTGTTCTGGTGTGGTTCGCGTGGGGGGGACTCACCACACCACATGCTGTGTGTGCGAGTGAGCCTCCAATAATTGTCGAGCAGATGTGGAATTCAGAATGGGGGCTGATAATGGCCCAATAATCTCAGTTTGGAAAGGCGTCGCGCGGTCCGTGATCTTGATGTGCGCTTGTGAGTCCGACCGACCTCTACCCAGCGGGGGGTGGGGGGGGAGCAAGGAAGCAGAGCTGACGCAGATTCCTTGGCGGAGTCAGCCAGGTCAACGGGTCCACCAAACCACCCAAACTACACCGCCGAAGTCGAAGGAAGCGCCTTATCAGGCTAACACGACTAGTTTATTTCCATCACGAATCTGACAAATGGACGGAAACAATTATTGCAGGAGGTGGTATTAGTAATAATTCTGAGACACTTTCGAACAGTTGCCAGCTTATTCTCCTAAGATAATATATAGGCCAAGCATGCTGACACAGCACCTGGAGTAAACAAATGCTTCAGAGGTTCTATCTACCTCACAGATCCTAAAAATATGTTGAAGCACAAAATTCACACATTTTAGCACATATAGAGGTCCATCGTATGTGGCACGGCGCGCCCTCATTCAGCGGACGAGACTCTTCCCGCGGCCAAAAGTGAACCCACGGGTGCCGTCGGGCACACGAGGCCCAGCAGGTGCCACAGCACCTATCACAGGGCCATTAGTGGTTGGATTAGTGGCTGCGGTCGAATAAGGCAGATAAAGCTCCAGAGTGCGAACCACGCCCCCAGGAGCACCAATAGCAACTGTTGTGGCAGTTTTCCCACCAGCCCTCTTCGCATCCAAGCCACGGCCATTGCCCACGGAGGCCTGCGGCTGCTCCAGCTTCTGCCGCACCCAATCATCAGCCTCAGCCGAACCTCCTGCCTTGCTGCGCTTGCCCCCGTTGCGGTCAGCAGAGCGAGCAGCAGGCTTGGCCTCACCAGCCTTGGCCTGCTTGCCGCCCTTGCTGCTGCGACGCGCAGATGGACTCTTGCTGTTGTCCTGCGACTCCAGGAAATGCGGATGGTGGTACACCGCCGCAGCACCCGCGGCAGCAGAAGCTGACGTGGCAGACAACATCGGGAGGGAATCGCCCTGATCCAAGGCGTAAGAGACAGCGGAGAGCTGGGCGGGCGGGGAGGCATCGGGGGAGAAGAACTCGTCTAAGGGGGAACCGATGGTGAACGCCACTTGTTTTGACGCGCTAGTGAAACCGGCGACTGCGGGAGCGGAGGAGGTGGCGGACGGAGGGTGCGCGCAATCAGTGAGGGCGGAAAGGTATGGCGCGGCTTTCGGAGAGGCGATTGGGGAGGGCATGAGGGGGAATACGTCGGGGAGGATGACGCCGCTGGGCAATGGGGGGAAGTCGGCGGCCTCAGCCGCTGCGGATGCGGACTTCGCGGTGGGAGAGGGGGCGGGGTTCGGTTTCGGAGAGGGGGGTGCGCGAAGGGCTGCCGTAACAGCGGCAACAGTCGCGGCGGGTGGCGCGGCGGCGGGTTCAACGGCGGAACGGGGCGCGGTAGCGGAAGCATTGGTAGCATTGGCAGCGCGCCATGATTCCCGGTGCGAGTCCTTGAAGCGGCCGCTGAGAATGTCGTCTACGATCGCCTGAACGCCCCTCGGTGCTGCCGCGGCCACGCTCCCCGCCTTAGTAGCAGCGGGAGAATCCACGGCGGAGACGGGGCGGCGGCGGTAAGGACCAGCAGAGGGGCTAGCAGCGGCTGCTGACAGCACGGGGAGCGGGAGGACAAGCGGGGCGGAATCGGTAGCTTCCGCCGGGAGCTGTTCCCCCGGGGCAACAACTCCGTCGCTCGCGGGCAAGACATGGCCCACGAGACGACGGGAACAGCGTCATCGACGGGAGGAGCCACGCACGTGTCGAGAATTGAGCCCACGAAGGTGGGCTGCGGAGCAGGTTGGAGGTTCAGGAGCAGAGGAACGACGGCCGGTGAGATAGCGGATGATGCGGGCCTGCGACTGAACTGGCTGCGGTATGGGCGATCGAGGTCACTGGAGGTTGCGGGGAGCGCGGGGGGAGTTGGGGTCGGTGCTTGCGGGGAGGAAAAGCTGGAGGGATCAGCGGCGGACGTAAATTTTGAAGCGGCAGATGCGACGTTGGTGGCTGCAGGGGATGGTGTGGCGGGCGGGTTTTTCAGCGGCCTGAGGAGATGCGCGATGAGGTTGTCGGAGAGCGGCGCGTGCTTCGCCCCCGCCGCGCGCGGTTGTGAGAGAATGACTCGCGATGCCATGGCGGTGTCACGAACATGTGCTGCGGTTAATTTGGTTAATCCTGATAAAGCTACTAGCACGAATAGCGAGCGAAGTTTAACGAATCGGCTGCTGCAGTAACGCGCTTGTCTTGCTAGGTGCGGCAGTAGCAGGAGAGGCAGCAGGGAGCCAAGAGCACGCGAGGAGCGCACCGAATTTGGCTACGCAGCAGACAGAAACGAGATGGAGACGAGGATGGAGGGTGCAGGCAACGCAAGCTGATGGACAGGCGGTGATTGTGAGAAATGCTCCAAAAATGAGCTTATGTTCTGGAAGTCCAAGACCAACTGCCGTTGGAGGGAAGGGACGAGGTGAGTGGAGTGAAGTTGGATGGGTAGGTGCAGCTGGTGAGAGTTGAGCTGAAAACAGCAGAGCAAGGAGGAACACTGCTGGTGGATCATGACTCACGAAAATGCTGCTGCGATGCGATGAACAAATGAGTGGCGGTGCGGGCAACTCGCATGAGGTAAGGCTGGCGAAGGTGCGGAACCAGTGAACGGCGATGACATCGGTGTTGGTGTTCACGAAGGAGGATATCGACGGCTGTCATGACCACTAAAGAGTGTACGAAAACCGTGTGACACGACTGGTTCGCCATGCATCGCTGGAACGGTGCGGCGCGATGGCAAGACAGCAGTGCGTGGATACATCTCCCAGATCATCGCTGTCGGAAAAATAGTCCACCCCAGATAGAATCGACGGCACATACGTGTTCAACACCTTGGATCCAACGACGGCCAATCGAAAGGGAAGCTTGTGGGAGCAGCCACCACACCAGCTAACATCGTGGTCATTCCGTTATCGTACAGAAACTAGGAGCTGTGAAACTGCTCCACTAGATTCTGCATGGGAAGTAAATAATAATCAAGCTTTTTAAGGGCCTCTAACTGAAAAATATTATGCAATATATATTCAGCACATGAATGCAACTCATGCTATACTGTTAACCATTTCAGGTATAGTCTCATATGGATTTTCGAGTCTCCGGAGATGAATCACATTAAACACTATCGAGGATTCTCGGCTGCAGGCCCGACCCCGGCTGCCGAGTGAAGGTAGCCAGGTGACCACGTTTGCGTGAACCAAACGGAGTGGAAAATACCCGCTTTGGTTCTCAGGCGAGGCGAGACTACGGCTTCAAATGAAAGAGGTGATGCATGGTGCTGGTCCTGGAAATACTGACATCTCAACCCTCGCATTAGAATGCTCGCTACAAGATTTGTAAGAAAAAAGGACGACAAAATGGAGCATGCTTGCACACTTACATTTGCAAACTGAGCACACCTAAATCTGCACTGCGAAGGCTTGAAGCATCCAGACGAACATGTGATAACTGACATATTATGGTCTGATAGATCAATAAGTAATGCGTTGAGAACATGAAGTGTTTTGGGAAGTGCATCATGCACGCACGAGGCAAGTCCCAAGGTGCAGGCTTCAATCCCTCATACGGTGTATACCCATGGCGCCACAGAACTGATAAACGTTGCAAACGTTGAAAGAAGTGCGTCCCAATCAACCTGCAACGCACATATTTAGGATAGACCATAATCACATTCAAGAACAATCAAAAAGGAAATCATCAGAAATACATCCAGGGCTTGAGGGCTTCTTGACTTGACCGATGACTGCAAGGTGTGACAGAACGCACCTGCACTCCCTTAGGAATAAAAACAGTGGTTACCATGTCAGCAGTCAGGGACAGACCCAGAACGGAAATACCCGGCTTGAACTGATTCCTGCAGGCACCAGAGATTCACCAGTCAGACGCAACTGAGGCCAAAATGCAGCAGCTATACCCCGACCAGGCATGCACAGAACGTTGTAACTCCACCCACTGACCAGGCATGCACAGCACAGCAGTGTCTCCATTAGAATGGGTCAGGCCGACTTCCCTTACAATATATGCATCACTGCTGAGACTGGTGGGTAGCGGTTCAATCCTCATTGACTGTGTCTTGCATCAGGCAGTCAATACATCAAAGAAGCAACTGAGAGGATCCATGGTTGGTGGTAAAAATGCATGATTCAGAACAGTTGGCATGGCTTCGGAGTACGTATGACTGATAATGTGAACGATTTCATTAAATTCCTGACAGATACCTGCAACGACAGTCACTCTGTAAGTGAGCTACAATCTTGATTGACATAACACTCACCAATACATGCCCCACAGTAGCTTGTAGGTAATGGACAACAATCTGCATTGTTGATAAAGTCTCGCTCATCATTACCTGCAGAACACAGCAGAGTTCTGAACTATGCTCAGGCAACTAACCTGCATTCTTGACTTCAAACCCAGGGTTAATGACATGTTGACGGATCATACTCACCATTATTGTATCAATATCTTGTCCATAGCGCTGATAGGACCGGCACTTTTGGATTCAGGCTTGTTAAATATCCCCTAGAGCGAAACTTCGGGTTCTGCCAGATTCTCGCGGCATTATGGCCAGTTACGTGCACCGGTCGCACGGCTCTTGCTGGCAATAACCTGAAAATACAGTCGACGTTAATGTCAATCATTGCGTGAAGCATCCATATTCTCATGATTAACAGAACACTGTCGCATTCACGCGTAAGTAAACCGCATTCTTGAGAATGGACTTGCTGATTACGAACTTCAGAATGTTGTTTTGAATCTTCGAGCGGACGACGGTAGGCTACATAATCAGCATCGAACTCACTACGAATCATGAACTGAAAGCCTTAGACAGCCCGCTGCTCCTATCACGAAAACATTTACAGAGAAGCGTCGTGTGATCTCGAAAGATCTCTATCCATGGTATGACCCAGTTCACATCACCAGTTAGCCTAGCCAGGTGCTGTTTGAAGAATGAACACGTGATTTCGTTCAGGCGTTTCCTTGTGAAATGTGTGACATGCTTCATGCGCACTGGATGGGATCAGCAACGCAAACCCGTCAACATCGAGGCACCGCCGCGAACCACTTCACAAAGTAGAGGGGTGCGTTCTGAAAAAAACTATACAAGTGATAGAATTCATTTCTTAGATAGCACACATGGCATTACATGGCACGTACCTAAAATAAAGGACACCAGGACACGCATCATTTGTAGCTCAGAGCAGCCAGTACGTGGCGTGTGGTTGGCAGCGCCTCTCGCACAATAGGGAGGTGCCAAGGCGACCGCTTAACAGAAGAATAGAGCCAAGGAGCAACCGCATCGTAGAAGTCTTGAAAGCGAGTTGCAAACAGCCCTTCCCAGTCAACCTGACACACACCAGCAAGCAAACCGGAAAACAACCCTTAACGCCTCGCAATGTGGTGCCGCTGTGTCATTTACCGCACATCCTTATGGATGCGGGAGTGATTCACGCGGAGACATGGAGAGATGGAAAGCGGAAGCACTACCAGCAGCACTATACCGGACTCACCAAAACATCCCTTGGGATGCGCGCAGTGGTTTCCATGTCAGCAGCCATGGAGAGGCCGAGGATGGAGATGAATAGAGGGGTAAAGGAAGGATGGACTTACCAGGACATCCCTTGGGATGCGCGCAGTGGTTTCCATGTCAGCAGCCATGGAAAGGCCGAGGATGGAAACAAGCCCCACCATGGCGGACCCGCGGGACAGCGGCATGAGCTGGAACCAGTAGTAGCTGATGCGCAGAATGTTCTCCCGAATGCGCTGCTGGTACAGGCTGCTGTCCGTGGCCCTCGTGGGCAGATCTAGCACCGCCGCCGACAGGCTCTGCATTGAGGAAGAGTTACATGGGGGAGAGGGAGAAGGGGAGGGGATCAGGAGTTATACGGGGAGTGTGGTGCCTGGAAGCACAACCATAAAGAGTGCCATCAGCGCACCTACCACCCGCACCTCAACTGCTTGCGCCACCAGCACAGCCAGCACCGGTACCAGCAGCACAGGCAATACTAGCAGCAGAACCATCACCAGTACCAGCACCAGCAGCACAGGCACCGGCACCAGCACCAGCAGCACAGGCAGCAGTACAGGCAATGACAGCGCTGACCTCCCAGGCCGCGGTGAGCTCATCATCCAGCTGACCCCACTGCGTGGCAGAGTTCTTGGTGTACGTCTGAAACACCATACCAGCAGCACAAGCACCAGCACCAGTACCAGCAGCACAGGCACCGCCACCAGTGACAGTAACGGTCACACTGACCTCCCAAGCTGAGGTGAGCTCGTCATCCAGCTGGCCCCACTGCATGGCAGAGTTCTTGGTGTTGGTCTGGAAGTCAATTTAACAGCACCACTGGTACCAGCAGTGCAACGCCATACCAGCAGCACAGGCACCAGCACCAGTACCAGCAAGAAAGCACACACCTCCCAGGCGGCAGTGAGCTCATCATCCAGCTGCCCCCACTGCGTGGCAGAGTTCTTGGTGTACGTCTGAAAGTCGATTGACAGCGCCCTGAGGAGCGGGACAAGCAGGATGGTTGGGCAGAACGGCGGGCGCGATTGAAGGAGGGGGTTGGAACAACCGGATGGATTGGGTAGAGGAGGGTAGCCGGGCGAAACGGGGGATGAAGCGTGGGTAGCAAGGAGGGTGAGAACATGGGACAATGAGGCCTTGAGATTGCAGAGTCGGAATGAGAGGGCGATAGAGAGAGGTGGTGCATGGAGGTGAGTGCTCACTTCTTTTCCAACTTGAACTCTGTTCCATGCAAGACCGTCCTGCATGCGCGGGAGGGAGACGAGGAGCATTCGAACGAGAAAGACGGGCCAGAGTTGGAGACAGGGGAGTGGGGACGTGTATTGCAGCCAGCAATTGGCATACCAGACAAACATCTGCCATCATGCGAGCACACAGGTCACATCGAGTGCGCAACCCCAGCATGGACGGAGGTAGGGGTGGGGCATGCTGATATAAGAGCACATATCAGCATGCACACATCACGTTGCAAATCAACTGATCCGGGGTTGGCCATACTGTGCACGGGCAAGCGCAGGTACAAGTCCAGACCGATTGCATGGTGCAGATTCTCGAGTCGACTCAGAAATCGGCTTGGTACAGAATTTCTAGTCGAGCGAAAAACTGGCATGGTGCCGACAATTGAGTCGAATCAACTGAGGGATGAACTGACCCAGGTTTGGCCATGCTGTGCAAGGGCAGGCGCAGATAGAAGTCCCGACCAATTGCATGGTACAGCCCCTCATGGCCCTTCGCTGCTTCTATCTGCCTCACACAGGGCAGGGAAGCACAGGGATGGAAAGAGCAGCAAGGAGGAGCACAATGAAGCATTGTACAGCCTCTCATGGGCCCCTGCTCATGGCATAATGGCACTGTAACAAGGTGACCCTTGAGGCAGGTATGAAGATCACGAGAGGTGCGCTTCACCTTGGGTCCATAGGTGTCGCGAGGGACAGGGATAACATTGTCAAATACTGATCCTCGTAGGTGTCATCCTCGTCCAGAGCATCCTGCCTCCAAGCAAATTCTGATCCTCTCCGGCTAGAAGCTCAAGTTACACCGCACCTTGGGTCCATACACGTCACGGGGGACAGGGATAACGTTGCCATCCTCATCCAATGCTTGCTGCCCCTCCAGTAGCCCCCTCCGCGTCACTTCCACTGCCCTGATGGGCTCACACACAGTGGGCAAAAAGGGCGAGGGTAGGGGGGTGGAACGGGAGAAAGGTAGGGACAAGGTAGGGTAGGGAGGTGGATGGGGGACCAAGTGCAATCTAACATGTCACAAGCAGCACTGCCTGCTTGACACAGCAAAGCTAGCATGTGCATCAGTCAACTATGTGGTGTTGTGAATAAACTTTTGAGGCGCCACAAAAGGCATGTGCCTCGGTCTACGTGGCACCACAACTGTCATAGCTAGCATTGTATTTTGCAACTGAGCTGCTTCCACATGCGGATTCCCCATCAGGTTCCCCATCAGGTTCCCCATCAGGTTCCCCATCAGGTTCCCATCAGGTTCCCCATCAGCTTCCCCATCAGCTTCCCCATCAGGTTCCCCATCGGTTTCCCCATCGGTTTCCCCATCAGGTTCCCCATCCGTTTCCCATCCGTTTCCCCATCAGTTTCCCCATCAGTCTCCCCATCAGGTTCCCCATCAGGTTCCCCATCAGGTTCCCCATCAGGTTCTCCATCATGTTCCCCATCAGGTTCCCCATCAGGTTCCCAATCAAATTCCCCATAAGGTTGCCCATCAGGTTCCCCATCAGGTTCCCCATCAGGTTCTCCATCAGGTTCCCCATCAGGTACCCCATCAGGTTCCCCACCCCATCAGGTTCCCCATCAGGTTGCCCATCAGGTTCCCCATCAGGTTCCCCATCAGGTTCTCCATCAGGTTCCCCATCAGGTACCCCATCAGGTTCCCCACCCCATCAGGTTCCCCATCAGGTTCCCCATCAGGTTCCCCATCAGGTTCCCCATCAGGTTCCCATCAGGTTCCCCACCCCATCAGGTTCCCCATCAGGTTCCCACCCCATCAGGTTCCCCATCAGGTTCCCACCCCATCAGGTTCCCCATCAGGTTCCCCATCAGGTTCCCCATCAGGTACCCCATCAGGTTCCCCACCCCATCAGGTTCCACATCAGGTTCCCCATCAGGTTCCCCATTAGGTTCCCCATCAGGTTCCCCATCAGGTTCCCCACCCCATCAGGTTCCACATCAGGTTCCCCCCATCAGGTTCCCCCCATCAGGTTCCCCCCATCAGGTTCCCCCCATCAGGTTCCCCCCATCAGGTTCCCCCCATCAGGTTCCCCCCATCAGGTTCCCCCCATCAGGTTCCCTCCATCAGGTTCTCCCCATCAGGTTCCCCCCATCAGGTTCCCCCCATCAGGTTCCCCCCATCAGGTTCCCCCCATCAGGTTCCCCCCATCAGGTTTCCCCCATCAGGTTCCGGGATGGGATGGGAATGCTCAATATCTAAGATGTCATCTACATGCCATGTCACTGCACCTACAGGGCAGGGCGCCACCGCACCTGTCATAGATAGCATTGTATTTGGAGCTAAACTGCTTCCACGTGTGAATGGGAGTGTGCGAATGAAAGCTCCCCTGAAAGCGCTGGTTCCTGAAATGCAGGTGGGGGCAGCACAAGGGCAACAGAAGGGCAAGACAAGGGCACACCTGTCATAGATGGCATTGTACTTGGCGCTGAGCTGCTTCCACGTGTGGATCGGAGTGAACGACTGAAAATTGCCCTGGAATCGCTGGTTCCTGCGAGTCAGGGGACACAAGGGAGAAGAAAGGCTGCCATTCAGAGGTCGCTCAGAGGTCGCTCGGTGGTCGCTCGGAAGGAGTTTAAAGGCCGTTCAGGGGCGAACATATCAGCGCCGCGTGTTCGGCAAATCGGGCGAGCGCTAAGGAAAAGGAAAGGAAAGGCGGGTAAGAACGGAGGAGCAGGCAAGAGGGAGAGAGAAGAGGAGGCGGGCGGGACAGACTTGAACAATCCAAAGGCTCGGTGGGGTCGGAGGGGAAGGGGAAGCGAAGGGAAGGGAGGTTTAAAGGGAGGCAGCGAGCAGGCACGGCATGGAGGAGACAAAGAGGCAGCGAGCAGAGGAGGCGGGCGGGACGGACGCACTTGAACATGGCCTTCCAGAGAGGCGGCTCGGTGGGGTCGGAGAGTTGTCGCCACGGCACCATGACCTGGAACAGCTGCCTCCAACTGCCCACCAGCTGCACTGACTCGCCCCCACTGCTCCCTCCACTCCCACCACTGCCTGAAAAACGCTTCAGCGGCATCCTAGGGGGCGACGTGAGCTTGTCCCACTCCCCCTCGCCCTCCTCTTCTTCTCCGGCTCTCCCCTCCTTAGCCCCCTCGCCCTCCTCCCCCTCCTCGTCGTCGTCTTCCACAATGCTTGGCAGGCGCCCCCCGTCTGCTATGGCCTCCCACGTGGCCCGTACCTGCTGCATCACATCTAGGGCTGCCAGCCCTGCCATGCGCAGCTGAGGTGGGTGGGAGGATTGTGGGGAAGGGGGGAGCGGGAGGAGGAGGAGATGAATGGGTTGAGGAGGAAGGGGTGGGTGGGGGAGGCATCCCACGTGGAGGTTGCATCGTGTGACAGCTGGACATGATGCCACGTGTCATATCTGAACAGCTGGACTTGGTGCCACGTGTCTCACCTGCTGCTTGTTTGGCATCACGCCATCCGTATCGTAGTGGGCCCGCCATCCAATCTCATCGGCCGCTGCGATCACAGCCAACGCCGCCTCTGACAGCTGTGGCAGCAACTGCCACGTGGCACCCTCCAATTGGCTGGCGGGGACAGATAAATTCTGGTAGTTGGGCAGGCCTGGAGGCACCCTCCTGTTCAGCCACGCCACCTGCCAGGTCAGTGTCAGTCAACAGCAGTCAACGCCAGTCAACAGCAGTACATGGCATGCATGGTGGGGCCAGCCGGCATGCAAAGAGCACAGAGCATGAGTAGGGGCTGTAAGCATGCATGGATGGCACAGAGCGTGCGTAAAGGCTGCACTGTAGCATGCATGTCATGGTGGCATGACGTGGACAGACCTTGAAGTCCACATCCATGTCATCATCTATCTGAAAGGCTGAGAAGGGCTGGTGCAGCATGGGCCACTGGGGAAAGGACACTTGGGAAGGGCCATCGGGCCACTACAGTCCACGGCATGCAAGGCATGCATGGAATGGAACTGACCTTGAAGCCCACGTCCATGTCGTCTTCTATCTGAAAGGCTGAGAAGGGCAGGTGCAGCATGGGCCACTGGGGAAGGCCATCGAGCACTGGCATGCAAGGCATGGTAGTGACACACCTTGAAGTCCACATCCATGTCATCGTCTATCTGGAAGGCTGAGAAGGGCCGGTGACTTTTGAGTCGACCCTTGCGTTGACTCTCGAGTTGACCTTTTAGTTGACTTTTTAGTCGACTCAAAAGGCATGGCATGGCATGGCATGGCATGGCACACACCTTGAAGTCCACATCCATGTCGTCGTCTATCTGGAAGGCTGAGAAGGGCCGGTCGAGCCGCGCCACCGTGTATAGCAGCACCTCCCTCTGATGGGGTGCAGTTGTATGGGGGGACATACCGGGAGAAAGCATGGGAGAGGAAGAGTGAGGTTGAGAAGGGAGAGAGAGCGTTGAAAAGCAGGTGGAACGAGCAGGGAGGAGCGAGAGCGCTGAGAAGGGCAGGTGCAGCATGGGCACAATGTACGGCAGCAGCACCTCCCTCCCTTTGATATGCACCAGTTAATTTACACACAGGCCGGCGAGCAGGAGGGATGCGCGGACACGGGGGAGCAGGAGGGATGCGCGGACACGGGGGAGCAGGAGGGATGCGCGGACACGGGGGAGCAGGAGGGATGCGCGGACACGGGGGAGCAGGAGGGATGCGCGGACACGGGGGAGCAGGAGGGATGCGCGGACACGGGGGAGCAGGGAAAACGCACAGACAGGGCGAGCACAACGAATGAGCAGGTGGAAGGAGAGGGGTGGAGGGTACCTGGTAGTAGGAGACTGCCTGGTTGAACGTCATGTGCTGCTCTGTGGCCGTTGCGAGGAGATGGTCGTAAAAGGAGAGCTGCGACAGACGGATGCGCAGGGGAGAGAGGACAGAGGGACATAGGGACAGATGGACAGCGGGATAGAGTGACAGAGGGAACAAAACAGATGAAGCAGGGCAGGCAGAGGACAGAAAGAGCGCAGCACACTGAGACTTTTGAGTCGACACATCTGTAGCATTCACATCTGTAGACTCACGGCTGTAGCATGGTCGCCCAGCGTGTGGTGCGTGGAGGCGCGCACGTACAGCAGCATTGGTAGCCATAGCGGTCACATATGTAGCAGCAGGGACTCACAGCTGTAGGATGGACTCACGGCTGTAGCATGGTCGCCCAGCGCGTGGTGCATGGAGGCGCGCACGTACAGCAGCTCCTCGTCCTCTGGCCGGAACGCCAGCCCCTTGTTGCACCACTCGATGGCGCCCCTGTGCGGTTAGGTTGGGTGCGGTGCAGAGGGGTGCAGATAGGTGGAATGAGTTTCTAGGAGTCTCAGAGATCTCTCACAGGAGGTGCATGGAGCACGTACAGCACCTCGCTGTCTTCTGGGTGGAACGCCAGCCCCTTGTTGCACCACTCTATGGCGCTCCTGCGCGGTTGGGTGCGGTGCAGAGGGGTGGGGATGGGTGAGGTGCGTTCTGAGTCGACTTAGTAATCAGCTCTATGGCATTCATGTGTGGTTGGAGCGAAGGGGGTGGATGGGGGGGGGATGCAAGAGAGAAGGGAAAATGTGCTGCTGCGGAAAGCATGAAGGGAAACCAAGCCATTGCTTGCTGCTGCAGCACTCGTATGTAGCATGGTGACAGACACACACAGAACAGAACCAGCCCTAATTCAGAGTGCAAGGGTTTTGATGGTGCATGGTGTAGAGCTGGGTGTATTACAGGACTATTAAAAACCTTTTTCCCTGGCTCACCAGTGATCCCCTTGATAACGCCTCGTGGCTACCAGGTTGCGGTATGCATCAATGTTCCTGCCACCGCACACGACCGCGCACAACCACACACAACCACACACAACCACACACAACCACACACAGCCACGCACAACCACGCACAACCACACAGGGGAAAAAGCAGAGATACGCTAATAATTTGCTCTCACAGGCAGAGCAAATGACAGCAGCCCCCTCATTCCCCTTCCCACCGCTCCTCTCCCCTCCTCTCCACTTTCCTCCATCCCCGCCAAGCCCACCTCTCCTCTCACCTCACCTGGTCCCCTTTGCCCAAGATGCAGTGCTATCCCCCCTTCTGCTGCACCCACGCCTCGCCCTCCCACAGGTGTGTCTTCCCTGAGTGTGCCTCCCCTGGCTGTGCCTGCACGTTTCTCCCATTCCCACCCATCCCACCACCCACCCACCCCATTTGGACAATGAGAGCGCCATGCCATGAAAGAGCGCCACATTCCCTCCCCTCCCCTCCCCACACTCTGCTCATCACCCACCCCACGCCACCCACCCCTCCCCACCCCTCCCCACCCCACCCACCCGCAGCACCTACTCTTGCACAGAGAGCGCCATGAGCAGCGAGTCCACAGCCTTGTCCCCCTCGCCCAGGATGCGGTGTGTGATGCCCTTCTGCACCCACGCCTCGCCCTCCTCCGGGTGTGCCTCCCCCAGGTGTGCCTCCCCCGGGCGTGCCTCCCCTGAGCTTTTCTCCCCTGGGTGCTCCTCCCCCGGGCGTGCCTCCCCAGGGTCCGCCTGCACGGCCGCCTCCCAGAACGGCTGTGACTCGCGGTAGCGGTTGAGGCGCAGCAGCGAGAGCCCGACCTGCGTGAGCAGCTGGGTGTTGGTCGGGTCGCGTGTGAGTGCAGGGACGAGGTCTTCCAGAGCTGCTGCGTAGTGCTCTATCTCAAACGCACTCATGCCTGTGATGAAAGGGGGGATGTGGAGGGGGCGGGGTAGGAGGATGGGTAGTTGAGGGAGGCGCAGCAGCGAGTAAGCCACCTGTGTGATAATAAACGGCTGCATATGTGGTGGTGTGGTGATGTGCTATTCGAGAAAATGCACAAGCTTTTCCTTCCCAACGCGACATTTCCCCGCCTTACCTCGGAATTGCCGGGCCCTGTCGTTGTGAGGGTCGAGCTCCACTGCCTTGACAAAGGCACTGTGCGCCTGATGGGGGGGGGAGTGTGGAGTGGAAGGCAAGGGGATGGAAGGACGCAGGAAGCAGGAGAGAACGAGAAGGGGGTTGTGAACATTCTCAAAAACCACCTGTTGTTGTGGGGGTCAAGCTCCACTGCCTTGACTTGACAAAGGCACTGTGCGCCTGATGGGGGGTGTGCAAGGCATGGGGGGGAAAGGACGCATGACACAGAAGTGTGTGTTATATCCCTACGCCAGGTTGACCCAGTACTCTGCCTTCTCTGTTGAGCCGACTCTCTCAGCATTGGGTAGCTCACTCACATGGCCATGGTGGTCCAGAATGGTGTATAGTATTCCTGTCCCACCTCCACCTCCACCCAGTATTTCCGAGTCATCTCAAGCATCAAGCAGCTTACTCACGTTGGCATAGTCGTTCAGAAGGGTGTACTCCTGCCCCAGCTTTATCCAGTAGAATTGCCGTTTTTCCAAGTCACCTAAAGCATAGAGCAGCTTACTCACATTGGAGTAGTCGTTCAGAAGGGTGTACTCCTGCCCCAGCTCCACCCAGTAGTTTGCCTTGTGCGGCTGCTTCTCCACTGCCTGCAGTGAGCACAGCACAGCAGACAAGGAGGTGGGTGAGCAGGGATACGTACTCTCTCACACTCACACGCACATTCACACACAGAGAGAAAGGGATCAACCGAGTTGCACTGCTGGTGCTGCTTGAATCAGCACGGACACACGTTTTTAGGTGCTTTGATACAGGGTATAGGACTGACTGGCCTGCTTCAAGTCCAGAGCCGCCTGCTGGTGCTGCTTCAGCAGCATGGAGGCACGTTGCAAGGTGCCTAAAAAACGAAAGGCAAAGATATTAGGTGCCTTGACACAATATAAGGACTGACTGACTCGCCTGCTTCAAGTCCAGAGCCGCCTGCTGGTGCTGCTTCAGCATGGAGCGAGCAACGCCCCTGCCGTGCAGCATGGAGCCGTAGAGGCGCGACAGAACCGCATCCAGCTGAGCGGTGACGGGGGGCGAGAGAGGGGATCACAGGACGACAAGACAAGGGGGTGATGTGATGTGAGTGTGAATCAGATGATGGAAGGTACCCTGACGTGTAGCGGCGCACAAGGGCAACGGATGAAAGAAAACACATACCTTGAAGGCTTGAACCATCAGATACCACAAGGAAGGCAACGGAGAGGAATGCTGACCTTATTGTACGAGTCGATCGCCTCCTCATAGTTCCTCGCCTTGAGCTGTAGAGGCATGACGCACGTTGTGTGGTGACAGCATGTGAACGGCCACACAGGGATAGAGCAGAGTGGAGCGAGCTGGATTAGTATGGAGTAAAACTGATTGGAATGGAGCGAAAGGGAGCGAAAAGGAGCACACACAGGATCTCATACGATAAGCATTGAATACAAATGCGTGGACGCGTTGAGCGGGAGACCCGAATCGACAGTAAAATCACCTTGGCATGTCCGTCTGCCAATAACGCGTACGGATCCGCGCGAGCCTCCACGTCTTCACCAGATAAGCCGTCCACGTTTGAACGGTTCGCGTCCTTTTCTGTTGTCGCTGCTGCTTCCGCTGCGTTGTCGCCATTCGCGTCGCATTCCCCGGCGACGGCGCATGTACCCGGTAATTCGTCGGCTCTAAATTGCGATAAGGTGAGCAGAAGGAAGAAGAGAATCGACAGGAGCTGCATAGGCAATAGGGTGGACTGCTTTATAGTGCGCCGTGAGTCCATGCTGTCAGAATATCGATTACGATGCACAATATCACAATGCCTGTTCACCGCATTTCCACAGAGTTACAGCACTACCGTTTGGAAAAAAAAAAAAAAAAAAAAAAAGGAAAAATAATCTCACGAAATTAATCTACCGCCTAGTGCTCTTAGATTGCCTTGTGTAATCGACAGCGCGCACTAGTCGCTATCCCGTAATCCTGGGGTTGAGATGGTGCTGCTGCTGGGAGCCAGGACGAAACGTGACTCAATCGCGAGAAGCATCTCGCCCGAGGGTTTATGGTCAAGCTCCACCAGGGAAGCAGCAGCACCTGGCGACAGAACTAATTACGCAATTAGGCGTTCATTCAGCGAAGTGAAGCTCGACGCAACGATCAACGTCGGTGACTACTGCGGACAAATACAACTGTGGCGAGGCGAGCTGATCAATGACTTACCTTGCATTCAGCTAGCGCAATTTATGCTCTGCTTTCCACTTGTGGTGTGGCTGCTGGTGGGGCTTACGGGGAGCTGCTGTGGTGCGGAAATATCGGTGCTGTTCGCCAGCAAATCGTAGGCCTTGTTCGGTAGGCACCCAGTGAGAGTGGGCCCACTCGCACTGGCGAACCCTTCGTGAGGCTTCCCAGCCTCGGGCCTCAACTCGCACTGAAGGCACCTTCGCGTATGATTTCGTGAGCTTGCGCGACAATAGCGAGGTAACTTCACCCCTTGGGAAAACCGCCCTACATCCGAGCTGTCACTCGTGCTGGTGATGGCCCATTACAGGGGGGGGCCCGAAGTGGACTCGGACTGGTTTTTGCCAGGAAAAGAAAATTCTTTCGCAGCTTCGTCACGGCCAGTCCCATCACACTCAGACTAGCAAGTTGAGGCGTTAGGTAGCAAACTCTAACTGGTTAGGTTCGGTGTTCTACTAACGAGTTTGTGGGCTTTAAGCATTTACACATTCGAACTGGAGAGCCTGCCCTGAGCCATCCGCAGTCAGACTAGGCAGCCTACCGAACAAGGCCTTATTTGAAATGAAAAAGTTGGCCTCGGCAGCGCGACCCCATATGGAAACGGAGGCGGAACCCACCTCCGAGGTTTGGCCGTAATGCCGTTCAAGAAACTTCTGCGCCTGCGGTTGCGAAATTTCGCAACCGCATCAGGAACCTCCATCCCCACCTTCCCCCCGATCCCCCCCTCTGAACGGCAATGCGACGGCTGTGCCATCGCTGTGCTTGGCATGGCTTGGGGATGGAACTTTGCCTGGGGACGAAGTTGCGTCCCCGCTTCCATATGCCGTCGAGCAGTTCGTTTTGGTTGACAAATGGGGGCGTTCGCCAGACACCCTGGTTGATTGTTGGTTTGGACGGTAGGTGAGGCTCGGCGCCTTTTTCACGGGCTGACCAGGCTGACGGAGGTAAACGAACTCTAACTGACGAGATCAGGAAGGCAAGACCCACCTTCCTGATCCCGTCGTTATCCCGTGGTTTTTGGCTTCACAGGTGCTGGTGAACAGCCCGAAAGAGCCCCTGGTGCATCCGTTTTCTCCCAGCTACCACGTAGTCGGCCGGTACTGCCGACTCCACCAAACCAAACTTCTTTCCTCTATACAATGATTTTGGGGTATATATAACAGGGGGGTAGTTGGGCGCACGCGACGGGAGCTTTTCCGGGCGGGAAACTGCGCGGCTGGGACGGTAACACTACCGAGTTCGGCCGCCCCACGGTAGCGTGGTCCCAGCGCTACCGAGTGGAACATACCCTAGAAAACGTATCAGTAACCAGACGCTCGGCGACCGATGATTGGCCGTTTTCCCCCCGATTTCTTACGCGGAAAACATCGGGGGAGGCTCTCGCGTTCACGTGTCCATGTCTCACTGGCTACTCACTTCGTTCCTTGCTTCGTGGCAGTTGACGATTAGCTTTAACATGATGGAACAATATGCCTGCACGTGGCATCGCGACAGCCCAAGAAGGGCTGACGCGTGGCCGCTGATTACTCGAGCGCGAAGCACTCACGAAGCAGTGCGATGCTCGTCAGTTCGAGTCTCCGCGACAGTGAGTCTCGTTTCTATTGTGCGACCACGGTAACCATAATCGGTGCACGCGGGGTACCCAAGGATGAAAACTCTAGGAATCCATCAACGTTGCGTGGCGCAAGGGGTTACCCACGGAACGAGAGCTACTTCTCCGTTCCGTGCTCACTTTTCGCCGTTCGTGCCCAGTGGTCTCGTTTTAGTTCATCACCTTCTGCCTTGCTAAAGTCCCTTCAGATCTCCGGAGACCTGACACATCCGTAATCGTTGCTCCTGGTTCCACGCAACAATGCACCCTCCGACGGAGGGTGAGCGCGGTGCACGGGCACCAAGCGTACCACGCGCACCGAACGCGCATCGCCAGCGACACGCGAATGTTTCCGCGGAAGCAACTGCGGGCATCCATCCCGTGTACCAGAGCTCTGGATTTTATGGGAACCTCTCCGCGGGAACATTAGGGAATCAACCCGCGGGAATTCCGGGGAACCCTCCCACGAGAATTCATGTGAACCAACCTGCAGCAGGTATTCCTGGAAACCCACCCGCGGGTGTTCCATGGAACCCATACGCGGGTATTCCTGGAAATCCACCCGCGGGAATTTCAGGGTACCGACCAGCGGGTATTCCATGGAACCAATCCGCGGGAATTTTTGGAAACCCACCCGCGGGTGTTCTATGGTACCCACCCGCGGGTGTTCCTGGGATCCCATCCGCGGGAGTCTTACGAAACCCTCCCGCAAGAGTTCCAGAGATCCCACCAGCGGGTATTCCTGTGAACCCACCGGCGGGGGTTCCAGGAAATCCACCCGCGGGAGTTTCAGAGAACCCACGACCGAGTGTTCCTGTGAACCCACCCGCGGAGGTTCCTGGCCCACCCGCGGGAGTTTCAGAGAACCCACCACCGAGTGTTCCTGTAAACCCACCCGCGGGTGTTCCAGGGAACCCTCCAGCGGGTACCACGGGGAACACGCCCGCAGGAATTCCTGGGAACTCACCAGCAGGATTGCTTGAGTTCACACCGCGCGCAGCGGATTTGGACAGTGCAGCAATTGCAGCAGTTGGTCAGGCTGCATTACGTGGCAGTTGCCAATTCCGACTTCCGCCTGCTTTCGCGTGGGGTTCGTTTTTGCCCGCCAATGCGTTTCAACCATGATCCTCAGGAATTCCTCCAAACCTCCGCCCTGCCTCCCCCGGACAGCCTATGCATTATCGTGCACCGATGCCCGTTCTCCCTCGCTTTGTCTCATCGCACGCGCGCCCGCGAGCGCCAAGCATGTTCTCAGCCATCAATCCTACAGGAGCACCGCAGGGCACAGAAGCCCAAGTGCCGGGACAATCGGAAAACGTGGAATTTGTGCCAACTGCAGTCACACCGCAACAGCCCCGGGGGAGAAGGCGTGTAAACGCGCGGCAAAATCGGGCTGGGCCGCGTGAAGGGGAACCAACTGCGGAACCAAGTACTAGAAGGCGTGTCAACGCGCGGCAAAATGGGGCTGAGCCGCGTGAAGGGGAACCAGCTGCGGAACCAAGTGCTAGAAGGCGTGTCAACGCGCGGCAAAATCGGGCTGAGCCGCATCAAGGGGTTCCAACAGCGAAACCGAGTGCTGTTCCCACAACGCAAGCACCAGAAACCTCGGAAGCTTCTGAAGACGATGAACCGGAATCAGACGAGGAGGGAGCTGAAGTTGCTGCATCAGGGGAGCAAGAGGAGGGTGAGGGAGAGGGTGATAGGCCGCGGGCATTTCGAAGACCAGACGACGATGTCTCACAGGAGGATGAGAGGGAGGTTCGGGCGGAGATGGCAGCGGACGAGCGAGCAGACGCGGGTCTCGAAATTGAGGGGGGGGCGACTTATCGCGGATTGGACTAAAATTCGTGCAGGGCTGTCACAGCAGGAGAAGATCGATTTTGTCCGGGACGTTTTCGCGTCCCTGTCGCCGGAAACTCGGGAGCAATATTACTCTGTTATCTCAGAATTCAAGAGGTGGTGGTACCACGAAATGAGAAGGCTGCGTCAAAACGGACAGCTTCCCACGGAGGCTTTTCTAAAGAATCACGACGAGGTGGGGCACGCGTTAGGAAGGGACTGGGACTTTGGGGAGGACTGGGAGAAGAAGACGAAGAGGGAAGACTGCTGGCTGCACGGCCCGCGCATCACAAGGTGGCGGCTGAAGGTCTTCGTCGCGTACTGCACAACCGAAACGCAAGACCAGGCGGACGTGCTTGTGAGCCTAAACCCTGTCAGACCCATCCGAAAGCGCATAAAGATGACCGTGCCGATGCTTCTGGCGCGGCTTCGCGGACTAAACGCGCTGTGCAGGGCGGAGGCTGCACTTTTCGACGACCCGGGCCTTGTGCAAGAAGTGACACAGGTCCGGATACTTCAACGTCTCATGTTGACGCAGTAGTTCGAGAGATTCGTCGAGTAAGTATTGTTGGAAACATTCCGTCATCCTTCATTCACGTCATTTCCGCAAAGACCCTCACGATTTCATGGTTTTCGTGCTCTGCCCCAGGGAATGCGTCGACCGTCACCGCGGAAGACACGATGACACGTATACTCTGGACCAGTTTCGCCACATGATGCAAGTGACATTACCCGCGGATGCAGTGAAAAACTGGAAAGCCTTGGACCCGGAGCCATCAGCGAAACTCCACAGAGCACTTCTCACAAAAGTCATGCTGCTCACGTGCCATCACACCCTGTCCCGCGCGGGGAGTATTTGCGCTGCTCAGCTACCAGACCTGTCTTTCAAAGAAATGGGTTCCGTGTCGGAACATGATCCAATTCGCGAAGTAGTGGTGATGACCATCAACAGCCGAAGCGGAAAGACAAACCATCATTTTGGTCTCCAACGCCACGACTCCACGCGGCACATTGACTACAACCTCTGCCCCGTCGGAAACATGCTCCTTCTGCTGCACTGGCTCTACGACATGGCTCATGAACACTATCAGCTGCCGCCACCGGATTTGGACTTCGGAGACCCGAAACAGTGGCACAAAGCCTACCTTTTCTGGTCGCTGAAAAAGGGGAACACGAAACGAGTTTCGGGTGCCACGTACCACCGATGGGTGGTCCACGCGTACAAAGAGGCGGTAATCGAGATTTCGTGCGTCACACATGGGCCGCGTGCATCTAACGCGAATATTCTCCGCATGATGGGGATTCACGACGACGAAATTCAAAAGCACGGCAACTGGAAAACAGACCCGATGATAGTCCACTATCTGACAGGCATGGCAAGGAAGGCGGTGCTCGCAACAGCAGGGTTCACAGGGGACGAGGGAGACTACCATATTGGGAGATCAAAGGTTCCGCCCTCGAAAAACCTCCTTACCACGATCAGATACCACATTTTTCCGTGGATTGAAGAGCAACTACAAAGGGTAAGAGGGTTTGAGTTCTCGGACCCCTCAACGAATTTGCCGCGCCTGCTTTGAATTGATTCTCCATCTCCGCGCGATGTCGTTTCAGGCGCGGGACTACAACGATTCATGCACCGAACGTGGCCGGCGTAACCTGGGCGCCATACACCTGCTCGAGAGTCTGCAGGAATGGGGTCGCCTTATTGTGGCGAAGGATCTGGCGATGATGTTTGTGCTCGATCGGAACCATCCATACGTGCAAGCATCGAAACTATGCGAGGACCCCGAGTTTCAACATTGGGCGCGGGTTGTCGCTTGGCATGACGCGGTCGGTCGCGCTATGCGAGCAACAGCGACACCTTGTACCGAAGTTGTGAGCGTCTGATCCACGTGAGGACCGCGTGCTTGAGAACCTTGCTGACACGAGATTTGCCTTTCTTGTTGTGCGCTCAGGAAATAAATGTCCGCGTCCACGCGGAACATCGCGCAAGACAGCTTCAGGCGGAGTTGAACCGGGAAAAGTCAGCCCACGCGAATGACCTCGTCAAGCTTAAAGCCGCGGAGGATGCCAACGCAAAGCTGGTGGATCGGTGCGAGGCTCTCGAGACCGAAAGCAGACGGCTTCAACAGAAGCTGAAGAAGCGACGGGCGCGAGGGGAAGGTGGCTCACATACCAATGTGACGAACGAGGAAACAGAGACACCGCCGTCGGCCGAAACAAATGACAAAGATAAAAAAGGGAAAGAGAGCGGTGTGCCCCCACTTTCCGCGGAAGACGAGGCATTCAAGACTGAAATTATCATACCTTGGCGATCAGCGAAAACCATCGCGTCTGCTTGGACCTTGTGGAACCAGCCACATGGATCCGCGGCGAGAACGCTGCGGCAGGAGTACTCAGCCGAGGGTGGATGGGTTGCGCGATTTGCCCGCGGGGAGGAGCCCAACGAGGAGGCTGCAAAGCAGCGAATGTACCGTGTGAAAAGGGCGATGGACGCGGTGACGGAGTACGCGGCTAGGGATAACAGTGGAGGGGAGGATGCGGTCGTTGGGAAGCTCGCGGGCATGTCGTTCTCAACGGTGACGAGCAGTCTCACCGTGCGATCAGCGCCCGTCTGCGACAGCACGCTCGCGGATCTACTGAAGAGCGACCAAAAGAAACTTCATCTGCGAACTGCACTATTGCTGGTGCAAACAGGCCTCGAAGGACCCGCGTGGGCAGAGAGACTCTTCCCCAACGCATGGAAAGAGTACGCGAAGGCTGAGGCTGAGAAAGCAGAGGCCGCGTCGAAAAAGCGCCCTAGAAAGGAGTATTTGTAACGATCCAGCGGAGGAATTGTTCATGCGCGATGTTTTGTATGCATAGGCTTTCCTGCATTCGCGGGATGTGTTTGTTCGCGTTTCTTGTGCTCTCGCGTTTTTTTGTACAGATTCATTCCAACAAAGTTGTACAAGTCCTAACTAGCATTACGCAAAACGACTCCCTTATCACGCGCAAACACTAAACTGGTGTCCAAACGAACGAAAATCACACAGTGGCATGAGCAGCAACAAATCCACGGAAAACGAAACAGCACCCAGATTCCGATGGACCACTGGCATCCCGCGGCACTTCATGCAAACTCCTCGCCGCCCTCCGATCCTTCCACCATCAACGTATCGTCATCCACGTCTTCTCCATCACTATGCTCCGCCTCCTCGCCCTTCCTCTCATCCATATCGCTCTTCCCATCCTTCTCTCCCGCGTCCCCATTCTTGCCCTTCCCACGCGTCCCCTTCTTTTTCGGGTATTCCATGTAAAGGCCCACACCTTTCGTTGCCGGGAACACGGACGAACCGTAGTTCCAGTCGACCACCACCTGGATCAGCTGATGCACGACAACCTTGTCGGTCATGTCGAGCTCTTCCCCATACAACTTCAGCACCCTCTTCTGGATGCTCGCCGCGGCCTCCAGCTGATCACCTTGGTGTTTCCGGATGTCCGAGCACACGTCTCTCCAGCACACCTCCAAACCCTCCAGTTGATCCGCACTGGCGCGACACAGCTTTGCAGCGGCTGAGCCACTTTTGACCGCGGCAGCACGAACCTCCGCGGTGACTCTTTTCCAGGCCGATCTCGCACCACCTGCCGTGTTGCAGCGCGCATATTCCGCGGTCAGACTCCACACAGCAGCAAACGCGAACGCGACCGCGGCGGCGAATAACGTCTTCTGTTCTTTCCCCTTCACTTTCGCATCATCGTCCGCGACCTCTAGCCCAACTGCAGCACATAACGCGGACTGGACAGTGTTGTCCGAATCCGCTTCCACAAGTTCGCGACACGTTTTGAAAATGTTGAGCATCCTGTGGCACAATCAAAAAGCACGGGAGTTAGAACGAAACGGTTGAATGAACCGTGCATGCGGAAGCACGTCGTACCTCTTGTGGTTGCCAGCCAGTTTCCGCAGAAAAAGATTTGAATATAGGCCCGCGGTCATCTTCCGCGCCAGGTCGAGATCTTCCGCCCAATCGGATTCCTCCTGATTGGAGAGCACCAACTCACGACTCTTGAACGCGGTCGTGCCACACGGTCTGTGCCACCGCGGACAGGTAGCGCGCGGGCGTAGTACGCGAAAACGAGCCGAGATAGTAGCGCACCCCTCCGTGATGAAGCTCAACCGAGAACGGGTTTTTGTTCCCCGGAGTAAAGCGGACTCCGACCATCGCCGTCTGTGTGGCCGCGACGTTCTTATGCCCCCCCTCCACAGCACCGGTCCCAATACAAAGCTGGTCCTTCGGGTCCTTGGCCATTGCACCCCCACGACCAGCACCCTTCACCGTAGCCCGGGCCGCAAGAAACCTTTTCCGCGATTCCAACGCCTCCGCATCCTCGTCGTCAGAAATGACTACCGCGCCCTCGTTCTTGCTCCCCGCAATGGCAAGCCTCGCAGCCGCGACTCCACCGTCCTTCACTGCAGCAGCCGCGGTAGATGAATCTTTTCCGGCGGCCTTCAACTTCTTCACGCGGCCCGTAGTAGCCTCGCCTTCGGCAGCTTGAGGTACAGGACGCTTCTCCTGACGCGCGGACTCACCACCCCCTGATAGGATGAGCGGGAGGCTCGTGACACCCGCTGGAGCCGCGGGGAGTGTGGGAATCCGACCCGCGGGCTGCTCGGGGCATGTAGTCGGCCCCAAATTACCCGCGAAGGACCCCATCACTGTCCTCAAGATCATAGCCCCCGCGCCCGCACCACGCTCAGCCGCGTTCGCAGCGGCGTTTTCAAAGCCGACGAGCTTCTGCCAGACCTCCGCGCGAGTCTGCTCTGCGGCACTGTTGAGCGCGGAAAAAATCGTGGACTTCAACTCCACCACCGCGGCCTCAAGGCGTGCAAATGTGAGCGCCGCCGTCTCCCTTTGAGAAGTCGCGTTCGCCCTCTCCACGCGCATTTCCTGGACCGCGTTTGCAACATCCTCGCGACCTCGCTTATCCGCATCGTCGACGCGCGCCACGAGGCGGTTCATGGTCGTCAATGCCCGTTCAAACCCCTCTTGGCTCTCCTCCGCGCGACCCATCAACTCCGACATCGTATCCCGCTGGTGTGCCAATTGCCTTTCCTGCGCATTGGCCAACTCCTTCAGCCGACGGACTTTGGCCTCGAGACGCACCACCTCGTGCGCAAGCGTGAGCGCCGGCAACTTGGAGAGCTGTTCGGCGGAGCGGCCGCCGCTCCTTTTCGGCCATTTCCCACCTCTGCCACTAGCAACCTCCAACCGATTCTCGGTTACGCGGGGTGGACTGGCCTTGTCCACGTCGTCAGCTGCGGTGTTCTTCTCCGCGGTTGGCGCGGCAGGCCCCTTCTCGTTTCCCGCGTCATCCACCTTCCTGTTCTGGTTTCCCGCGGATGAATCACCCACAGCCTCCGATACCCTTTCCGCGTTGTCACCATCGGGTGTCTTACTCGCGGGTGGGTTTCCCTTTCCAGGGTCCGCGACCGTACCGGCAGCGCTGTCCACCGCGGCCGCGTGAAGCACCGTTGAGCGAGCGCCAGCCGTTTTGTGCAACGCGGGCTCCGCTAGAACGATGTCGACGGCAAGATCACACGCGTGCTTGACGATCCTGTCCCTCAGAGACTTCAGGGACTTCGTCTTCGGGGCACGGACGACATCCGAACTGTTCCGCGACGCAAAATCATAATCTTGCAGCACGCGTTGAAAGCCGTAGACGACGATCATGCCGGACTTGGCGTTAGGATCGGTAACGTGGGTGAGGTCCTGCGGAAACACAGACAAAAAACATCTTTCAGACGCGAAGAGCAGGATCACAGGGGGACACGCGGAAACACGCAGCAAGAGCGTACCATCCACTCTCGCCTGAGCACCAGCGCCCGCTGCCGAACTTTCTTCTTGAGATCCGGCTCCAAGTTCCCCGATGCAACCACCCTCGCGAACCACCTGCGGGAAAACGCAACACGAAATGTGAACAGCCCCGCGATGAAGCAACTTTTAAAACGAACGAAACTCACCCGACCACGTCGTCCGCCAGCTTTGAATGTTTATCCTCGTCGGGAACTGACTCGATGTGAAGAACCCGCGTTCCGCAATTTTCCTCGTCAGGCGAAACGAGGTCGTCGGGGCGGATGACGAGCAGGATGCTGCAATGACAAGAACCATCGTCCAGACTGCACGCGCGACAGAATCAAGAACAATGAGCGAAAAAAACCACGACGGGCGTGCATAAAAAAGAAACTACCCGCGATCCACCCACCTGCTCCACAACGGAAACACGAGCAGGGATTTGCAGAGCAGGTCGTCGTTGATACTGTCCTTCTTTAGGAGCGGTGCAAGGACGTCGTGCGTATACACGAGAGGACTGTGTTCCAGGGGCGGAGGATGCCTGCCAAGCACATGGCTGTTGAAACCACGATGGATGGAACAAAAGAGTGTCAGAAAGCGCGATAACGCGAAAAAATGGCGCGGAAAAAACATCGGATTGCACTTACAGGCAAGCGAAATCAAGGCACGGCGCGGAAAAATCAGCGTCCTCATTGAGCAAGATGTCCTTGTTCTCGCCCGCGAGACTAACAGATGCGCCACCGGCCACCAAAACAACGTCGTGACCCTTCAGAGCTTCCATGGGATCCACGAGATTCCGGCGTTCGCGAAGCATCCTGCACGCGCAAAAAGGGTAACCGACGCGAGAACGCGAAAAATCCATCAGGATAGTCACCCGCGGAAACAAGCTCCGCGGAAAAGCCAGTACCACGGGTTTAACCGACTCACAACGGCACACGCAGAAATGAAAACGCTGGAATATAAACCCAGCGAATGAGGCGCACGTACATGGATGGGGGAAAACCGCACGCGGTTTCGAACGCGAGAAACCAGTACTGAAAAGCAAGCGCGAAAAGCAAGCGCGAATTCCGTAACGAGAGTTAATGAGAGTTAATGAGGACACGCAGCTGAATCGGATGAGGCAGATGCATGAACGAGGCACGTCGGAAGTACTTGCTAGAGATTCCGCGGCCGACTACCCGCGTGCAATAATCCAGCCGTGCGCATCGAAACTCAAAACAAAACACACAAGCGTGAACGCATGCCTTACAAAAGCGGAGAGAGCAGAGACGTAGATTAAGGTCTGCGCAGAGAGCTGACCGAGAGGGATGAGGAAAGGCTGAATCGAAACGCAAAACAAAACACAAAAATGGGACTCGGAGGGCCTCCTATACCCCCTCCGGCCCTCCTGCCCCGTTCCTCGCTCGGAGCATCCCAACGCCCGTCGGCCCAGGGGTGCATCGGACGGGTGCCACGCGTCCACTGTAACATCGCGCATCCTCTTACGTACACTTCATTTAACAACTCGTTGTTGTAGATTTAATACTCGTTGTATTCGAAAAACACAAGGGAAAGGTCACGTAAGAACGCGAGTTTTTAATGTTATGGTGGGTGCGACTCTCTCGCGGGCTGCAGCCGTGTGCACATCCCAAGTGTTTTTCTCCTGCGTGAGGGTGTCGTGCGTTGTTTTTCAATTCAAGGAAACAGCATCGGGAAACCGGAAGCACAAAATGCATGAAGGGAGATTCCGGCAGTGGGTGTGGCTCGCGGGGTGCCTATTTCCGGTTGCCCCGCACTAACGGGTCATTCGCGCGCGTGTCCCTTGTGGCGCTCCTGGCGAGGCCAACCGGGCCTCGGCAGGCACGGGCCGGGCCTCGCAGGCTCGCGAGCCCGGTGGTCCCAGTCCCCGTCACGCGGGGAGAGTGTTGCGTCATGCGGTCCCCGAGCCAGCTCGAAGGGCCGGAGCTGCGTCAGCCTGCTTCCCGCCCCGGACAGGCTGGCGAGCTCGGTTCCGGGCGGTCGAGTGCAGCACGCGGGCCCTCGCGTGCAGGGGGCTCGGAGCCCGGTAGCGCTACCGAGGCCGGTACCGAGCGACTACCGTTTTCGGAAGTGAAATGTATTGAGATGAGGTGAGGCAAATTCAGGAGCCGAAAGAAAGGGATGGGAGGGAAGGGAAGCGAAGAGCCAAGTCGCCATGCACCCCTTCCCTGGTGTAACCCCAAGGCGCGGGACGCCGCTGCAGCGTCTGGTTGCGGGAAATTTGCGCTGACAAGGCGGGAAGCTTTGGGAAGTTGGCGGAGGAGGTGCGCTGAACGGCGGGGAGCCGCGAAGAACGTCCGAAACGCTGGCGAGTGGACGAAGTTTTCGCCAGCATTGGAAAGACCCCTTATTCCGCTGTGGAGATGTGTTACCGAGTTTTCGCGGGGGATGTGCTCCTGACATCCACGGCGTTAGATGGGGTGGTGATGGTGAGGTGAGGTTTGCTGACAGGCAGCAACACTATTGGCTCGGATCTTGTGCAAGTGTCAGACCGCGGATTCGAATTTGAGTTGGCCGTCACGTCAACCGTCTGGAGGGAAAAGCCGTTTTCCGCTACAACTACACAGTACGTGCTTCGATACGCAAATGTTGCTGTTCGCATGTTGATTCAAAGCAAGCATGCAGCTAAATCAGGGACTAAACCATTAACAATCATGCAACTAAACCATTATTGTTGAAGGTGGCTAAATATAGGTTTCTGTGCTTCTCATAATTTCACTACCCTAATGTCGCAACATCAGTTATAGAAAATGTTGTGAAATAAGGCAACCAGCATTTAGTCACCTTTTATGCTTTTTATCGTAGTTCAACGCTGCAATCACATGGTGCGTGGTGGATAAGACGCCTTCAATAGGGGCAAGACCCCAGGGTGAGCTTTGAGTAGAGGCAAAGAGCCATGGGGAAATGGAGGCATTGAAGTCTTCAAAGCGAGACACGAGTAAAGCCTCCCAGTCCACCTAAATGGAAGTGACATGATGAAGGTGGTGTATGAATGGAGCTCATACGATTATTCGTGTGGTGACTGATCGGGTACCAAGGCATAAGGCCCACTATGAACTGCTCCTGTCGAGGACCTACCACACATGTTTTTTGACTGCGGACATGCACCCTCGGTGGTCGAGTCAATCCAACGGGTAGCCTCGCGACACCTCAACACTTCGGTTGAGGCTGTTGCGGTGTTTTTCCCACTTCCTCACCCGTCGAGCCTCACGGCCCCTTGGTGTCTACTCGTTGGTGCGGCTACCACCATTCTTTGGAGAGATCTCTGCGCCTTTCACTAAGAACAGACCTCCTACTCTCGCCTGGAGACTCTGCACCGAATACTGGCTCTGTTCCTGACAGCCTGCAAAATCTACTTCTCACGCCGTTCTTAGTGGTCTGACAAGAAGAAACGTGCCACCATCAACCGGGTCAAGGCAGCATCGTCGTTACGCCTCCTCGTCTTTAGTTCAGAGGGCTCCCCTCAGCTGCATCCAGATTTTCGAGACTCATGGCTTTTGAACGATACATTTCATCCTCCTTAGGAACAGCTTGGCTTTAGGTGTACATCCCGGTTTGTCAGAATGTAATTGTATACATCACTTTATAACTGCCTGCAATGTAGACTTAGTGTAGTTATCTTTCTTGTTAGGTGGTGCACCTTTCTTCTCTTCTTTCATATTTGTACCCTTGAGCCTATAGTGAAACCATCCTTTTCTCCTTGCAACTCTCTCGACATTCCCCTTCCACCCTAAACTTCAACTACTAAGCCACTAAAGCCATGGCTCCTAAGCCTAGATGTACTTAGTATCTTAACACGGTTAAGGCCTTGGCCTTCATTCTACCATTCGGTAGGCAAGTAACACAGTTTGTGTAGGTCCTCTAGACCTTGGCTTTTGCCATGCTTGTGGTGTGTACTGTATGCGGTTACGACCATAATAAAAACTTAAACCACTATGAACTGCTCCAGACTTTGTGTGCCTAATGTTTCGTGCCCCGCGGAGATATCCGCGATTTCTCAGCTGCGTCAGCCTTAGTGTGCAGGCGAAAATCGCAGGTGAAATAAAAACTTGGGTGCATTATCTTTTTTTTGCCGTGTGTGTTTCGCTGGTTAATATGTGTGTGCGTGTTATTTTGTTTTCGGGGTTTTTAAATTTCAACGGAACAACACGGAGACACAAAGCGGTGAGAACAAGAGCGATCGCAGCAAGGGGTGTGGCTCGCGGGGTGCCATTTTTCCGTTCCCCCGCATGTGCGTGTTTTCTTTTCAGGGTTATTAGTGTCAACGGAACAACACGGAGACACGGAGGCACGGAGAACAAGAGACATTGTTATTCCTCCGCGTGTTCCAGCAAGGTGGCTCGCGGGGTGCCTTTTTTCCGTTCCCCCGCGTGCGTGTTATTCCTCCGCGGGTGAGGCTGGCCCGGTGGTCCCTGGCCACGTCACTCCGGGAGCGTGCTGCGTCAGGCGGTCCCCGAGCCAGCTCGGAGACCCGGAGCTGCGTCAGCCTGCTTCCCGCCCGGGACAGGCTGGCGAGCTCGGTTCCGGGCGGTCCAGTGCAGCACGCGTGGTCTGGCGTGCTGGGAGCTCGGAGCCCGGTAGCGACTACCGGTTTACGATGTGAAATGTATTGTATAATACCAGGGCTCTCGTTATCAGACCAAATTGGTCTGATGGTCTGATTTTCAGACGTAGATTTTCGCTTTCATCTGATCTCTAAGACGATGCTTTTTTATTTCGTCTGATCCGTAAGATGACTGATTTTAGTTCATCTGATATTTCAGAGCAAGCTCTTTACTTAGTCTGAAATTTCAAAGAACGAGTTGTTTTTCGTCTGATACCGATCCCCCTCCCCCCAACCCTCCCTTTCCCCCCCGATCTCTCGCTACTCTACCAGCTCAGCCCCCCCTTCTATGCCCTCGCTCCTCTTCCAGGCCTAGTCCTGTCCAACCCTTCTCCCCCTTTCCCCAACCTGAGGTCTCTCCAGGTCTCGCTCCCAGCCTAGCCCGCTTTCATGCCCCTCGTAATGTCTCGCAGCCCAGCCCCCCCTTCCCTTCGCGTCCCTCCACCTCCACCCACCCTGATCCCTCGCGTCGCAGCCCCTCATTGTCATGTGCGTGCCCCTCAATAGCCACACAGCTGTCTGTCAGCTAGCGAACTGTCAGCACCGCGCCAGGGGCGCGTTCATTAACAAAACAAGCGTATTTAGAAAGCTTTCTTTCTAATACTTAGCATTTGGCATCGTTCTCATTTCAACTGGCAAATTACAACATGCACCTCGAGCTAGACAATATAAGTGCTAGTACATGTCCTGATACTTCCTATCAATCATTCGTCAAGCTATCAATCCTAATAGGTGTGCGCTAACCCATATTGTACCACTTGTGTCCTCCTGTGTAAGCGGCGGCCTTGGTGTCCATCGGTGTTGGGGCGGGGGGTGGGAGAGTTGCATGAGGCGATTGAAAAATGAGAGACGTGGGTGGAGGGAAATGAACTCCAACCCACGATTTGTAGTTGGAGAAGGGCGTTTAGCGCGCTTCGACGATGCCAAATTCGCGTTACAGTTAGCTGCGCTTTCGAAATACGTAATTTAAAAAAACACTATGTGTGTTTAAAAATTATCATGATTATGTTAGACAAGTGTGTTAGCTAAATCAGACTGCAAATTGAATCGTATGAAGAATCAGACTAAGCTTTAACATTCGTCCAAAAAATCAGACCAAAAAAATATGCCCGTCTGAACGTCAGACGGAACGGTTTTTTTACTTAGGTATGTCAGACAGGCCCAAATCCTAGCAAGAGCCCTGTATAATACGTGACTCCAAGGCTATAATTTGTTCACCCTAACACAAAATACTACTATTCAAGAGCAAAACCATTTGTAGACGTGATGCCAACAAGTAGTAGTTACCAAATAAACATCATTAGTGAAGATTTTCTGGCTTCCTGCTATGAGTGTGATTAAACAAGTGAAACGAGGGTTGCGCGTGTCCAGCGTGCACACTTTGAAAATATTACTTAAACTTTACGCATTCGGGTCCTCCTCTCCCTACGTATGTATACCACAATCAAAGACCCTCTTCCGCTCTCTTTCCGGTGGGTACTTTGTGTGCGGGATTACGGTATGTTGGAAGCGTCATTTGCTACGATGGATTAATGAACACTCTTATAACTCAGTTCTTCCTACATAGGCAAAGCAGTGGCAACAAACCTTTAAGTGCAGTGCTCAATATGTGCAGCCATGAAGGAAGAAAACAAGGTTGTAAGAGATTTGAAGGTGCGCGAGCCGGGTGCAGAGCTAGGGAAATGTTGATGGCAGCAGTCTGCATGGCTGACTGCACCCACTGCAGCACGTTTCCCTAGGGAAACGGATCAGGCAGGCGCCTGGGAAGGACGTTTGAGGCGCGTCACAACACGCGGGCCGGGTGCAGAGCTGGGGAAATGTCAATGGCAGCAGCCTGCATGGCCGCCTGCACCCACTGCGGCACGTCGCCCCGCGGGAACTGTTGGACATGGGGATGGGGGATGTGGGAAATGGGACAGGGGGATGGAGGGAAGGGGAGAAGTAAGGATGTAGGGTGGCAGCAGTCTGCATGGCTGCCTGCACCCACGGCGGCACGTCGCCCCGGGGGAACTGTTGGACCAAGCACATGAGGAGACGAGGATGGAGAGATGGGGATGGTTGGATTGGGGATTGGGATTTGGAATCTGGGATGGGGACTGGGCGGATTGGGGATGCGCGGATTGGGGGATGTGGGGATTGGGGGATGTAGGGATTGGGGGATGTGGGGATTGGGGGATGTAGAGATTGGGGGATGTGGGGATTGGGGGATGTGGGGATTGGGGGATGTAGGGATTGGGGGATGTGGGGATTGGGGGATGGGAGGATTGGGGTTGGGGATTGGGGGATGTTGGGGTTGGGGGTTGGGGTTGGGGATGTATGTGCGTGTGTGTGTGTGTGTGGAGTATGGATCTGTGGGGGGAAGCTGAAAAAGCGGAGGGTGGGAAGATGGAAAAGGGACGGGGAGAAAGCGCGAAAGGGCACACCTGTTTTTGGAGAAAATCAACCACAAAGCTGCAGGGAGCAGGGAGCAGGGGAGAAGAGGAGCAGAGGAACAGGGAGGAGGGAAGCAGGGAGGAGGAGAGCAGGGAGGAGGGGAGCAGGGAGGAGGCAAGTGCATGAGTATTGGACACACAGGGATGCAATGTGATTCTTCGATTATGAGAGAGAGATATGAGGGGTTACGAGGGATTATGTGGGATTAAGAGGGATGTAAATGGCGAGGAAGGAAGGGAGGCAAATGAAGGGAGGGAGGCACATGAAGGGAGAAAGGGAGGGAGGCATACCTGGGGAAGGTGTTATTAAGAATGGCGTTGTGCATTGACCTTGTGAGCTGCATTGCCAGGGAGGAGAGGGGGGCATGGGATGGGCGCAGAGACAAGCCCATTTCACATGTGAGCAGGGTGGACATGTGGGAGTAATGGGCCGGCTAAGAGGCATGCACTGTCTGTTAGACAATTACAACAGACAGTGCCCCCCGCAACTGCCATGCCCTACACCTCCCCCACATTCCAGTTTCACTCTCACTCGCACTCGTTCATAAACCCACTACTCCCCCAGCCAACTTCCGCTCTCAACATATGCTTCCACTCTCACCTCGTCTCACATCCCCAACATCTCCTACCCACCGCCTGTGCCATCCCAATCACATCTCATCTCATGCCACCTCTCTCGCTCTCTCCCCATCTCCACCCATAGCCCCCCTTCCCTCCCCCCCCCCCCCCCCCCACCGAACTCCCCTCCAACCCCCCCACCTGCATCATGTAGGCGATGTTGTGGATGGTGAGCAGATGGTGGGATTTGTGCCTCATCCCACCCACCCATACCCCACCCCACCCCCCTCACCTGCATCATGTAAGCGATGTTATGGATGGTGAGCAGGTGGCAGCCAACAGGGTCCTTGGTCACCAGCGAGTGCAGGTAGGCGCGTGAGAAGCTGCGGCACGCCTGGAGGGTGCAGAGAGATGTAGTGTGGTGCAGTGGGGTGTGGGGGGTGCATTCAGGAGTGGGATGCGGTGGAAGGTGAAACCTGAGACGGTTTGACTGAGCAGGTGGCAGCCAACAGGGTCCTTGGTGACCAGTGAGTGCAGATAGGCGCGTGAGAAGCTGCGGCACGCCTGGAGGGGTGCAGAGGGATGTGGTGTTGGGGATGAGAGGCGAAGAGTGCAGATTCACAGGCGGAGAGCAGCAGGCAGCAAGGCAAACCCAGCAGGCAGGGCAGCAGTGCAACTCACCAGGCAGGAGCAGGAGGCGTCGATGGAGTGGTGGTTGGCAAGGAAACACTGACACAGACGCACCAGGAGCAAGGAGGGCGGCGGGGAGACGCACCAGGCAGGCAGCAGAGGGGCAGTGCGACCCACCAGGCAGGAGCAGGAGGGGTCGATGGGGCGGTGGTCATTCGCCATTGCAGCATGCTTGAGCTTCAACACGCCCTCTGGTATCAGAGCCGTGCCGAAGCGTGCCGTGCGCGTGGGGTAGACACAGTCGTACATGTCTGCCCCCAGGGCGGAGCACACCACTATGTCCAATGGGTACCCCACTCCCTGCACAGCCACACGCATGCACACACGCACGCATGCGCACATGCACACAAGCATGTTTGAGGCACACATTGGAGAAACAGTCGTACATGTCCGCTCCCAGGGCTGAGCAAACCACTATGTCCAATGGGTACCCCAATTTCTGTGGTGTTTGGACGGGAAAGGGGGAGGGTCACAGGTATGTCTGATACACAACATGCCATGCCATTCCATGCCATGCCATCCCATGCCATGCCGTACCATACCATGACGTATCTTGGCTTGTTGGCCGGCAGGGCTGCCGTGCACTGCGCCACTACACGCCAAAACGACTCCTTGTCCTCGCCGCCCGCCAACCCACCAACAGCGTACCTGGAAATGATCAATGGAGTGAAGTATAATGGGTGGGATGGGAAGGTGGTGCGGATGAAGCAGACGCTGTGAGAGGCAATGGGACAGAGCTGCAATTCTGGATCATACAGAGCAACGCAGGCTGAAGCCACGAGCCAATACAAAATCATTGCCCAAACAGAACGGCATTAGCGGTGGTGACACTGCTGTGAACCAATCCGGACTCGGCTCTGATCGTGCGGGGGTAGGCCGCACGATCCACACTGACGTACCCGGGTAGGTCTCTGTCAATGAGCCCCTTCAGACAGATGTCCCTGCATGCATCAAGGGGGGAAGAGAGAGCGGAGAGAACAGGCGGCAGGCAATGGGAGAGGAAGATGGTAGCAGCAGGGAGCAGGAGAAGGGCGTGCAGGAGATGGAAGTGTGGTTGAGTCGATTCCGAAACTCCCCCAAAAGTGAATCTCATATTGCTGGTGGAGAAAGCGAAGCGAGAGAGGAAAGAGGAGAGAAGATGACGGAGATGTGCTGTGCTGACAACACTACTGCCTATGCCACACTGTCAGACGCCCTTCGGTTTGCCTTCACAAGAATTCACTCACCTGAACCTGCTATTCTAAATTATAACGCTGTTTCCACCTGAGCAGCTACCACCTGAGTTTTCACCTGAGCTTAGGGTCCAGCCCTCCCTGCACAATCCCAAAGAGGTTCTGGTCGTGCGGCCGGCTGTGGGCTGCGGGGAGAGAGGGGAGGGAGGGGAGGCACAGCAGCATGCAGGAGACTGGAAGGCTGGGAGGTCGCTGGGAGGCTGGGAGGCTGGGAGAAAGAGGAGCGGGTGGGGCGCTGTGGAGAGCAAGCAGAGGAGAAATGACGAGCTGAACCTCACTGCCTGCTCTCAGTGACACTGGGAGGAATCCCAGTGTCATGTGATGGCTTGTGATGTGAATGCTTACTTGGACCCTCGTACCCCACGAGCCTTACAACCAGTGGCTTTTCTCAATTGGTACCCGCATAGTCACTACATTTAGTTTCACACATGATGCACATCTACGTCCACCTCACCCTGCCTGCACCCCTCACTCCACCCACCCTGGCCCCCCCCTGCCTGCACCCACCCCTGACTCCACCCACCTCGGCCCATGCCCCCCACCCTGCCTGCACCCCTCACTCCACCTCACCCTGCATGCATCGGTCCATCCACCTCAGCGTGCGATGTGTCGCCTCCTCGATGCGCGGGCCTGACACCAGGCTGCTGACCACGTCATCCAGAGCCATGATGATGTCAGCACCGATCTTGTTCTGCGCTCCTTCCAGGATACAGCCCATGAGTTAGTCACACAAGAGAAAACGCATGGCGGAGGGCTTTTAAGGGGTGTGATCTGGTGAAATGAATGGTGGGTGATGGAGGTAATTCAAAGTAAAACACACATGGTCGTTCATTAAAAGAGACCAAGCGGATCACCTGTAGTTCCCAATTCTAGTCCCCTCCCACAGTTCCCTCCCTCAGTTCCCTCCCACAGTTCCCTCCCACAGTTCCCTCCCTCAGTTCCCTCCCACAGTTCCCTCCCACAGTTCCCTCCCACAGTTCCCTCCCACAGTTCCCTCCCACAGTTCCCTCCCTCAGTTCCATCCCACAGTTCCCTCCCTCAGTTCCCTCCCTCAGTTCCATCCCACAGTTCCCTCCCACAGTTCCCTCCCTCAGTTCCATCCCACAGTTCCCTCCCTCAGTTCCCTCCCACAGTTCCCTCCCACAGTTCCCTCCCACAGTTCCCTCCCTCAGTTCCATCCCACAGTTCCCTCCCACAGTTCCCTCCCTCAGTTCCATCCCACAGTTCCCTCCCACAGTTCCCTCCCACAGTTCCCTCCCTCAGTTCCATCCCACAGTTCCCTCCCACAGTTCCCTCCCACAGTTCCCTCCCTCAGTTCCATCCCACAGTTCCCTCCCTCAGTTCCCTCCCACAGTTCCCTCCCTCAGTTCCCTCCCACAGTTCCATCCCACAGTTCCCTCCCACAGTTCCCTCCCACAGTTCCCTCCCACAGTTCCCTCCCACAGTTCCCTCCCACAGTTCCCTCCCACAGTTCCCTCCCACAGTTCCCTCTCACAGTTCCCTCCCACAGTTCCCTCCCACAGTTCCCTCCCACAGTTCCCTCCCACAGTTCCATCCCACAGGCACCTGGATGGCGATGGACTCTTCTGTTGGCACTTTACACTGTTTCAGGTCGCGTAAACGCCCAAGCCCAACGCCCAACGCCCGTGCAGTGGAGAGCAGTGAATTGCAGTGGAGTGTGGTGGAGTGCGGTGGCCCGTGGGGGTTCGTGTGGTAGGCACCTGAATGGCGACGGACTCTTCTGGTGTGAGCAGCATGTGAGTGCCGTCCACAGGCGACTGGACTGGAACTCCACACCCTGCTCTGTGATGTCCGCCAGGCGCTGTGCTGGTGCAGAGTGGTGGAGTGCGGTGGAGTGCAGTGGAGTGCATTGGAGTGCAGTGGAGTGCGGTGGAGTGCGGTAGAGTGCGGTGGGGGTTCCTGTTGGATTCACCTGAATAGCAATGGACTCCTCAGGCGTGAGCAGCATGCGCGTGCCGTCCACTGGCGACTGGAACTCCACCCCCTGCTCTGTGATGTCCGCCAGGTGCAGCAACGACACCTGCCACGGTGCACAGCGGTGGAGAGGAGTGCAGGGCGGTGGAGGCCGGTGTGCGGCAAAGCACGCAGTGTGGTGGCGGCGGCAAGCAGCAGCAAGAGCACCCGGTGTGGGCCGGGCATGGCATGGTATGGCATGCAACAGCGCTGCAACAGAGGTACCTGGCTGCCGTTTGAGCAGTGTGTGCATTCCCCATGCCTATACTCCCTTCCCCGTGTCTACATTCTACCCCTCCCACCTTCTGCAAGCGAGGCACGCACAATCTAGGACCCGCCCGTGCCATCTTAAAGCCCACTCTCTCACCATTTGAACCCCCCCCGAGTCAGTGAGCAGTCCGCGCGGCCAGTCCATGAACGCACGTAGCCCGCCCGCGCCATCTTAAAGCCCCAACCCCTCACCATCTTAAAGCCCCATCCTCTCACCACCTTAAAGTCCCACCCCCCTCTCACCATCTGGAACCCCCCCGAGTCAGTGAGCAGGCCATGGGGCCAGTCCATGAACGCATGCAGCCCGCCCGCGCCATCTTAAAGCCCCAACCCCCCACCATCTTAAAGCCCCAACCCCCCACCATCTTAAAGCCCCCTCTCACCATCTGGAACCCCCCCGAGTCGGTGAGCAGTCCACGCGGCCAGTCCATGAACGCATGCAGCCCGCCCGCCTCAGCGATGACGTCAGCGCCGGGGCGGTTGGCGAGGTGGTATGTGTTCCCCAGCACCACCTGGCAGCCCAGCTCGCCTAATTGTTGCGCTGTCAGGCCTTTGATTGTGCCTGCTTGGGTCCAGCGAGGGTAGGGGACAGGGGAAGGAGAGAAGAAGGGTGCGGACAGGGAAGGAAGGGAAGCGGTTGGCAAGGTGGTCTGTGTTTCCCAGCACCACGTGGCAGCCCAGCTCTCCCAGCTGCTGCGCTGTTAGGCCCTTGATTGTACCTGCCTCGGTCCCGTGAAGGAAGGAAAAGGAAGGGGAGGATAAGGGTGCGGACAGGGAAGGACGGAAAGGGGTTGGCGAGGTGGTAGGTGTTTTCCTCCCCAGCACCACCTGGCAGCCCAGCTCGCCCAGCTGCTGCGCTGTCAACCCCTTGGTGGTCCCTGTTGTGGTGGCAGTCGGAACGGGGCGAGGACATGGGAGGGAAGGGAAGGTGTGGGTTGAGTGTCATAAGTCACATGGTCAGAGCCAAACTGGTTGGCGAGATGGTGACGGGGCTGCAAAAGCACCACCTGCGACCCAGCTCACGCAGCTGCTGGTCCGTCTAAACCCCCTTTAACCCCTCACAATCTCAACCACTCTCAGCACTCTCAACCATAGTAGGGAACCCACCTTGCGTGCCCACGGGCATGAACATGGGCGTGAGGCAGCTGCAGCCGCATTCTCGCTACATGCTGTCTAAGCCCCTCTCAGCCCATCTAAACCCCCTTCAACCCCTCTCAAAACCTGTCAACCACTCTCAACACCCGTCAAGGACCCACCTTGCGTGCCCACGGGCATGAACATGGGCGTGAGGCAGCTGTGGTGCGGCAGCGTCATTCGCGCCGCTCGCGCGCGCCCGTGGGTCGCCAGTACCTGCCGCCGCCGGCGGGAGAAGGGAGGGGCGGGGCGGGGGAAAGGAGGGCGGGGGGAAGGAGGGCGGGGGGAAGCGAGGCGCGGGGGAAGGGAGGGGCGCACGCGGGAAAGGAGCCCAAAAACGCAACAGTTTCGCGTGTGCGTGACAACAGTGGTTGCGAGAAGAACCAACAGGGGAAGAATGGGGCGGGGGGGAACGGGACAAGAGGCGGAAGGTTTGCACTCAGTTCAGTTGACGAACGCGCACCTCGAATTCTAGCGCCATGCTGCTGCTGCTGGCGCCGCCGCCGCTGCCGCGACTGCCGCTGCTGACGCTGCTGCTGCTGCAGCCGTTGCTTATGCTGGCGTCGCTGTGGGCGACGGCATTCAGCCGATTTGCTGCACCATGCGCTGTGGATTGGCCGTGAAGGCCTTGCCGTAAGGAATGGTACCGGCAATGGCGGCGGTGTGGCGGCGACAGACGAGGTGTCGCGACGGGCGACAAGACGAGACGGAGTGACCAGCGGACACTCGCAAGCTGCGACATTTACGATCACAACACGAATCCTCCTGTGGACCCGTCAAAACAGACTTGTTAATGTGTTATAAACATAAACGTTTGAAGAACTCTCAGCCGCCCTAGCTCAGTTGGTAGAGCGCAAGGCTCTTAACCTTGTGGTCGTGGGTTCGAGCCCCACGGGCGGCGAATTTTACCTCTGTATACACGTTTTCAATTTCCTGTTTTTTGTCTTGAGTATATGTGATGGTTGTGTGTAACGCGGATGTGAACTCCAAGCCTCAAGGCTTCTACGTGGAGCATCTTTGTAGGTCAAGAAACTGTCGCACGTTCCATCTACTTTGCCCCCTCCCCAATCGTGCACCAATTGCTGTCGCCATCGCAGGGGCAAGCAGAGCCGCGTGCGAGCCGGGATTCGGGAAATCGCACACGGTGGAACATCGAAGCGCGGCAAACCAATCAGAAATGCGCCCCTATCACAACGCAACTCGTCACTCCCATCCCACGCACTCCCATCCCACGCACTCCCATCCCACGCACTCCCATCCCACGCACTCCCATCCCACGCACTCCCATCCCACGCACTCCCATCCCACGCACTCCCATCCCACGCACTCCCATCCCACGCACTCCCATCCCACGCACTCCCATCCCACGCGCTCCCATCCCACGCACTCCCATCCCACGCACTCCCATCCCACGCACTCCCATCCCACGCACTCCCATCCCACGCACTCCCATCCCACGCACTCCCATCCCACGCACTCCCATCCCACGCACTCCCATCCCACGCACTCCCATCCCACGCACTCCCATCCCACGCACTCCCATCCCACGCACTCCCATCCCACGCACTCCCATCCCACGCACTCCCATCCCACGCACTCCCATCCCACGCACTCCCATCCCACGTTTCTCATTCCTTGCTATTTTTCCACCACATCTCCAGCGCAACATTTTACACCTCGCTCGAACGAGGAGCTCCACTGCTGCTGCTGCTGAGCAGGGCTGTGCCGTCACTTGATAGTCGCATCCGAAGCGCGCCAGTCGTGATCCGCTGACAAGTCAGCAAGGGTGTGCTGAGTTGCGTCCCGTCCCGTGGCGAGCCGAGTAGCCAAGTCTCTTTCTGCCATGGCCACTCCACTGACAACGCCAGAACCCCGCTGCACCGTGCCCTCCTTCAGTTGTTTACCGCCATATCCACCCTCGCTTCAGTCCCACGTGATACGATGTTATCTCCATTCGCTAGTGTGAGGCAGCGCTCCTAAGAACCGCAACGCGAGAATGGACCAGAGCATACAATGTGCGGCGCGGCAGAAACGCGTTTCAGCAATACGATCTTATTAATCGGCTAACACAGCTACTAGGCACGCCACTCCAGCATCGCGTGCAAGTGTAATCAGCAATCCTACTAGCGCCTGGTAAACTTGAGATAAGTAATCACGCCTAGTAAACTTGAGATAAGTAATCACAAAGGTACTGACTATCTCTAGCGGAGGTTTCCACTACCTCCATCTACAGCCTCTGCGCGAGCTGCAGTGTAGAACCGTCCATACACCCGCCGATCTGCGCGAGTCGCGGGGATGAACTCTGCCGCGCTGCTGCTTCTCCCGCTCCTCACCCGCCTCCTTCCGCGCCAGCTCGGCGCGCTTCACGCAGAGGGGAGCTCGAGCGCCCTCGTGCTCTCTCCTGATTGGCGGGCGGACGCAGGAAATGGGGGAAGGGCTGTGGGGGAGCAAGGAGGGGCAACACGGGGGGAAGGCGGGGTTGTAGTCCGGGAAGAAATGAGACAGCTGGGGGAAGTCCGCCAAGGGGGGAAAATGGCAGCGGCGCACCGGTTGCTGGTGGTGAATGGCGGGAGAAATCAAAGTGGCGCTGGGAAGCGCCGGGGGAGGGGGAAGGGGAGGGAAACGGCGGCCACGGCAGCGGAAAGAAAAGGGGCGAGAGGGGCGAGGGGAGTGGCAGGAAGAATAGGAGCTACCCCGTCGGAAGCATCGCCGCCTCGCAACCACGCTGTAGGTCGCGCCAAAGGGAAAGGGCACAAGGGGGAGAAGAGGCATGGGAGGGGCGCAAGGAGCGGAGCGAGGCAGGCTGCTCGAGGGGGAGGCGTGCGCACGGGAAAGATTCTGACCAGTCGGACGCAGCCGCTGCGTCACTCCCAGAGGAGGCCAGCTACGGTGCAACGAAAAAGAGGGCAACGTCAGAAAGGGGCGAAGAAAAGTTTGAAGAGGCGGGTCCCGAAGGGGGTTGTGAGTCAGCAGTACAACGCAATGCAGAAGCCAAGCAGGGAGGGACAGCGCAGGACAGGCGCAGCAGCGGGGGGGGCACAAGGGGGAGGCAAGGCGGCGAAACGCCCTAGCGGTGGCCGCGGAGAGGAGCAGTTGCCGGAAGCACAGCTCGTGCGCGGGCGGACGGGGACAACAGGGGGGGGAGTGAGGCGAGGCGGAAGAGGAAATAGCAAACGCGGCGTGGGATCAGTGGAGCTGCCTACACCGTATGGTTATGTTCCCACTTGAAGCTGACATGTTTGTGCCGCCTACTAACTGCCTAACAACTGGAACTAGCTAGGGGAGTGCCTTGTAGTCAGGTTTTATGCAGCTCATCTTGCTGTTGGAAACTCCTCAGGTGCAGGGCTCTTGCTGTTGCCATACCAAAACGTGTCAATGGAATGTATTTGGCCTAACATGATCGCACATATGCACTGCAGCGCAGCATTTGCTCAAAGGCTTGCATTGCAAACATAACCACATGCAAGCTGGGCCTAAAGAACTAGACTAGCAGGGGTGAACTAGCAACTGGCCACCACACAAAGGGAGCTCCAGGCGGAATCTAATGAAAACCCCACTGAAGCAAAGCGGGGGGGCATAGTAACACAAGCATCTCACTAGCCTAGCCTGATCACTGCTGCCGGTACCTGCGACCCAATGGTGGGGCAGCTTCGTCTTGCTCTTTACACGCCTAGGAGCGAGCAGCGGAGGGAGCACGGGAGGATGTTGGGGGCGAGGAGAGGGCGGCAACAGCAGACGCGACGGTGGGCAGGGTGGAGGTGAGCAAGGGGAAGGAGGGCAGCGTGGGGTCGGTGAGGGGCGTGACTGAGGGGGAGAGCCATGGCATGACTGCCGAGGCAAAGGTTTCAAAGCGCGATGAGAGAATCGCCTCCCAGTCCACCTGCCGACGTTTGGGGAGAGCAGGGAAGGGGGGGAAGGAGATGGGTGGGGCGGGGTAAGGATTCGTGAGGACAGGCGAGTTTACAAGAAGGATAAAACGGTGGACATGAGCGCGGGCAGGCAGAAGCGGTGACAACACATGCAGAAATGCCACACATGTGTCTCTTGCTCCCTTCCACACATGTGCTGGAGTGCATGCCTGCCCCCACACACATGCAACAGGCCTGCACATCGCCATAACCCCAACGCTCCACAGAACCAGATAAGAAAGTCACAGACGTGAAACCGCATCGATTCCCACAAACCTGCAGTTTGCGCGGAATGGTGGCGGTGACCTGCAGCTAGGTGAGGCGATTCTTAAATTGAGTAACGTCTCAGCACACGCACAGCTTACACACCTGCAGTTTGGCCGGGATGGTGGCGGTGACCTGAAGTTGGGCCGCGAGGAAGAGCGCCAGTGTCACCACATACCCCACCATGGCTGTTCCACGTGCCAACGGCATGAAGTTGTACCTGCAGCAGAGGGAGTGGTGCAGTGGTGCAGAATGGTGCAAGAGTTATGCAGAGAGCCAGTGTCACCACATACCCCACCATGGCTGTTCCACGTGCCAGTGGCATGAAGTTGTACCTGCAGCAGAGGGAGTGGTGCAGTGGTGCAGAATGGTGCAAGAGTTATGCAGAGAGCCAGTGTCACCACATACCCCACCATGGCTGTTCCACGTGCCAGTGGCATGAAGTTGTACCTGCAGCAGAGGGAGTGGTGCAGTGGTGCAGAATGGTGCAAGAGTTATGCAGAGAGCCAGTGTCCCCACATACCCCACCATGGCTGTTCCACGTGCCAGTGGCATGAAGTTGTACCTGCAGCAGAGGGAGTGGTGCAGTGGTGCAGAATGGTGCAAGAGTTATGCAGAGAGCCAGTGTCACCACATACCCCACCATGGCTGTTCCACGTGCCAGTGGCATGAAGTTGTACCTGCAGCAGAGGGAGTGGTGCAGTGGTGCAGAATCGTGCAAGAGTTATGCAGAGAGCCAGTGTCACCACATACCCCACCATGGCTGTTCCACGTGCCAGTGGCATGAAGTTGTACCTGCAGCAGAGGGAGTGGTGCAGTGGTGCAGAATGGTGCAAGAGTTATGCAGAGAGCCAGTGTCACCACATACCCCACCATGGCTGTTCCACGTGCCAGTGGCATGAAGTTGTACCTGCAGCAGAGGGAGTGGTGCAGTGGTGCAGAATCGTGCAAGAGTTATGCAGAGAGCCAGTGTCACCACATACCCCACCATGGCTGTTCCACGTGCCAGTGGCATGAAGTTGTACCTGCAGCAGAGGGAGTGGTGCAGTGGTGCAGAATGGTGCAAGAGTTATGCAGAGAGCCAGTGTCACCACATACCCCACCATGGCTGTTCCACGTGCCAGTGGCATGAAGTTGTACCTGCAGCAGAGGGAGTGGTGCAGTGGTGCAGAATGGTGCAAGAGTTATGCAGAGAGCCAGTGTCACCACATACCCCACCATGGCCGTTCCACGTGCCAGTGGCATGAAGTTGTACCTGCAGCAGAGGGAGTGGTGCAGTGGTGCAGAATGGTGCAAGAGTTATGCAGAGAGCCAGTGTCACCACATACCCCACCATGGCTGTTCCACGTGCCAGTGGCATGAAGTTGTACCTGCAGCAGAGGGAGTGGTGCAGTGGTGCAGAATCGTGCAAGAGTTATGCAGAGAGCCAGTGTCACCACATACCCCACCATGGCTGTTCCACGTGCCAGTGGCATGAAGTTGTACCTGCAGCAGAGGGAGTGGTGCAGTGGTGCAGAATGGTGCAAGAGTTATGCAGAGAGCCAGTGTCACCACATACCCCACCATGGCTGTTCCACGTGCCAGTGGCATGAAGTTGTACCTGCAGCAGAGGGAGTGGTGCAGTGGTGCAGAATGGTGCAAGAGTTATGAAGAGAGCCAGTGTCACCACATACCCCACCATGGCTGTTCCACGTGCCAGTGGCATGAAGTTGTACCTGCAGCAGAGGGAGTGGTGCAGTGGTGCAGAATGGTGCAAGAGTTATGAAGAGAGCCAGTGTCACCACATACCCCACCATGGCTGTTCCACGTGCCAGTGGCATGAAGTTGTACCTGCAGCAGAGGGAGTGGTGCAGTGGTGCAGAATGGTGCAAGAGTTATGCAGAGAGCCAGTGTCACCACATACCCCACCATGGCTGTTCCACGTGCCAGTGGCATGAAGTTGTACCTGCAGCAGAGGGAGTGGTGCAGTGGTGCAGAATGGTGCAAGAGTTATGAAGAGAGCCAGTGTCACCACATACCCCACCATGGCTGTTCCACGTGCCAGTGGCATGAAGTTGTACCTGCAGCAGAGGGAGTGGTGCAGTGGTGCAGAATGGTGCAAGAGTTATGCAGAGAGCCAGTGTCACCACATACCCCACCATGGCCGTTCCACGTGCCAGTGGCATGAAGTTGTACCTGCAGCAGAGGGAGTGGTGCAGTGGTGCAGAATGGTGCAAGAGTTATGCAGAGAGCCAGTGTCACCACATACCCCACCATGGCCGTTCCCCGTGCCAACGGCATGAAGTTGTACCTGCAGCAGAGGGAGTGGTGCAGAGCGGTGCAATGATGGAATGGTGGCTTACAGCTACAGAGGCAGCCCGCTGCAGCCTGCAGCTTCAATGAACAAATCAAATACGACACAGGCCAGCCACTGATAGATGGTGTAAATATATACGGCCTATAATGACGAGACAACGGCATCAAGACAAGCAAAGAGTTGAAGGGGTGCTTGGAGTTCAGGCTTTCATGGTAAGGTATGGAGTTTAGGATGCGTGGTTACCAGTAGTAGGCGAGGCGCAGCACGGCTCGCTGGAATCGTGCCATAGAAGGACCAAGAGGCGGCCTCCATGCCCCCCCCTGCATCTTCTCCCCCACCACTGCGCACAAGTCCTGGGTTGGCCAGGGTGGGAAAGGGGGAGGAGAGGACAGAGAGAGCACAGGAGGGAGGAGGGCAGGGCTAGAACTGGAGAAGCTTTCTTCTCACTGCTCCCCTTTCAGCAGCCGTGCTGCCAGCATGACTCTGACATGAAACAACTGCAGAGTGTGACAATACCTTCAGCGGGGTACGATCAGGAGGGGAATCACAGAGGCCGCACACTGGCACATGCATCCGTGCGTCACGCTGCTTGCTGTCAGAAGCACACTTCCTGCCACGTCCGCAGCATTCACACCATTGGCCCTCCCTCACCAACAACCCACCCCACCCCACCCCACCCCACCCCACTCTACCCCATCCCACCCCATCCCACCCCACCCCACCCCACTCCACCCCATCCCACCCCATCCCACCCCACCCCACCCAACCCCATTCTACCCCACGCACCTCCCATGCAGCTGCCATCTCTGCGTCGTAGTCCGCCCAGCGTGAGGGCGTGCCGGGCGTGCGGATGGCAAAGTCAAACCCCGTGGGGCTGCGGGCGCATGCAGAGAGAGGGCGCGTGAGAGAAACAGCACGGGAACGGGGAGGTGCGTGAGGGGAAAAACGGAAGGCAGAGTTATTAAGGAAGGACATGAAAGGAAAGCAGGTTGAGGAGGACAGTGTGAGTATGCTAGGGTGATGAATGGGAAACGAGAAGAGGACAATGGAACCGAGATAGCAGAAGGGACTGAGAGAGCTAAGGGGGTTGAGAGAGCTAAGGGGGTTGAGAGAGCTAAGGGGGTTGAAAGAGCTAAGGGGGTTGAGAGAGCTAAGGGGGTTGAGAGAGCTAAGGGGGTTGAGAGAGCTAAGGGGGTTGAGAGAGCTAAGGGGGTTGAGAGAGCTAAGGGGGTTGAGAGAGCTAAGGGGGTTGAGAGAGCTAAGGGGGTTGAGAGAGCTAAGGGGGTTGAGAGAGCTAAGGGGGTTGAGAGAGCTAAGGGGGTTGAGAGAGCTAAGGGGGTTGAGAGAGCTAAGGGGGTTGAGAGAGCTAAGGGGGTTGAGAGAGCTAAGGGGGTTGAGAGAGCTAAGGGGGTTGAGAGAGCTAAGGGGGTTGAAAGAGCTAAGGGGGTTGAAAGAGCAAAGGGCGAGAGCAAAGTGGACTGAGAGGAGAATGAGGACAGAGAGCAATCGGCTGGGCTGCTTACGTCTTCACAAGGGTGAGTCGTGTGCCCTCGAGAACCTTCCTGGAAGGGTGGAAAATGACACAAGTGACACATGCAGGCAGAAAGAGGAACGGACAAAGGTGGTCAGAGCAGTGGAAGCAGGAAGTGGATTGAGAAAACAGTGGGTTCTCAGTAAGGCGAGACAGACTCACTACAACCACTCAAAAGCAGTAACTCAAGCTCATCCATGCTCAGCCACTCACCCCGGGTCCACCATGCTGTAGCAGGGCGTGACGATCCAGAAATCCTCCCCCACCACCCGATACAGATCCTCACACGCCTTGGCTGAGGCCACCTGTGAGCCAAGGGGCGGGTGCCGGAGAGAGGTTCGGAGAGAGGGTGGGTGAGTGGGGAACTGGGATAGGAGAGTGACGAGAGGGAGAAAGGAAAGGTTTATCCTGAGGCTGCAACAAGGATTAGCATGGGTGGGTGAGAGAGCCAACGGATAAGAACGGATTCAGACGGGGCGGCATGGAAAGCATGGGTTTGGAGTGGAGGAGTATAATTTGAGCGCAGGGGGGCTAAGAGAGTGGGTGAACTGACAGCTGCTTTCTGGGCGGGTGCATCGACGGCCACTCGGTTGTTAGCAGCGTTGTGCACCGCACCCGACCGCAGCATCTCCTCCTTCATTATTGCAAACGCCCTGCGAGCACCCCGCACACAGGCACACACAGGCAGGCACACAGTCCTTAGGCGCCTCCAAAACTACTTCACTATGGCATTGCCATGCGCGCAGCGGAGACGAAGGCAGAAAATGAAGGAGGAGTTGAGAGACCAAATGATGTAGACACGAATGGCAGGGGGGATGCACACACAAATAACAGCACTGAGAGGTGAGGTGGGGGACGGTAGGGTAGCAAGGAGGGTATGAGTTGAGAGGGAGCGCACCTGTCGAAGTTAGCATGGTAGCGCACCACCTTAGTCTGCCCAATAAGTATGGGTGTGTGAGACCCAAAGCCCGCTCGAAACTCTTTCTCCCTGCGACACAAGGGTAGCGACGGGAGGTTGTATGTGACGGGAGAGGTCACTGATACAATCACAACACACTCTGCTACGCATCCCATAGAGTCACACCCAGCACACACGACCATGATATGATACTGCCGCAATGTCCATGAGAAACTCACGGCCTGGACTTGTCCTTAACTCCAGCAAACGAGGCATCATCCATGCGACATGTCTTGCATGCACTAACTAATCACGTGAGCGTGTCCACCCATACAGCCCGGTCACTCACACAGCTCTGACACTGCTTTCTGAGTCGACCAAAAAACCATGCATGCAGCATGCCTCACATCATCACACTACTCACGTGAGCATGTCCACCCATACAGCCGGGTCACACGGCTCTGACAGCTGCCTCCAGCGCACAGCAATGGAGTATGCATCCCTCCACCCCTTTATCTGCACTCCCTTTGTTGTCACACCCCCCTTCCCTTGCCCTGCGCCTGAGCCTGCCCCAACCCCTGCTGCGCTTGCAGAGACACCTTTCCCTCCGCTTCCACCTCCTCCTTTCCCCCGCCCTCCTCCCTTTCCGCCCTTGCTCTTCCCTCCTTTTCCCCCACCACTTTTCCCTCCCTTCCTCCTCTCCTCCTGACTTCTGCTTCCGCCTGCCACTGCCTCGCTTCCACTGCTGCTACCCCCATCATCCATCAGAGAATCGTCCAAATGAAGTGATGACACGTCATCAGAGGAAGGCACAGGAGACAATGACACGTCAGCAGATGATGACTTGGAGAAGGACGACATGTCAGTGCCTCCATCCTCCAGCTCAGCAAGAACGGCTGCTGCTGCAGCGGAAGCAGGAGATGCGCTACCAGCAGCTGTAGCAGCAGCGGCAGCAGCTGTAGCAGCAGCAGCCTCCTCCTCGCGCTGTTCCCAAGCGGCTGCTACAGCCTGGGCGATTTCTATGGCAGCAAGGCCCGCCATGCGATACTGGCAGGAAACAACATGCATCACGGGTGGACGGGGCATCGCAAAGGTCCAAGAGGCAGGCATGAAGGAACGGGAGGAGAGGAGAGTGGGCGGGATGGCGGGGAGCAGATGTGCGTGTCTATGTAAAGGTTTCTCCAACAGACAGGCATCGCAGGATATACAGGATAACACTGTGTGATATCTTTGTGTGGAGGCAGATTTATTTCACCGAATAGTTCAAGAGGCACTTCTAAATCCCACCCGGCGGACGTTGGCGTGGAAGCCAGGGCATGAGTACTGCGTGAGCCGGCCTCTCCGATCAACTCCAGCAGCCTATGCACCTCGGGATTCCCACTGTGTGAGAGTCACAGGTACATGCACTAGAGTCTCACCTGGCGGACGTTGGCATGGAAGCCAGGGCACGAGTACTGCGTGAGCCGGCCTATCCGATCAGCTAGTTCCAGCAGCCTCTGCACCTCGGGATTCCCACCGCTCTTGCCGCCCCCACCGCCACCACCGCCGCCACTGCCGCTGCTGCCACCGCCGCTGCTGCTGCCCCCTGCAGCAGAGGAGGCTTTCTTGCCCAGACGCACGGCGATGGAGGGTGGGACTGGCTGGGTGGTGTAGCCTGGGAAGAGCAGCGTGGGGGGAAGCTTCTTGCACCACGCTTCCTGTGGATTAGAAGAGGCAGTTGAAGGGAGGGTTGTACGGACAGGATAACACAGACCATGTTCGCCCATATATTGTGCAACAGATGCAAAACACAAAAACTGGTATGTAGAATAAGATTGCAGCACAGATGGACACGCAATGAGCAAGCGTGGCCTGACCTTGAAGAAGGGGTCAAGGTCCCTGTCGAGGCTGAAGTGGGTGAGCGGCTGCGAGTGCTTGGAGAGCGTGTAAAGGGCAATCTTTGCCAAGTCCCAAAACACAGATAGGGAGGAGTACAATAGGTGGTTGTGCTCTCACCTTGAAGAAGGGTTCAAGGTCCCTGTCGAGGCTGAAGTGGGAGAGCGGCTGAAAGTGCTTGGAGAGCGTGTAAAGTGCAATGCCAACTCTCATAACACATATACAAAGGAGTCCTATGGGTGAGTGTGCTCTGACCTTGAAGAAGGGGTCGAGGTCTCTGTCAAGGCTGAAGTGGGCGAGCGGGTGGGAGTGCTTGGAGAGAGTGTAGAGAGCAATCTCGCGCTGGTAGAAGCCGAGGAACTGCAGCAGCTTCGACTCCGAGTCTGTCTCCACGCCCAGCATCTCATCATACGTGCGCACCTGGTGGGGGAGGGGATCAGGGAAGGGGAAAGGGACAGGGGCAGGGGGAAGGTGACTCGTGAGTCGTCTCAAAAGCCATCGTGCAGCAGCAAGCCCGTATCACAAGACAAGGCGTATGTATGCTCCAGCATGCGATGCATTTCCTCGTCACTTTGAGTGTTCCCCCACACCACATGACACGATCACCACCCTTTGTATCTCCCCCCACACGACACACTCACGGCAGTGGCCAACTCATTCCCCTCACGAGTGACCCACTCACGGCAGTGGCGTATTCCCCCACGGCATGCTCGGAGGAGGCATACGAGTACATGAGCTCGATGTTGCTCCTCTCCAACCTCAGCCCCTTTTGCGCCATCTGGGACGCGCCTCTGGTGTGGTGCCACAAAGCGTGGGGGGGGGGGGGAGAAACAGCAGCACGAGACGCACGGAAGGGAAATGGATAATTTTTTAGGCGCCTCAAAGCTCGATGTTGCTCCTCTCCAGCCTCAGCCCTTTTTGCGCCATCTGTGACGCGCCCCTGGTGCCACGGATGGAGGGGAGGGGGTGCAGCAGTGGGGGGAGGGAAGGGGTTGGGGAAGCAGTAGCACAAGACGCACGAAAGGGAGGTGGATGTATGTGTCAGGTAGGGTGAAGAGGCGGGATGCGAGAAGTGAGTGGCGAGAGAGTGAGCGAAGGAAGAGGTGGGTAAGATTTGTTGCTCTGCATAACTGTAGCACTTATTCATACATGCATAGGGGTGGGGGGAAGGGGGGCGCGGAGGGGAAAGGGGGGAGGGAGGGAAAGGGGGGAAGGTGGGGAAGTGGGAAAACGAGGGGAGGGAAGCGGGGAAAGGGGATGCGAAGGCATGTGGTTGCTGACTCACCTGTGGTCGCCCACGCCATGCTTGAGCAGCGCCCAGTAGCGGTACACCGTCGCAAAGCTGCAGTGCCGAGAGGGGCAACGTGACCTTTGAAAATTCTTGTAAGTCACAGCAATATGTGTGGCGCTCACCTGTGGTCGCCCACGCCGTGCTTGAGCAGCGCCCAGTAGCGGTACACCGTGGCAAAGCTGCAGTGCCGCGAGGGGCGAGGGGAAGAATGGAGGGGGGGTTGGACAGGAGACGCTGTAAGACGAGGGGAGCACGTGGGATATAACCAAGGCGGGGTAATGGAGAGGCGGGGGCAGATACTGGCAATATCCACATTTGCACGATCCCTTCGCTTGGAAAGCAAAACACTCACCTTGAGTCCGCGTCCAATGCCTTCTGGTAGCACTTGGCTGCGTTTTCTGCATCGCCGTACTCCTTATAAGCCTGCCCCATGTTAACCCACGCATCCTTGAAATCTGCGCGCAGGGCCACAGCCTTCTTGTACGCCGCAACGCCCTCCATGCACGCCCCTGTGCCCGTCAGCGCCAAGCCCTGCAGGAGAGATGACAGAGAAGGGGAGGGGTGGCATGGAGGCACGCGAGGAATAGGAGAGGAATGAGGAGGTGGAACGCGTTACACAAGCGGGTAACCGAGGTGGGAAAGCAGGACTGACGGACATTCAGCGTCGAAGTGGAGGGCGAAGAAGAATGTGGGAGGCAAGCAGCTCGGATGATATGCAGCCTGCCATGATGAGATTTACAGCCCTCCGATCCCATCACAGGGCGTCGTCAGCGCGTGGCAGCCATGGTGGCCGTACAATCAGTCAGTGGTGGTTACTGGGAGAAGAGACGCAGTACCAGGAAGTTATACGCGTTGGCATCTTTCGGATTGGAATCCAGAGAGGTCTTTAGATCCGAAATGGCTGCACGGTAGTTGCGCTGCTTCACATACACCACTCCTGCACGCATACACACAGACAGCACAGCAGCACGCAGACATTGCAGCAGCACACACAGATACCACAGCAGCAACACAGCAGTGTGGGCATTGAAAAGGTGCACTTTCAGTGCTTCAGTGTACCTCCTCAATACACTTGAGACGATAACATGCTCTCATACAAAAATGAAAATTGCCAAGAGGCAAGCAGCCAGGACTCAAGGCAGCTCCACGTGCAATGGAGGCAAGCTGCACCTGAAAGAGCCTCATCTCATTCACACACCAAGGACCACCCCATCCTTTCCGCACAGCAAGAGCACAGCAAGACACTCACCCCTCTCAGCTAGCACATCCGTGGACGAGGGGTCGATGGTGAACGCTCGAGTGAAATCCTCAATCACCTGAACGTGCAGCAAGGACCACATACATATATCAAGTTGACTTTTGAGTCGACTCAAAAGTCACCTAGCAAGAAGCACACACATATATCAGTACGTCACACAGAGAACGGCGAGGGGGAAGCGGGGAGGGAGTAGGCGAACAAAGAGGGGCATTAGCTCGTTATAAATCACTCAGTTCAACTGCCCTATTCACTTCTCACCTCGTCCATCTGCCCCAGAGCAGCCCTCGCCTGCGCTCGCCGCTTCCACGCCTCTGCTGCCCGCGGCTCAATCTCAATCGCCTGAGATAAAATAAGAGGACAGCAAAGACATGCATTAGCTGGAGGAATGAATGCAAACGCACTGTTTTCTGACGAATTATACAGCAAGCATGTAAAACTTACAGCAGTGAAATCAGCCACGGCCTCTTTGAGCTTGCGCTGCAGAGCCCGTGCTGTGCCCCGCCCCACCAGCGCACCCAGCGCCCGCCCGTCTGTCTCCAGAACCTGCACGCAATACAGAAGGAAGGTGGGTTCAGTTCAGGAGAAGCAGCAGCCACTGTCCAGAGGAAACATTGATCGAACCAATAAGAGACAGACAAAGGAACGTGGTTGGTTGTGTTGTGATAGGCTGATAGCGATGTACCTGATTGAAGGTCTTGACAGCATCGTCAAGCTTGCCTGAATTGACCTGCCAAGGGAAACAGGAACGACCTGTAAGGTGAACTGATAATGACGAGGCACTTACAACGCACACAATATGCTCTACTATGCAGCGCTCCTGCGTTCAGCTTAGAAGAGGCTGGATGTGGAAAGGTCAACGAAAAAACGCAATGTAATTTCTTTTTTTCTTACTTGGTTGATCCCAAGGGAAATCAACAAATCCAATGCCAGGCTGCCGCGTGCTCCTCCCAACCCCTTCCCTCCGCCACTGCTCCCTTTCCCTCTGTCCTCGCCTCCGCCACTCCCTTCCCTTCTCTCTCCTTCTCGACCCCCCTTCTTCTTCCCCTCTTTCTTCTGCTCCTTAGGTGAAGCATCTCCCCGCGCCTCCACAGTTGCAACCTCCCCATTGGCCCCCTTCTCTTTTGCACTACGTGATGATGCATCCCCAGAGCCCGTCTCTACAATCACACACCCATTCTGGGCAGCAGAAGTGGCAGCAGGAGCGCGATGTGAGGACGAGGGAGACGGTGTGCGAGGGGGATTCGCAGAGGAAGGAGACGCAGGAGACGCGTTTGCAGAGGGAGTCTGCTGAGAGGGAGAAGCGAGCTTGGGCGTTGGGGATAGCGGGGAGGAGGGGTCGAGGGAGAGCGTGTGCAGGCGCAGCGCGAACTCAAGGTCAGCGCAGGAGGACGCGGGGAGGGGAGTGGTGGCGGCAGCGCTACTGCCGGTGGTGGTTGCGGCTTGGTAGCCTTGGGTGAAGGCGGCCTTGGCTTCGTCCTTCTTGCCCAACGCCAGCCACGCCGCACCTGCATCGCCAACACGGGAGAAACGAGGAAAGAATAAGATATGCCAGTCAAAACAAAGAGAGACTCGGTCAATTCAGCGAGTACACACGATCCGTTTTCACAACAGCGTTCAATGAGTGATCAATGAGGCAGGCGACAGTCACGGGGCAGCACGCCGGCCATTTTTCTCGGAAAGGCAGGGAACAGGGGACCTCGAAACAGAGGAGCGGCGAGCGGGGTGGAAGTGCGGGTCACCTTGGCGCATGAAGGCGAGAGGCTGGTTTGGAGCGAGCTGCGTGGCCCTCATAGCGTCCTTGAGCGCGTGCTTGTTGAGATCCAAGTGCAGATAGCACCACGCGCGATTGCTGCACAAATCAGATTGAAAACGTAGGGGGGGTGGGTCATATGAAAAGATTCGTTCATGATCGTTGGAGTGAAGTGGTAATTTGAGATAACCCCTTGAAAATGCAGAAATCTCTGACAGACTGTAATTCAACCACATTCTCGCTAAACAGAACCAAATTGATGGTAATTGAGATGAATAGAGGTTTGAAACGCACCAGAGGAACATCGCGACTTCGGCTGGACTCCTGCTGGCCTCTTCCGCCTCCGTTATTTGCGCAGTCAGCAGCTTAACGGCGCGCGACCACTGCTGCTGAGCGCAAGCCTCGACCACCTCCTGCGCCATACCGGCGACGAGACGTGTGGCAGGAATTGACTAAGCTATGAAACAGAGAAACGGAAGCTTAACGGAATCAGTCTGTGCTCTACCCTTGTCGATCACCAGTCTCCAGAGCCCTCACAACCGCACAAAGTGAAGCCTATAAGTCGTATCGTGGCTAGTAGGTCCGAGATACCAGAATTGAATTCTTTCCTAAGTCTAGTCCAAACCCGATCTACAACTACTGATACATCAAGCTCACTCAACGGCGGAAAGTCGCTTTCACTCGACCAGCTTCACAGATCTATGGTGCGAAGCCTGCTAACATGCAGGCCTGACAATCGACGTCCGTGAATCCCATTCGTTGCGACCGAGCCTACAAAGATGGAAGCCTGGAGAGCCGTTGCCTGATCTCAAAGGTGTCCATCTGCTGATCTGCCTGACGTCCGTCAAAACCTTGAGAAATTTGGCGAACGTACAAAGTTCGCACCCTCGACCCTGCAATCCGCGACATTCACGACGTCGATTTGCGACAAGTGAATGGACCCCTGTTGGGAAATCCGTTGGCTTCCGTCAAGTGCGTCGTTCCACGTCGGATGCTGAACACCATGAAAATTGGGCCTAGTGCAACTCCTCCTACACCATGGAAATCACTTCAGTGTACGTTCTTTCTCCCACCAGGCTAGCCTAATAACGCGTACTGGAAACTAGTGTTGCAAATCCTTCAAATGTAGTAGAGCCATTGTTGCTACTGTTCACAGAAAGACTCTCAGTGAGGACGCGTCACCTCAACGCCGATCGCAGGATCGATCCTACGTAGGATCTAATTTTCACGTGGTTTAATTTGCATCTAGAAGTTTTTACTACGATGCGCGTAGTTTCAATGCGGTGGAAGATCGATATTGACGATCGATCGCAGGATCGGCGTTCAGGTGACGCGTCCTAAGCCATTGCACCTACATTGAGGCTTCTGATGATGATTGGTCTACGTTATGACTCCATAGTTAAATAATCACCACGTCTTGACGGCCGATTCGAAGTTCGCATCCATCACATTTCCATGGAACATGTCAACATAGAATGGCTCCTGCCATTCGTGCGACGTTTGTGTGCCTCTCGCTGAATTTGACGCTATGTTGTAACAAGTGGGGGCTGCACTAGAGGCAGCGTGAAGCGCACGGGAGGCGAAAGCATGCAGCAGCAGCGTGCAACTGCGAACGTGGGCAGCAAAGGGACGGAAGTGAGCAGGACGTGGGGGACCCACGTGAGAAGGGCGAAACTGAGGTTTCGTGCCTTGACTGACTTGGGGGAACTTCCGCGTGGGACAGGTGGCGAAAGTCCAGACTTGGAGGAATAGAAATGTAACACGTGTGTGGGTGCAGTGAGGTGTACAAACTTGAGTAGAAATATGGAATGCGGCTCGATGTTGGGGCTGGCCACCCGAATCGACATTCCGAGCCGCATGTCTGAATTGTAAATGTACTGTACATATAAAAATGCATTCGTAGGAATTAGAGAGTAGTTGCTGTTTCTCTTTCTGTTTGTTCTTCCTTGCTTCTAAGGAAATTCTCTTGGGAAGAATTCTCAGCCAGAAATAACTTGAACAAGCCCAAGTGCCGTGAGCTTGTTCCACTTGGTATCAGAGCCTGTTTTTTCCTCGTGAGTTGCTGCCGGGAGATTTTTGCACCATGGCCGATTCAGAACGTGATGCCGCGGTTCGAGAGCTCGTAGCCAAGGAGGTGCAGGCTGCCCTGCAGAACGCAGCTGCACAGCAAAGCGTAGCTACAGCTCCGGGAAGCGTAGTGGGATCTCTTTCCCATGTGAGAGCATCGATGCCGGACACCTTTGTTCCAGGGAAAGGACAACCGGTGGTTCGACGATGGTTCTTCCTAGTGGAAGAATATCTACGCTTGAGCCATGTGGCTGGTGAGGAGTGGGCGCCGTTTGCTGGAACCCTACTCCGAGGCTCTGCGGTTGCATGGTGGCAATCGGTGCGACCTGCTATCCAAACCTGGCAGCAATTCAAGGAAGCTCTCGTTGCGTCATACGAACCTATCAACGCGATGGCAAGGGCGCGTGATCGACTTGCAAATCTGCGGCAGCGTACTTCTGTAGCAGATTACATCGCTGAATTTCGTGACATCTCCACCGAAATTTCAGACCTTTCAACGGCTGAGGCGCTGGACAAGTTTAAGCGCGGGTTGAAGGATGACGTTAGGATGGAATTAGAGGTGCAGGGCTGTAGTTCGCTTGAGGAGATGGCGCGTGTCGCTGAACGATACGATGAGATTCATTTCGGTAACCGTCGCAACCGTTTTAACCGTGGGATGCGGTTCAGTCCGAACATGTTCCAGCCTTTCCATGGGGAGCAGCGTGGTGGTGCAGGACCGACACCGATGGAGCTGGATACGATTGACAAGAACAAGGAGAAGCGGAAGGGCTTTGCTGGAAATTGTTTCAAGTGTGGGAAGCGTTGCCACAAAGCACTCAACTGCCCTACCAAGCCAAGGCAGCCGGGAAACAAGCCTCACCAGTAGCTTCGGGGCGAGTTGCTGGTGGTGAGGAGTGCCCCACCTTGCTGACTCCATCCTCAACGCCGCTGCAGCAGGAGTCGGAAGGAGCCATAGTACTTCGGGGGCAGATTCGTGGTAAGGAGGTAAAGATGTTGCTGGATAGTGGTGCTTCATCCAATTTCATTTCTTCTTGGCTGGTGCATGAATTGAAATTACCTGTGCAGAGCAGTACAGTGGAGAGTACGGTGCGCATGGCGGATGGTGTAGTGAGGAGCTGTGGACCTGAGTTGTACCCGGTCAACTGCAACATAGGGGAGTTTCATGGAAAAATCCCTTTCCAACAGATCTGGCTTGACGGTCATGACATCATCTTGGGCAGGAACTGGTTGGCAGCAGTGAACCCTCAGGTGGATTGGAGAACCAGGGAGGTGAAGGTGCTGTTTGGGGGGAGGTTTGTTCGCCTACCAGTGGTGCAGCAGCAGGAAGGGATGTCCTTGCAGCTGATTAGTGCGAAGCAGTTTGGTAAGGCCATTCGGGGGGAGGAAGCAGTTTTTCTAGGTCTCATCACAGAGGTCCAGCCTACATCACCTGACGCAGTAACACCAACGGTTTCAGCATCACATGAGGATGAGGAGTTAACACGGGGTGTAGAGAAGCTGCTGGAAAAATTTTCAGGGGTGTTTCCCGAGGACTTACCGGCTGGACTTCCTCCTAAGCGAGCTGCAGATCAAAGGATAGAGTTGATTCCTGGATCTACCCCACCGGTTAGACCGACCTACAAGATGAGTGCAGTGGAGCTGAAGGAGCTGAAGAAGCAGTTAGAGGACCTGTTAGCTAAGGAGTTCATTCAGCCTAGTTCTTCTCCGTATGCTTCTCCGGTGCTGTTCGTGCGGAAGAAGGACGGTTCTCTGCGGATGTGTGTAGATTACCGCGGGCTGAACAAGATAACAGTGAAGAACCGATACCCACTGCCACGGATAGATGAGCTGTTTGAGCAAGTTGGTGAGGCACGGTACTTCTCAAAGTTGGATCTGCGTTCGGGGTATCATCAGGTGCGGATTCAGAGTGAGGACATCCCAAAAGCAGCATTCCGAACACGGTACGGTCACTATGAGTTTCGAGTGTTGCCCTTTGGTCTCACCAACGCTCCAGCCACTTTCCAAGGCATGATGCAGAGCATTTTCAGTGATTTCATTGACAAGTTTCTGGTGGTTTTCATTGATGATTTGCTGGTTTACAGTCGCACTCGTGAGGAGCATCTAAAGCACCTTGAGCTGGTCCTTGCACGCCTGAGTGAGCACAGATTGTATGCCAAGCGTTCCAAGTGTGAGTTTGCAAAGACCAAGCTATCTTTCTTGGGTCATGTCATTTCACATGGGAAGCTGGAAGTAGACAACAACAAGGTAGCAGTCCTGAAGGAGTGGAAGCAGCCGAGTACAGTGAAGGAGGTGCAGGCTTTCTTGGGGTTAGCTAACTACTACCGGCGGTTTGTGAAGGGATTTGCAGCAGTGGCAGCACCTCTGACCGATCTCTTGCGGAAGGACTCATCATTCAGTTGGGGACCATTGCAGCAGCAAGCTTTTGAGCAGCTCAAAACTTCTCTTATTTCACCCCCTGCCCTAGCAGTACCGAATCCAGAGCTCCCATACTTCATTTGGTGTGATGCATCAGACGTTGCCCTTGGAGCAATTCTCTGCCAGGAGCAGGAAGCTGGGCTGCAGCCAATAGCCTTTGAGTCACGAAAGCTCACTGCTGCAGAGCGCACATACCCCATTCACGAGAGAGAGGCACTTGCTGTGGTGCACGCACTGAAGAAGTGGCGCTGTTATGTGGAGATGCAGCCCGTTACAGTTTTCACTGATCACCGAACACTGGAGTACCTGAAAACACAGTCACAGATCACACCACGGCAGGCGCGGTGGGTTCAGTTTTTGGAGCAGTACGTTCCCAATCTTCAGATTGTGTACAAACCAGGGCGCTTCAATCCGGCGGATGTTCTGTCACGGCCAGCAGCAGAGGAGCTGAATGTCATGGGAGTGGTTACATGGGACCGCAACTTCATCACTCGTTTCAGCCGTGGTTACAACCGTGATCAGCTGTACCAACAGAAAGCCCCCCATGACCCATCCTTTCTTTTTAGCAATCCCTTTTGGACCCGTGCAGATTCTGGTACTGTGTGTGTACCTGATGACTCCAGGCTTCGCCAGCTGCTACTACACGAGTACCATGACAACCGGTCACACTTCGGCAGTGACAAGACATATGCTGCCATTTCTCGTGACTACTACTGGCCTGGACTGTCCCGGAGTGTAGCAGAGTATGTTTCTTCATGTCCTACCTGTCAGGTCAACAAGGCTCGCACCACTGCACCGGCTGGTCTGCTGCAACCATTGGAGATACCCACAGCCCCCTGGACTTGTGTTTCTCTGGATTTTATCACAGACCTACCCCGCACCCCTACAGGCTTTGACAGCATTCTTGTGGTGATTGACAAGCTGTCCAAGATGGCTCACTTCATCCCTACAACCGGCACAGTGACTGCTGCTGAAACTGCCAAGCTGTTTTTCACGCATGTGGTGAGGCTACACGGACTGCCCTCAGCCATAATCAGTGACAGAGACACACGGTTCCTCAGCAACTTCTGGACCGCACTGTTTCAACTGTTGGGCACACAGATTCGACTCTCTACAGCCTACCACCCTGAAACTGACGGTCAGACAGAGCGCATGAACAGAACCTTGGAGGATGCGCTACGCTCGTGTGTGAATTCTATGCAAACTGACTGGGATCAGCACTTGGCAGCAGTGGAGTTTGCCTACAACAGCAGCCCCAACATTGCCACGGGAGAGCCACCGTTTCTTTTAGCTACTGGACAGCTACCACGCTCAGTCACATCCCTCCCTCACCCTCTTCATTCCCCTAACCCCACAGCAGCAGATTTCATCTCTTCTCATCACCGCATTCTCCAACTTGCCCGAAGGAAGCTTCAGCTTGCACAAGAGCGCCAAGTTCGCTATGCCAACCAGCATAGGCATCACACCACTTTCAGAGTTGGTGATTTGGTGCTGCTTTCAACGGCTAACCTGTCCCTGCTGAATGCTGGAACTTCTCGCAAGCTCGCACCCAGATTCGTTGGACCATTCCCCATCACCAAGGTTCTCTCATCGGTCAGCTACCGCCTTCAACTTCCTCCTCACATGACCATACACCCTGTTTTCCATGTTCACCTTCTTCGACCTTACCGTACTCCCTCTCACCCATTCCAGCCCCGTCCACCCATATTCTCTGCCCATCCGGACCTGCATGAGGTCGAGACCATCCTCTCACACCGTGACACCCCGGTTGGCCGAGAATACCTCATTCACTGGCGCAACACATCTGCATCTGAAGATTCATGGGAGCCATTCTCCAACCTCAGCCATGCTCCTCGTGCCATTGGAGTGTATCTTGCCTCATTGGCACCGAGGACGGTGCCTTCAGGGAGGGGAGGTAATGTAACAAGTGGGGGCTGCACTAGAGGCAGCGTGAAGCGCAGGGAGGCGAAAGCATGCAGCAGTAGCGTGCAACTGCGAACGTGGGCAGCAAAGGGACGGAAGTGAGCAGGACGTGGGGGACCCACGTGAGAAGGGCGAAACTGAGGTTTCGTGCCTTGACTGACTTGGGGGGACTTCCGCGTGGGACAGGTGGCGAAAGTCCAGACTTGGAGGAATAGAAATGTAACACGTGTGTGGGTGCAGTGAGGTGTACAAACGTGAGTAGAAATATGGAATGCGGCTCGATGTTGGGGCTGGCCACCCGAATCGACATTCCGAGCCGCATGTCTGAATTGTAAATGTACTGTACATATAAAAATGCATTCGTAGGAATTAGAGAGTAGTTGCTGTTTCTCTTTCTGTTTGTTCTTCCTTGCTTCTAAGGAAATTCTCTTGGGAAGAATTCTCAGCCAGAAATAACTTGAACAAGCCCAAGTGCCGTGAGCTTGTTCCATATGCACGGTCTTCAATGGTCGATACTACACAGCTCCACCGTTCTCAAACCATGCCGTTACAGTTAATTTAGCCGGCGCGAACAAGGGTGGAGGTAGTACGAGAGGTGCGGAGACGGCAGACCAGACAGCGGGGTTCGTCCTTCCAAGCTCGGCGCGCAGGTGCAATGCAGAGGAACAGACCGATGCCGCTGCAGGGCTCCTCTCGTCTCTTGAAATGCTGAGCTGGTGAGACTGCCAACCAGCACTTCAGAGTGTCAGAGCATTACTGGATATCGACGCACTGACACTTTCGTCATTTGCACTGCGATCGACACATTGATGTGTACGGGAATCTCGTCGCACATCATAATCTTCAGTGCCGTGCATCATGGTCATGCATCATGGTCATGCATCATGGTCATGCATCATGGTCATGCATCATGGTCATGCATCATGGTCATGCCTCATGGTCATGCACCATGGTCATGCATCATGGTCATGCATCATGGTCATGCATCATGGTCATGCCTCATCGTCATGCCTCATCGTCATGCATCAACGTCATGCATCCACCCAGGAGCCCCTGTCTTTGCGAATGGGAGGCGCGTCTGATAGCGTCAGTGCCACATCATCACCCTCTGCCCAGGCGGCCCGCCTGCATTACTCCATTCATCAGAAAAGGTGATGAAAACAACATATTGAACGAAGGTGCAGCTGCTGCAGAGCCAATGCACTTATTTCTCAACTTTCGGCTTGAGCTCAGAAGCCAACGTACTTATTTCGCGTCTAATTTTCACAATTTTTTTGCTCCCGTGTTATCGCTTGCTCACACATGCGCCATCATCCTGGAAACCCCCCGGCACTATACCTCCCTCCCCCCCCCGCTGTTCATTCCACCGCCCTATCCATCGCAGCAACCAAACTGTATCGCCTGCAGCAGCCACCGGTACCAGCGATCGCCGACTCTCCCACTAGTATGTTGGTCGGCCGAGAAGGAAGAGAGGGAGGTGACAGCCAGGCAGTACGGGGCCTGCGGTGTGAGAAAAGCTCCGTGGGGCGGTTGAGACAGCTGGAGAGCACTGAGCTCTGTGGCTTGCTGCTGCTGGGCGATGGTCCTGGACCTTCTAATGCTGCGATGAGGGAGCAAAGAAGGGTGCATGAGAATAAGCATGGAAGGGGAGGTCTGGAGGGGAGCAGCACAAGGGCGACTGTAGAAGATGTGAACAACGGTGAAGCGGAACGGAAGCAGACGAAGGAGGAGGAAGCGCAGGTGACAAGCAAGCAGCTTGAGATGTTGCAGCAGGCGAACGATGAGGTGAGTGCGGTGGTGGTGGAGTGGATGGGCATGGGGGAAGTGGATGGGAAAACGGATGGGCAAAAGGATGGGCAAAAAGAATGGGTAAAAAGGGTGGGCAAAAAGGCTGTTTATTGCTTCGTCCTAGTATTGTTTGTATGAGTATCCACCACACCACATCGTATGAGCATTAGTTAAGTAGCCAGCGTGTGAGCTCAAGTCCCATTTGGATTCAAGTCTTGATTGTTCAGGCTCATGTACCTGTTCCATTTCACCTCTTGATTTGCTGCTGCCTGCTCCCGTCCCATGCAGATAGAACGAGGGGGATATATGGAGGCAATTGCTATCTACAACAAGGTCAGGAATGCAACCCTATACCCTGCAGATTTGTCTTGTCGCCTCAATGAACGCTTCTGCTTCTGATTTACCACGGTTCGTCCGTATTCCACCTTTCTGTTCAATCACGAAACCGCAATTTTCCCTTCACGTACCTGCCTCTGCTTCCCATGCATGGCTCATTCCAGTCCGTTTGTCCGTTAATCCTCCAATCATTGCCCGACAGCTGGCCTCCATTCCCTCTGTGAAGGATCAGGTGCTTGTTGGCCGAAGCTCCTGTTACGATGCATTGGGGCAGTTTGACAAGGCCGTCGCTGACCTGTCCGCTGTAAGGAATACATGTCTTCTGTCCCCTCCGCTTCATCCCTTCTTATGTCCCATTGACCAGTTATTCTGTTGCCAGCAGCCACATGATTAAGTTAACCCATCAAACTCGTGTGTGATGCGATGCTCCGCTGGCAGGCTCTGTCAGCAAACCCCACAAGCGCAGCTGGCTTCATGGCGCGAGCAGGCATTTATTTCAAAATGAACAAGCCTGTCGAGGTAGACATCACATCATGATGTATGTATGGTGACACCGTGAGGTAGGCATCATGATGTATGTATGGTGACACCATGGTGCCATCGCATCGGGTAGACCAGCCCAGATGTGCAACCATGTGGTTTTTGAGGCGCCTCAAAAGCCAGATGTGCAACCATGTGGTTTTTGAGGCGCCTCAAAAGCCAGATGTGCAACCATGTGGTTTTTGAGGCGCCTCAAAAGCCAGATGTGCAACCATGTGGTTTTTGAGGCGCCTCAAAAGCCAGATGTGCAACCATGTGGTTTGCCGCCTTCATCCGTGCATGACACGCAAACACAAGCTGCGATGGTCCATAATTCCATTATACATGTTGACATTGTGCTCCTGCCCTATCACACCACACCAGATTCTGTCATGATGCATCCGCCTTTGAATTATGCTGCCTGCCAGCGGGCTGCCTGGAAGCAATCCCTTATTGCATCTAGTGCCTCTTCCTTCTGTGTTTGATCCACACCCACATGCCATGTCGTGAAGGCCATAGCGGACTACTCTCGCGTCATTGACCTGGACCCCTCCAATGCTGAAGCACTCAGGTGGCGAGGTGAGCATACATATGTGCTGGGCGAGTCAGTGTTGGTGGTTTAGTTGTGTTCACTGCCGCGTTCCTCTCAGCTGCACATGCTTCCATTCCAACTGCAACCATCTCACATCCCTTGTGAGTGATTTTTGAGAATTCTCAAACATCACTCACTTCAAGACCCTCGCTCTCTCTCCATCTTCATCCCTCCTTTCCCTCGTGTCTCCTCCCAATCCCCCTGCCAGGCATCTTGTCCTTTAACCTGAAGGACTACCATGCAGCAGAGAAGGACTTTCAGGAAGCCATTCACCTTGACCCCTCTCAGTCTTTCGTCTTTCGAGGCCTTGTAAGTCTCCCTCATGCTACTTATTCAGTCTTCTGACTCCTTCCGATTCTCGTTCCTTATCACTGTGTGGTTATTTTTCCACCTCATACCTCGTTCTCCCTTGTGATAACCCGTCCCTTGCTATTCCACTTTTCTTATATGACTGCTGGTTTTCTCGTTGCCCCTGTCCAAAGACAGGCTTTCATTTCATAAGCATTATGGCTTCCTCCTTCCTTCCATACATCCAGCATGCATGGCTTGTTCCTCAACTGTTCCTCCCAGCACCTTTTTCCTCTCTCTTCTTCCTCCCTTTTGATCAATCCCTCTCCTCTCCCAACCCCCTCACTCCCTTCCCCCCTCCCACTTCCTCACCCTAGGCCCTAGCCATAGGGGACAGTGGGAGGTGGCGGGAGTCCCTGGCAGTGTTTGCAGAGGGTGTGAGGCGGCACCCTCAGGATGCGGACCTGTGGCATTCCAAGGGGCGCGCGCACAAGGAGGTGGGCGAGGTGGATCAAGCCATAGAGGCGCTGCAGCGAGCGCTGCAGATCAGAAAGTGAGTGCCGTGGATGTGTTTGCAGCCATGGTGAGTTCTTTTTGGTGCCCGTGGCATGGCAACAGTGCGGGTCCAGACATAGCTTGGAATCATTCCCTGCATGCATCCTTCTCAACTCTCAATTTCTCAAATTTTCAATCTCTCAATTTCTAAAATTCCCTGCTTCCATTTCAAAACTCCCTGCATCGCATCTGTGCTGGCATTTCATATGTCCTTCTATAATGTCACTGCATCCATCCATCCGTCCCTATTCTCCCTCCCTATTCTCCCAAGCATCCTTTCATTCCCGTGTCAACACCCATACTGGGGGCCATGCACGCGTGTGCAAGGAGTCACAGTTAACCACTCCCTCTACTCACATCCATGCATTGCTGCGTGCACGGCACAGGGCAGTGGCGACCTATCAGGAGCTCGTCGCTGTCAGCCGATTGGTGGGCGACTACAGGTGCGCTCATCTCGCATTTGCACCGTGCAGGATTGGTTTTCTGCCAGTTTAGTTCTCTTATCAACGTTTGGATAAATACCACTTAAAAATCATCATCCCGATGTTTGATTGTGGGCTCGATGTTGAGCCCTATTAGATGACCACATTTCTGCTCTGCCTTGTCCTTTCTTCTTTCTCTAGCCCGGCCTCTTCACCCCTCTCTCCCTCCTTGCAGGGCCGCCATACGCTATGCAAGAGAGGGGTTGCAGCTGGACAGGGGAGACATGGAGCTCGCTCATGCCCACGCCAGCAGCCTGCATGCTCTGGGGGACCTTGCTGAAGCTGTGAGAGTTCCACACCTCCTCCTCAAGCTGTGTGCTTCCCAATAGTGAGTCGCTACACGCTGTGTGCCGTTCACATTCACAGGCTTGCATAGTGCATTTTTTAAATCACGATCTCGCACGCACCACACACACACACACTTGCATCACGACGACCCACCACCCTCATCTGGATACCCCTGTGCTGCCCTGCCCACAGATGCGCAAGTACCAGGCAGCGTTGGCACTGCAACCCAGGGATCAGGACGGACAGGTTCTGCAACACTCCATGTTCTACCAGGCATGTTCTACCAGACATGTTCTACCAGGCATGTTCTACCAGGCATGTTAAACGTTTCAGTGCCTTTGTTGTGTTTTTTGCTCCCCGACCAGCCCCTCGCCACTCCCACTCATCTCCCTTCCTCATATGCTCCCTGCCTCCCATGACTGCCATTCCAACTGCCCTCCCCCTCCCAGAGGGAGGTACTGTCCTACACCGTTGCTCGCTTGCAGCAGCCGCTCTCCTCTATCCAATTCGACTGGGACTTCACTCTGACATACTTCCAGTGAGCAGCAATGCTTAGGTTTAGGCTTAAGCAAGTAGGAAAAAACAGTGAAACTCTTAACACTAGCTAATAGCCGAGAGTCTGTGAAGCCGGAACTCTTCTCGTTAACAGAATTTAAAACAAGACAAACATGTTTCGGCTGGAGGGCATCCCCTACCAGGCCTTCATCAGTGCCTACGAGAATGAAAAACAGAGTGGAGCAGAAGCCTTAAAAGAAAAGCTAACGCCTCCAGTAAAACAAAACTCAAGGTTATCTACACCCTGGCCCGTTCCAAAAAGTTCGGGACCAATCCAGGTAGCTCTGGTGAACACCAAGAGCCACGTCTTCAACCCTCGAGGGTGTCATCATTGGGAGCAGAGTCCAACCTTTCGCCATGCAGCAACTTCGGTAGTCGCGCGCGCACCAAAAGCTTTAACAAGCTACACCCAATCGTCCAAGCAACAAAAAATCTCTCAACATAAAATCCGTGTGTGATGAGCCTATTTTTGAGTCGACTCAAAACGACCCCTAGCCGGAGGCGCGCAGTCCAAGGAGTGAACTGTGCCTTCAGGACTAGGGGCCCACGGGAAGAGAGAGATTGCTGTTGCTTGAGTAACTGGGTGGTGGCGAGAAGGTCGGGCCGTTGAGCGAAACAGACACGCTTGAAGAGTGGGAGTAGAAAAGCTGGTGGGTAACCACGATCCCGAAGTACGGCTATCCAATTCGACTGGGACTTCACTTCTGAGTTCAGAGTACGGCCACGCCTTACTACATCCCTCAACCCTTTATCACCCTCAACCCTTTATCGCCCTCAACCCTTTATCGCCCTCAACCCTTTATCGCCCTCAACCCTTTATCGCCCTCAACCCTTTATCGCCCTCAACCCTTTATCGCCCTCAACCCTTTATCGCCCTCAACCCTTTATCGCCCTCAACCCTTTATCGCCCTCAACCCTTTATCGCCCTCAACCCTTTATCGCCCTCAACCCTTTATCGCCCTCAACCCTTTATCGCCCTCAACCCTTTATCGCCCTCAACCCTTTATCGCCCTGAACACAGCCATCTTCATCACCCGTGCTGTGGCGTCTGTTTCCCATTGGCACGCCCATTCTCAGTGCCCTTTGCTCAGACGTAGAATCATCTCACATTGCTCAACCAAGAGGCATCACCACCACATCCCATCACAATACCTTTTTATCACATCCCAACCTTGCTACTCCCCTTCAGTCCCCCCTTGCTACATTCCCGACTCATATCCCCCTCCCCCACCGTGGCACAGGAGGCATGGACCAATAGTGACCCTATAGCAACACTGCCAGGATACCAGCCGCTCTCGGTCAGTTCACGCCAGTTACAGCGCGCCAAACTACTATCCCTGCCCAAGCTGTCACGAGAAGCGTTGGATCTGATCGAAGCAGCGGACAGGATCGGCCAGCGGGCCCACTACCACTGTGATGCCTTCATGGCAAACAGGCAGCAGGTAACAGCAGAGACATGCCAGCATGCTTTGTTTGTTGTTTTCTGTCTTCACCCCTCATATCCTCACTTCCCTAATACTGCCTGCATGAACTTTGTTCCTGTGCTCACTCCATTCCCCTCGCCCTCCCTCCACCCCTCAGCTGCGCATGGCAGGGCTGGCAGCTCTTGACGTGATGCAGCAGGTGAGACTCTTCCGCTTCCTTTCCACCCACGTCCTTCTCTCATCTGCCCCCATTCACTTTGATGGTGTTCAGGCCACTCGTAAATCCCCAGGGCTGGCAGCTCTTGACGAGATGCAGCTGGTTATTCAATGCTGCTTTTGCAAATGCTAGTCACTAAAGACAGTGTTGCAAGTGTGGAGATCTTTCATGCTCTTTCAATTGCTCCATGTGTGCATGTGCCGTGGCACAGGCAAGGGCAAGTTGGGATGCTATGGCACAGGAGCTGCAGGGGAGGGAGTCAGCAGCTGGTAACACATTTACAGACACGACAACAACCAAGGAAAAAGATGCACTAGCAGGAGGAGGCGGAAGGGTAGAGAGCACGGCGAAGCAGAGGCAGAAGGCAAGTGAAAACTCAGGCAAAGACAGTGGGAAGAGCCGCAGCAGAAGCAAGGTGTCAGGCGGTGGGGTGCTCAAAGGCTGGAGGGATGTTTACGAGATGATCACCAGATGGAGACAGATCGCCGATCCAACGGCTGCTATTCTCTGGAACGACCAACTGAAGTACGTGCCACTGGGATGGCTCTTCCCGTTCTTATTGATTTGATTCTCAATGGTTTCCTGATGGCATGCGATCATGTCTCATGGGGGGGAAAGGGTGCTCCGTCTGCTTTCCTCTGCAGAAAAAGCTTTGCGCGGGGCGTTCGGTCGTCCACGCCCATCAAGGTGTGGGATCTGCAGACCGTCAAGTACTATCCCGTCTTCAACAAGTGGGTCCCTCACTAACCACTCACTTTCTTTCTCGGCCTTTCAGCCTGCCAAACCCACACACTCCCCCCACCACTCATACCTCCTAGCACGCACACCTCTCTTGCACTGACTCCGCTTCTCTGCAGTCACTTTCCCTGCAGTCACTTTCCCTGCAGTGTTTTTTTGTCGTCTCAAGGCGCCTCCTGTTGAATGTGTGGCAGGTCGTTTGAGGCCATGCGTGAAGCTCTGCTGGAGTCAGAGCGGGCCTTTTCAAACGACCAGCCCTTCGCTGTGCCGCATAACTCACGTCACATGGTGAGTGGGGTGTGCCTGTTCCTTGCAACATGCATGGCCACATGGGGTGAGTGGGCTGCATCGGCCATGGCAGCAACCGTGGTGCAGAGACATATTATGCAGACATGCACCGCCCTGACTCCGTTTCTGTCCCCATGCACGTCACATATCAACTTGCCTCCTCGTCAGCATTAACCAACTCCTCCCTCCACGACTCTTCAAGCATCCCAGTCTCCCCTCAAACTCGTCACCTTCCTCCCTTCTCCCATCCCCTCTTCTTTTCTTCCCCTCGCCCACTGCTCCCCATCCTTCCTCAGATCACCAGGGCAGCTGACCTGCAGGTGCTTCACCAACCTGTGGGAAAGGACTTTCTCGTCCAAGCACCCTGCTACAGCCATGTCTTCCCAGGGTGCGCCTTCCCTGCTACAGCCATGCCGTTCCAGGGTGCGCCTTCCCTGCTACAGCCATGTCTTCCCAGCATACGCCTTTCCTGAAACAATCATCCCCAGGGTATCCTTCCCTGCTACAGCTGAGCACTTGCGAAGCGTTGTATCTGCTGTTCCTTGCTCCAGCCATGAGCTTTCAGAGTTCACGTCACACGTATCAATATGTATTTCCACCTCTTCAGATGATGGGAGGATGATGGCCTCAAAAGCCTTGCTCCAGCCATGAGCTTTCAAAGTACATGTCACGCGTGTTACTCTGTATTTCCACCTCCTTGTCTCTCTATTTCCACCTCCTCGTCTCTGTAACCTCCTCACCTCCTCCCATTGCATGCATGCCCATGCAGGAAGGACCTGACCGGGTCAATGTTTGAAATCCTGAAGACGTAAGCCATTGCCTCGTGCTTTTTCTAATTTGCCACTTCCCCACGCATCAGGCAGAGCACACTGTTTATCAATCACCCAGTTCCCGCAGTTTACCATGCGAGAGCATGTGAATCTCTCCCAGCATGTTCCTCCTCACATGCTCTCTTTTCCCTCCACACCATCTTTCCCTATCGATTCCAACCTCGCCCTTCTCTCCTCCGCCTCTGGAGCTCCATCTGTCTTTCACTCACCTATCCTCCCTCCCTTTTTCTGCATGCACGCATTGAACCACCCACACACCACATTCACGCGCTCCTAGTCCTCTGTCTGCACCATACCAGCACCCACGCGTTCAACCTCTACTCGCACACGCCAATCAGCGCTCATCGGTGGCACGGCTTCGACCACGAGCTCACTGCTGCATGGCAGGTCAGGCGTGCATGACTCATACGCATCTGCATGGCAGGTCAGGCGTGCATGACTCATACGCATCTGCATGGCAGGTCAGGCGTGCATGACTCATACGCATCTGCATGGCAGGTCAGGCGTGCATGACTCATACGCATCTGCATGGCAGGTCAGGCGTGCATGACTCATACGCATCTGCATGGCAGGTCAGGCGTGCATGACTCATACGCATCTGCATGGCAGGTCAGGCGTGCATGACTCATACGCATCTGCATGGCAAGTCAGGCGTGCATGACTCATACGCATCTGCATGGCAGGTCAGGCGTGCATGACTCATACGCATCTGCATGGCAGGTCAGGCGTGCATGACTCATACGCATCTGCATGGCAGGTCAGGCGTGCATGACTCATACGCATCTGCATGGCAGGTCAGGCGTGCATGACTCATACGCATCTGCATGGCAGGTCAGGCGTGCATGACTCATACGCATCTGCATGGCAGGTCAGGCGTGCATGACTCATACGCATCTGCATGGCAGGTCAGGCGTGCATGACTCATACGCATCTGCATGGCAGGTCAGGCGCGCATGACTCATACGCATCTGCATGGCAGGTCAGGCGTGCATGACTCATACGCATCTGCATGGCAGGTCAGGCGTGCATGACTCATACGCATCTGCATGGCAGGTCAGGCGTGCATGACTCATACGCATCTGCATGGCATGTCAGGCGTGCATGACTCATACGCATCTGCATGGCAGGTCAGGCGTGCATGACTCATACGCATCTGCATGGCAGGTCAGGCGTGCATGACTCATACGCATCTGCATGGCAGGTCAGGCGTGCATGACTCATACGCATCTGCATGGCAGGTCAGGCGTGCATGACTCATACGCATCTGCATGGCAGGTCAGGCGTGCATGACTCATACGCATCTGCATGGCAGGTCAGGCGTGCATGACTCATACGCATCTGCATGGCAGGTCAGGCGTGCATGACTCATACGCATCTGCATGGCAGGTCAGGCGTGCATGACTCATACGCATCTGCATGGCAGGTCAGGCGTGCATGACTCATACGCATCTGCATGGCAGGTCAGGCGTGCATGACTCATACGCATCTGCATGGCAGGTCAGGCGTGCATGACTCATACGCATCTGCATGGCAAGTCAGGCGTGCATGACTCATACGCATCTGCATGGCAGGTCAGGCGTGCATGACTCATACGCATCTGCATGGCAGGTCAGGCGTGCATGACTCATACGCATCTGCATGGCAGGTCAGGCGTGCATGACTCATACGCATCTGCATGGCAGGTCAGGCGTGCATGACTCATACGCATCTGCATGGCAGGTCAGGCGTGCATGACTCATACGCATCTGCATGGCAGGTCAGGCGTGCATGACTCATACGCATCTGCATGGCAGGTCAGGCGTGCATGACTCATACGCATCTGCATGGCATGTCAGGCGTGCATGACTCATACGCATCTGCATGGCAGGTCAGGCGTGCATGACTCATACGCATCTGCATGGCAGGTCAGGCGTGCATGACTCATACGCATCTGCATGGCAGGTCAGGCGTGCATGACTCATACGCATCTGCATGGCAGGTCAGGCGTGCATGACTCATACGCATCTGCATGGCAGGTCAGGCGTGCATGACTCATACGCATCTGCATGGCAGGTCAGGCGTGCATGACTCATACGCATCTGCATGGCAAGTCAGGCGTGCATGACTCATACGCATCTGCATGGCAGGTCAGGCGTGCATGACTCATACGCATCTGCATGGCAGGTCAGGCGTGCATGACTCATACGCATCTGCATGGCAGGTCAGGCGTGCATGACTCATACGCATCTGCATGGCAGGTCAGGCGTGCATGACTCATACGCATCTGCATGGCAGGTCAGGCGTGCATGACTCATACGCATCTGCATGGCAGGTCAGGCGTGCATGACTCATACGCATCTGCATGGCAGGTCAGGCGTGCATGACTCATACGCATCTGCATGGCATGTCAGGCGTGCATGACTCATACGCATCTGCATGGCAGGTCAGGCATGCATGACTCATACGCATCTGCATGGCAGGTCAGGCGTGCATGACTCATACGCATCTGCATGGCAGGTCAGGCGTGCATGACTCATACGCATCTGCATGGCAGGTCAGGCGTGCATGACTCATACGCATCTGCATGGCAGGTCAGGCGTGCATGACTCATACGCATCTGCATGGCAGGTCAGGCGTGCATGACTCATACGCATCTGCATGGCAGGTCAGGCGTGCATGACTCATACGCATCTGCATGGCAGGTCAGGCGTGCGTGACTCATACGCATCTGCATGGCAGGTCAGGCGTGCATGACTCATACGCATCTGCATGGCAGGTCAGGCGTGCATGACTCATACGCATCTGCATGGCAGGTCAGGCGTGCATGACTCATACGCATCTGCATGGCAAGTCAGGCGTGCATGACTCATACGCATCTGCATGGCAGGTCAGGCGTGCATGACTCATACGCATCTGCATGGCAGGTCAGGCGTGCATGACTCATACGCATCTGCATGGCAGGTCAGGCGTGCATGACTCATACGCATCTGCATGGCAGGTCAGGCGTGCATGACTCATACGCATCTGCATGGCAGGTCAGGCGTGCATGACTCATACGCATCTGCATGGCAGGTCAGGCGTGCATGACTCATACGCATCTGCATGGCAGGTCAGGCGTGCATGACTCATACGCATCTGCATGGCAAGTCAGGCGTGCATGACTCATACGCATCTGCATGGCAGGTCAGGCGTGCATGACTCATACGCATCTCTGCATGGCAGGTCAGGTGTGCATGACTCATACGCAACTGCGTCTCCTTATACCTGTCATGTCAGTCCTCTCATGTCAGTCCCCCTTGCCATGCACACCAATCCCTCCTCTCTTGAATCCCGGTCACACCTACCTTGCTCCGCCTGCCATTTCACTTTGAGGCGACTGCTGCACTTCAGTTCTGAACAAGCGGATACGCGTCTGATCTCTGTCCCATCCACTCCTGATCCCCCATCCCCCCTCCCTCACACCAGGCGCTGTGTGCGGCAGTGCTGGACGCACACACAGAGGCAGCGGACCCGCATCGCTACCGCCAGAGGATTCAAGACGCCATCCTCCGCCTGGGGTACTTATGGTCAGTACGGCACACTGCCATGGGGTGCTCTCTCGTGGCTGGGGTACGTCTGGGGCATGCTGTGCTGTGCTGTGCTGTGCTGTGCTGTGCTGTGTTGTGCTGTGCTGTGTTGTGCTGTGCTGTGCTGTGCTGTGCTGTGCTGTGCTGTGTTGTGCTGTGCGTGGCCAGTGGGGTACACACGCTGTGCCTGGCTGCTAATGCAAGGGGTACTCTGCGCGTTTGTGGGAGGGGTCACGCATGTAGCTGCCTTGCACAGTGATACACACAGCGCAGACTCACTCCTGTTTTGGATCTGAAACTCCTTTCACACATCATGCCCGCATGACCCTCACTCATCACCCTCTCCGCCTTCGCTACACACCAGGTTCCAGCTCATGCCGCTGACGCGCGGGTCCGCCATGGTGGGGCTGGTCTCCATCCTCGGCCTCTCCATGGCTGCTGACATGCAAACCACAACGCTCGTCCCCCACGGGGTGCAGGTAGGCTGAGCCGTGCTATTGGACGCATGGTTGCCCTTTGGGGCTGGAACATTCTTTTCTTTTTCTGCCACGTGTGTTGACTTGACACATGATCACGCCGTTGTCAGCAAGGGATGGCTTATACTCAACAGCAAGACACATCAGATAGCGCCCCAGCGGTTCAGTTAAAATTACAATGACAAGAAGAGCACACTCTCGTCTCTCGAGGTTTTCATAGAGCCTTTTCCCTGGCACGATCAGTCACTGAGTAATTGTTTCGTTCATACCTCTACCATTCAGGTTGACTGGGAGGCGTTACTCGTGTCTCGCTTTGAAGACTTCAATGCCTCTGTTGCCCCATGGCTCTTCGCCTCCACTCAAAGCTCACCCTGGGATCTAGCCCCTATCGAGGGTGCCTTGCCCACCACGCACCATGTGATTGCGGCATTGGGTTACAATGTGATGCATGAAAAGTGACCAATGCTGGTTGCCCTCTCTTGCAACATTGTTGTATTGTTTGTTTCATGTTGTAATAATGCAAAAGCGGTGGTCAAACGATTGCTGATTCTGTGGTTGATGCTGCTTTTCTTTTGCAATAGTGGAATAACCGGATGGGTGAAACTTGAGATGTGTGCGTTTG